TAGTCATTAAGGGTTATTAGTAATAATACTAATACTACTACTGGAAATTTTTTAGGGTGCTTACCTGTATGTACCTCAACATTATATACATACAAGTAATCTCATTGGGAGACAACCATATTGTTTACCGTAGTCACCCCGTGTAGACATGTGAGAAAACTTAACCACCTCTGGTCACTACAGGTGGCCCCTCGACCCTCACAATCTTGTCCACATCTATCCGAGACCAGTATAAATTGGGTAGCACCCTCAAGCACGGCGCTATTAATTAATTGTGGACTGTATAAATTATATTAGTTTAACTGAATGAAGGGGGGGGGGTAGGATACACATGGATACATCCATCAAGGAAAAACATTTGTACATAATCCCACCGCTTACCAGATATTCCCTGGTGGTCACTTGATGTGGCTGGATCACCCTTAACCTATCCAATTAAAACATACCTAACTGGCCAGTATCAGTCTGTTATAACTAGAAGGGTTACTTAACTGGGGGTGATTGATGCTCCTTATTTCCACCATTCACCATCTCATTTCGACGTCCCGCCACACCGACAAGGTTCTTATTCCAGCAGAACGAGGTATCCGTTGGTTTGTCCCGGTTTAGAAGTCGTGATACCATAAAACTTCACTATCCTCGATACGATAATCACGCGTTCACTCGGAGCAGGGCGCTCTATTTCACATCCCGCATTCTCTTAACTTAATGTTATTATCACTGATTACATTACCATTCACAAGACGATTTAACGTCTCATAATTATTATACACATTAGAGGTCACTCCATTAAGATCTGAGGCCGATGAGTAAGGATTAACTCACGGGTATTTCCCCTGGACACACACCATGGCGTCGCACCAGTCAGCACCGGTCCTATCATTATTCACTAATTTTACCATTTTATTACGGTGGTCCCGCAAATCACGTTCCCTCACTCTTCACTAGGGACAGTCACGACACTTCCTATTATGAATTGAGGCCTATGTTAATTCTTAGGCCGCCGTGAACGCCCGTTTCCTCATCCCCGGTTTTCACAGCCTCCTCACCCATTCAAAACACTGCCGCCACCCCCATGGCCCGAGTCGACCTATACCCCCGCACATCCGCGCATGCGCAAAGGGAACTCTTGGTTCTATCCTATTGTCAAATACATTTTTGACTCATATCGACACATTAAACACCTATTAGGCGCTATAGCTTCGGAAAATCAAAAATTTTCCACAATCTTTATTTCTACAAGTACATGTACAAGGTACACAGGCCTAGCTGACAACAAGGACATACTACTGTACTGAAAGTCGCTTGTTATGCTCTCAGAGCATTTCGGGCAAATTAGGTCAGTTTTGTCCAAGGAAGCGACCCACACCAGTCGACTAACACCCAGGTATCCATTTTACTGATGGGGAACATAGACAACCGGTGTAAGGAAACACGCCCAGTGTTTCTAACCTCACCGGGAATCGAACCACAAAACTGCGCCATGTGAAGGGAGAGCTTTAGCCACCAGGTCATGGGGTACTTGCTGTCAAAACGAGCTTAATAACCTTCATACAGCTAATGTTGATTTAATAATCCATTTGCTTTCAAAATAGGATTAATTTCTACCTAATAAACTGTTACAGATTTGGACATTTATTTATGAAATTTGTGTTAATAAATATTTAACATTTATCAAATATCAATCTTTTTATTTTTTCTATTAATTATAGATCCAGTACTGGCCCCCTACTTAAGCAAGATTGGCCCTACACAGATGACAGCAAGGAAATGAGTGAGCTACTCAAGTCCCAATATGACTCAGTTTTTAGCAAGCCTCTAACCAGACTGAGAGTCGAAGATCTAAATGAATTTTTTATGAGAGAGCCACAGAATTTGGTAAACACAAGCCTATCCGATGTTATCCTGACGCCAGATGACTTCGAACAGGCGATAAATGACATGCCCATCCACTCTGCCCCAGGGCCAGGCTCATGGAACTTAGTGTTCATCAAGAACTGCAAGAAACCCCTACCACGTGTTTTTAACATCCTATGGAGAGGGAACATGGACACTGGGGTCGTCCCACAGTTAATAAAAACAACATAGCCCCACTCCACAAAGGGGGCAGTAAAGCAATAGCAAAGAACTAAAGACCGATAGCACTAACATCCCATATCATAAAAATCTTTGAAAGGGTCCTAAGAAGCAAGATCACCACCCATCTAGATACCCATCAATTACACAACCCAGGGCAACATGGGTTTAGAGCAGGTCGCTCCTGACTGTCCCAACTACTGGATCACTACGACAAGGTCATAGATGCACTAGAAGACAAAAAGAATGCAGATGTAATATTCGCAGACTTTGCAAAAGCCTTCGACAAGTGTGACCGTGGCGTAATAGCGCACAAAATGCGTACTGAAGGAATAACAGGAAAAGTTTGTAGATGGATCTATAATTTCCTCACAAACAGAACACAAAGAGTAGTCAACAGAGTAAAGTCTGAGGTGGCTACGGTGAAAAGCTCTGTTCCGCAAGGCACAGTACTCGCTACTCGCTCCCATCTTGTTTCTCATCCTCATACCTGACATAGACAAAAATGTCAGCCACATCACCGTGTCTTCCTTTGCAGATGACACCCGAATCTGCATGAAAGTGTCTTCCATTGCAGACACTGCAAAGCTCCAGGCGGACATCAACCAAATCTTTCAATGGGCTGCAGAAAACAATATGAAGTTCAACGATGAGAAATTTCAATTACTCCGATATGGTAAACATGAGGAAATTAAAACTTCATCAGAGTATAAAACAAATTTCAGCCACAAAATAGAGCGATAAACTAACGTCAAAGACTTGTGAGTGATCATGTCGAAGGATCTCACGTTCAAGGACCATAAGATTGTATCAATCGCATCTGCTAGAAAAATGACAGGATGCGTAATGAGAATCTTCAGAACTAGGGATGCCAAGCCCATGATGACACTCTTCAGGTCGTTTGTTCTATCTAGGCTGGAATATTGCTGCACACTAACAACACCTTTCAAGGCAGGTGAAATTGCTGACCTAGAAAATGTACAGAGAACCTTCACGGCACTCATAACGGAGATAAAACACCTCAATTACTGGGAGCGCTTAAAGTTCCTGAACCTGTACTCCCTGGAACTCAGGCGGGAGAGATACACGATTATATACACCTGGAAAATCCTAGAGGGACTAATACCAAACTTGCACACGAAAATCACTCACTACGAAAGCAAAAGACTTGGCAGACGATGCAACATCCCCCCAATGAAAAGCAGGGGTGTCACTAGCACGTTAAGAGACAACACAAGTGTCAGGGACCCAAGACTGTTCAACTGCCTCCCAGCATACATAAGGGGGATTAACAATAGACCCCTGGCTGTCTTCAAGCAGGCACTTGGCATGCACCTAAAGTCGGTACCTGACCAGCCGGGCTGTGGCTCGTACGTTGGATTGCGTGCAGCCAGCAGTAACAGCCTGGTTGATCAGGCCCTGATCCACCATGAGGCCTGGTCACAGACCGGGCCGCGGGAGCGTTGACCCTCGGAACTCTCTCCAGGTATACCAGGGATCTTAGTCTATATTTACCGAGAAGTCTTATATTTTCTTACTGGACTATTAAATCAGCTTAACTAGCGACGAAGTCAAATACAGTGACAAGTTGGATGTGTATTACGAGTCATTACAATTATTTGTTGGTGATATCTGGATATCTCGCAAAGTTAAGTAAGTTTTTTTTTGCCAGAGGGTATACAATTGTTGCAAAATTATGTATACAGCTTTGACAAAGTGACAAAAGACACGTGGACAGTTAAGAACTACGCATTTGAATGATAATATTTATTGTAGAAATCTTACATCATCTCCAGGTTGGGATCCTCTCCAAGATACGATACGACGTGCCGCAAAATGCCCTTCTCACACTATACCACTCACTTATTTATCCATACCTCACCTATGCTATTTGTGCTTGGGGATCAACTGCAGCAACACACCTAAAGCCAATAATAACCCAACAAAAAGCTGCAGTAAGAATAATCACTAAATCCCATCCCTGGCAACACCCCCCCCCCACTCTTCATAGATCTAAACTTACTCCCTGTTCAGTACATCCACACTTACTACTGTGCAATCTACATCTACATGACCTTAAACTCCAATATCAACCTTGACCTAAAACGCTTTCTTGATAGTTGTGACAGAACCCACAGGCATAACACCAGACACAAACATCTCTACGACATTCCCCGTGTCCGACTAAACCTTTACAAAAATTCAATGTATGTCAAAGGCCCTAAAATCTAGAACACCCTACCTGAGAACTCTAGAACTGCAGACACATTCATCACCTTCAAAACTACCATTAGAAAACATCTTATCTCCCTGATACACCCCATCAACTAACTACACGAATACCACCTGGCGGTTCACACTTACACTCACTCACCCATTTGACCATAAACAGAAATATTAATCTCAATCTTAAAATAATGAATCCTGTGATACTCCAATACTGAAACTATGTACTGTGCCAAAACAAAAGCATTCACATTGCTAAACTCACAAACTAGTATTTAGTCACTTAGCCATAATACCAACTTACCTCATAATTTGTAATATTTTAAAATTAAGAATTAAACTAAGTCTGCCCGAAATGCCTAGCCATGCTAGGTGTTCTAGTGGTACACTCTGTAATTATTATTTAACTATATGTAAACCACACAATAACCAAATTCTGTAAACTCAGCATTGTAATTCTTATAGAGAATAAACTTTGAGGTAATATAAATCTCAAAATTCCCGGGAAAACTGCTCTGCCATCTTTATTTTGCTTCTTGTCGTGTGTCCCCGCATGGGTAGTTTGTCATTGGCTTTGGCTCTATTATTTTTATTTTGCTAGCGTAATATTAAACACAGTGACCCTTACCTAACACGAAAATTATCATATAATTTTTGAAACATGTTCAATGCATTCGACTCTAAATATATTTATTGCAATATGCTCAATTTCGGTAGAAAGTATATGCCAGAAGTTGAGACAACTCCAACATGGTCTGTGGCACTCGCAACGGAATTTCATTGACGCATATTTTGATATTCCTTTTACAAGATGTCGCGGCATAGAGACGTTAGGAAGTTAGATTACGACGAAGGTAAATAATTTTCAGCATTGACTTAAAGTTCCGTGGAATATATAGTGTTTTCCAGCCGTAAGAGTCTGGTCTTGATCTTGAGGTCTAGACAATTCAGTGTCCTGTCTTAGGTCAGTTTCCTGGGCTCTGATAAAGGACAAAGTAAAGCTATAATAGAGCTTTTTGTTATAAAAGTATTAAAATCACAGCCTTCCATGTGTTGTGCCTGTTGTAAAGCAACGATTTTTTATTTTTTTTTTAGATTAGCTTTATACTGGTATGTACGTTATATTTAGAATTGGACAGTATTGAATAGTTATTATAGATACATAGTGACGGTATATGATGGCTTAACCAAAGATAGTATCATACTTTCTCAAAAAGATTTAATTATATCACAGTAACTTAGTATGGGGGAGCGAAATAGGTGTCCAAAAATGTCTAGTTTACCTGGAGAGAGTTCCGGGGGTCAACGCCCCCGCGGCCCGGTCTGTGACCAGGCCTCATGGTGGATCAGAGCCTGATCAACCAGGCTGTTACTGCTGCCTGCACGCAATCCAACATACGAACCACAGCCCGGCTGTTCAGGTACCGACTTTAGGTGCTTGTCCAGTGCCAGCTTGAAGACTGCCAGGGGTCTATTGGTAATCCCCCTTATGTATGCTGGGAGGCAATTGAACAGTCTCGGGCCCCTGACACTTATTGTATTGTCTCATAACGTGCTAGTGACACCCCTGCTTTTCATTGGGGGGATGTTGCATCATCTGCCGAGTCTTTTGCTTTCGTAGCGAGTGATTTTCGTGTGCAAGTTTGGTACTAGTCCCTCTAGGATTTTCCAGGTGTATATAATCATGTATCTCTCCCTCCTGCATTCCAGGGAGTGAGTAAATTTGAATAATGTTAACAATAGCAAAAAAAAAAAAAAACACTACATTAGCTTGTACAAAATACACACTGTTTACTTGTATAGTGAAGTCAAGTTAATGGACTAATGGGAAGGGGCAGGGGGGAAGGGTGGCCTATAATGGCAGTTGTGAAGGATAGAGAAAAGATTGTGGTCAGTGTTTATATACTGGTGTGCTTTTATTATGTAAATTCTCCAGTATTAAGTACATTGTGCAACAGAGATATTTAGTGTTTATGGGAAAAGACCTAACAATGTTACCCAGCCTAATCTAACTAACAGTTTTATGGCTGGTTTTGGTTAGGTTAGGTATCTACATATGTCATTCTTACTTTGCCTGTTATCAGCAAAATAAAAAAAAAATTACACAGCAGGCAACTAAATTTCCCATGGAATGGGCAGCATGAATGTTATTTATAATGCAGAGTAGAAGATTTTTGTCCCTGGGAAAAAACGTAATGATGACCGAGATTGTTTTGCCACGATAGCAACACTAAAGTATTCTATTACCAATGGATTTTGTCCGTTGTATCCAAATCGATCAACTTGGTGGTCTGTCGTACTGAGCGTTTACTGTAATAAAAATTATGAGTTCAATAGATTTATTTACCTGTTATGGTAAATAGGCAAGATTGTTTTGCCATCATGATGGCAAAGTGTTGTCTCCAGGAGATCTAGTTCATTAGTCCCATAATATGCCTCTCTTTTGATGTAGCAATAACAGGCAAGTCTGTACCCAGTGAACTTCGTCCGTTGTTTCCAAAATCAATTTAAGTAAGATTTTCTCTGTTATTCCTGAATGTCCGCTAAATGAAGGCTTTACTGTACATAGGGAGAATTAAATCATGGCATTAATGTACATTGTTATTAGCTAGAAATTATGAGGACATCTCATTTGCATCTAACTTTTTTAAGAATAATATTGAAATACTGTACATTACTGCACTTACTGCCCATAATTAATTGCCAGTCAGGAAACATCTTTAGAACAGCTTGAACATAAATTATTTTTTATGCACCTTACCTGTACTCTTTCAACTTTCAACAATTAAGCTGTACTGTATCTTAATAATGTGGATACTTATGTCAAATCATAATTTTAGGTTTATAACCATTGAAACAGTTGAATAGACTTATTTTTTTACAGTACAATAACTCTACAATCACCTTTGTATTCACAGAATATGACGATGCATATGACGAAGAAGTCTATGGCCACTCGGTTGATGATGGCGACTATGGTGTGTCACCAGGAATGGGTAAGAGTAATGAAAAAAAAAAATTCTAAAATGCCATGCCGTGCTTAGGGTACTGCGAATTTCATGAAATCATTTTTATTTTTAATTACACTACTCATTTTAAATTGGTATGTACCTACCTATTGCAGTATTAATTATTAATATATGCTTTGTTTTTCAGAGCAATATTTGTACAGCAGAAGTAGAGACAATACACATGGATTTGGTCTATATTTTCCAACTGGAGAGGATATCAAAGAAGAAGATTCATATGATAACTCAAATTATAAGGTTAGCACATGCAGTATACTATATAGTAATTATGTTTATTATCAGTATTACCTGTTTGTTGCTACAGGAGCAGAGCTATGCTCATGATGATCCATAATTGGTATTTAGTTTCCAGTACTTATAGGCCACACTATAACCTCTTCAATCCCATTCCAGTTATTTATCACTTCTTATTACTCATTTTTTTTTACAGACTAATAGCTGTTAATGTACTTATGGTATACCACTCTCCAGAATATGTTGCACAGCAGTCGACTAACCCAGGTACCTATTTACTGCTAAGTCAGCAAGGGGCAGCAGGTATAAGGAGACTTACCCCTCCATCTTATGCTGCTCGAGAGTCGAGCCCTGGACTTGTTAGGTGGGAGCAGAATGCTCTACTATTAGGTTACTTAAAATGAACAGGAGTCATTATTTCTATGTACCAGGATGTCTAAATTGGGTATTCTGTTATTCGCTTCAGTTACTAAAGCAAACCCCTTGTAAGTTCAGCGCTTATTTTTTATTGTAATAATAATAATAATACTAAAGCAAACTACAGTATTTCCTATTTGATACATTTTGAAAAAATATGTGAATTTAAAAGTTGCTCACCTATGGAACATAGCCTTATTTTTCCCCTTATGTTCTTTAATTAATGTAAAGCAATTTTAAGTAATGTGTAGATTCTAAGGAACATAACTTTTGCCCCCATCCTGCTTTATGAGAGACTCATAAGATTGATCTGATCAGCATATTGAAGTGCTAAGGTAGTAGAGACATTTTGGTAACTGGGGAAGGAATACTAGAGAGCAAAATAATAGAGAGAATAATTATATGGCAAAAAATCTGTGGAAAAGAAAAGCTCTAGAGTTTGGGAATACATACCTGTATGTTAGTTTGGAACATAAGTACCTTGTTGAATCATTTATAACAGACCAATTTAAGAGTAGAAAATTTGAAAGCTACATTAGCCAGAGGATCAGTAGTCAAATACTGAAGCCATCTTAAGAGAGAAAAAAAAAAAAGAGAATATTTCTGACTGATAAGATAATCAAGGAAGCCAGCCTAGGGAAGCAATAGAGACAATAGACAATTTTTTTTTTACTGAGGAGTGTACTGTTTTGAGCTAAGTGCCTAATGCTTTTGTGAATGAATAGACAAGGGATGGGGGTATTACTGTGAGATTAAGCACAAACCCCACTGTTGGAGTGAAAGTGTTTGTGTAGGGTATATTGACAACCAGCTGTTAGATTACAAATGGTTATACAGGTTATTTTGACAAATAAAATAAAGGGTAATTGGACATGGCACATAATACAGGAGTTAACACAAAAAAGAGAGGAAGGTGATGATAAGTGTTGAAAGAAAAGCCTTAAGCACAAGAATTCCAAGAATTTGAAATGTGTAGGTCATTATTTGTTGTGTAGTGTTACTGATACCGCTTACAAATTACAGGGTATTTTTATGCTCTTTAGTTACATTTCTCATCTTAAATGAAATACCTACATGTATTTTTGCAGCCAGAATCCTTAGAACGAATCCGTCATGACTCTTCAAATTACGTCAAGCCATCTTTATCACCAGAGGATGAGGTAAGACCTAAAATATTTGGTTTGGTATATTCATAAGCCTTTTCTATGGTTCTTCAAATTTATCTTGCTTGAACGGTATTAATTTTGGCATTAACACATTTTCAGATAATATTTTTACACACTTCATTCAGTTAATAATTAGCTAGTATCTTAAAGCTTGTAAAAGTACTTAATGTGAAACTGTGAAAGTTAAAAAAAAGTTGATAAGTATAACTAATTGGGTTGGCACTTCTGAGATTCAGACTGAGAGTGAAAGGAATAATTTTGCAAGTGTAATATAATTTAATTTTTGTAGGCAAGTGCAGAAAGGAAGGTGGTGTAAATTTTTCTGTTATTTTTTATTCTTTATAGCATGAAAGTACAGTTAGAACTGTTGAACTGTAAATCCCTGGTGTGAATTATGGCTTTTGGGGGATGTAATTTTCAGGTTCGTTTAGCATCAGTTTTGGATGAACTGCGGAACATCTTGGGAGACAAATACACTGAGACGGAATTGACGCAGACAGTTTTAACTCATGAGTTTGAGCTTGATGCTTCACTAAATGCTCTTCTCAACAAGTCATCATCACCAGTGATAGCACAGTCTCTCCCACAAAGGGAAAAACGAGTTAGAACTAGAGGTGAGACGATACAAAATTTTCCTTTGTGAATTAGTGGTTTCTGCATGAAGGTTGTGGGTATGGTATCTATTTTATTTTCAGTTGCTAATTTCCAGATGTTGCCCTGGAAATACAGCCTTTTAAAGATTTTTTTTTTTTTTTTTTTTTTTTTTTTAGTTCTGTGATCTTTGATTTTGAACATGTTTTACCAGCTCTCTCTCTCTTGGTATAAATTTCAGTGAGAAATATCTTGTAACTTCATTATACTGCTATATTTTGGATGGTATGTTCTCTTATTCATTTCAAAAATGCTTGAAAAAATTTCCAAAGTATGCAGTACATTCTGATTTTATTATTACCTGTGATGTGTGCCAATTGTATCGTCTGCATTAAGCAGGATAATTCATGACCTTAGTAAAACAAAAAAAAATTGTAATTGGTGACCCTTGCACATTTTAAATTTTTATTTGGCACAGGATTATTTTAATAATCTCAATTTAATAATTAATTTTCTCCATAGATTATTGATTGGTTTTCCTCAGCTCTCACTACATACTATTTATTTACTTTCAGATAAGCCACTCATAGCATCAGGTGTTAAGGAGCTCTCTATTACACAACAAACGAATAAAAATGATAAGGATAACTTGGCACAAAGCAGTAAGGTGCCCTCCTTTACAGCATCTGGTGCTCGTAGTCAGCCTCGTACTCCTGTAGTTGTGACAACACCTGCGAAAAATGGCAGCACTCTACGGGTGGTGCGTGGCTTTGACATTCAGGAAGCTGATGGTTAGTGAGAACAGTTTATAGTGTTATTCCCTTCAGAGTTTCCTTGATTCTTATGAGGAGCTTTTGATCCAGAGAAATAGGCACGTCCTTTTCTTCTTTGGATCATACCTGATTGCCTCCCATTCTCCAGGCGCTGTATGTTTGTGTAATTATTCATTTACAATTACCCCACATTGTGATATGCAACTATTTTTTTAAATTTCTCTTAACAAACCAGCCTTATCACACCAAGGCAGGGTGGCCCAAAAAGAAAAACGAGTTTCTCTTTTTAAATTTAGTAATATGTACAGGAAAAGGGGTTACTAGCCCCTTTCTCCCGGGATTTTATTCGCCTCTTACAACACGCATGGCTCACAGAGGAAGAATTCTGTTCCACTTCCCCATGGAGATGAGCGGAAATAAACAAGAACAAGAAGTAGTAAGAAAATAGAAGAAAACCCAGAGGGATGTGTATATATATGCTTGTACATGCATGTGTAGTGTGACTTGAGTGTAAGTGGAAGTAGGAAGACATACCTGAAACCTTGCATGTGTACGAGAGAAAATAAGACACCAGCAATCCTGCCATCATGTAAAACAATTACAGGTTTCCGATTTACACTCGCTGGGCAGGACAGTAGTACCTCCATGGGTGATTGCTGTCTACCAACCTACTACCTAGGTTTAAGTTTATCCCATCTCCCTAAATGTACATTATTAATATAAATTTATGATAGTTCTTGTTGCTCTGCTAATTGGTTTACAAACAAACATTTAGTCTTGTTCATGTTTTCAAAGAAAGTGCTTAAACGTTTTGCTGTTTAGATATGCCAGATTTTCTCTCCATACAGTTGTCTCTTGTTAATTCATTTCCCACATTTTTTAAATAATGAATTGTCTAAAATAACATTATAATCATGTTAAACCCTTCATGTTCTCAAGGTTGTGCTCAGTGAAACCCCAGCAGATAGTTAAATTGTGAATGGCTTCACATGTCATGTCAGACTACTAGAACCTATCACTGAAGCACTTCTCATATTACTTCCAACTACCAACCTATCACTTAAGCACTTCCAGCTTCCTACTATAGACATTTAGAACCTCCATTAATATTGTATACAGTTTCATCCTACAGTACATGCCAGAAAAAGTGGTGCTTCATACAGAAATATCAGTGTATCTTGAAGTAAATATGGATTGAAACAAAGTACAATACGGGATTAAGGAAATTTTTTTTGTTTTTATTGTACACTAGTTAGTAACATAAATACTATGTAATATGAAGCTGTATTGTTAAATAGGGATGATTTCTGTTGCTTTGCCTGTGTAAAATAAGCTGTTGTTTAAATGAAAACTTCCTATCTGTCCAGAGAGCACAACATCAGAGAACAACCTTGGTAACCATGAACAGGATTCCAAACGGTCACGTTCCAGTACGCCTGTACGTGGATGGAAAGACAAAGAGAAAGACAAGGATAAAGAGACACCCATAGCAACAAAAACTCCTGCTAGGTATAACCTTGATTTTACAAACATTGCAGTTAGATATTTTAGCTAAAGAATATATGTTCAGTGTTTTTGTGATTAAGATTAATTAGGGATGGGAGGATATCAAATTTTTTGCCAGTACTGATGTTGCTACTAAATTTTAGGCTGACACCATCAAAATTGGCTGATACCCACCAGTAATGATAACTTGGTACACCCCTACTTAAAGATTTTTGTGCATTTGTGTATGTGCTTCTGTGTACCTTTGTGTAAGGTAGACTTAAGGATTAGGCATTTTGTGCATTGGAGGTATATCACTTTTTTTATATAATTTGTTGGATTTTGCAAGTGTATGGTAGACATAAAAGAATTACTGGTTATATTCCATGACTTCTTGTATACATATACTGTAGATCCTTGTCATATGTAGCAGATATGATCCTGGAAAATACACTTAAAGCAGAACTTTTTTTTTTTTAACACACTGGCCCCCTTTTTTAAGGAGGGGTGGGGATGTTTGCTGTTTGGAGGGTCATCTGAACTGTTGCATCTAAAGCAAAACTATTTTTTGGAATATAAAAACTAGCATAGAAATTAGGTCTACAGGAACTTGGTTGGAAGAGTATAATTCCAGTAGTTCCTGTTTCAAGTGCAGTTATACAGTTAGCATGCAAGCAGGTGGAGAGTTTAAACATAAACACATCTGAGCCATTATTTTGAAGTTATTCTAGCAAAAATTGCATTCAACATTGTTATTAATGATAATTTGTATCTTTATAATAGAATTCGAGACAAAGCTGTAGATGTGATGTCAGAATACAAGGAGCAGAGAGGTAGTGGGAAGAACCTTATTAATCTGGTTGTTGTAGGCCATGTTGATGCTGGCAAGTCCACCCTTATGGGTCATCTCTTGTATCTCCAGGTAAACATTACACCTTTTATATTTACCTCTTAATTCATTTTTCTGATATAAATGTATGGATTAGATTATTGAGCTTGATAATTATATTGTATTTGACATTAGTGCACGTTATTTTTCTTTACAAATTTATATAAGAAATAGAGTAGCTGTACTTACCTTTGTCAAGACATTATGCTGAGATAAGTAGGTGCTTATACATTTAACCTTTTGGGGGTTTCGGACGTACTAGTACGTCTTACGACCCAGGGTTTTTGATGTGCTAGTACACCTAAATTCTAGCGCCCTCAAATCTAGTGAGAGAAAGCTGGTAGGCCTACATATGTAAGAATGGGTCTTTGTGGTCAGTGTGTGCAGTATAAAAAAAATCCTGCACCACACAGTGCGTAATGAGAAAAAAAAACTTTGACCGTGTTTTTGGATTAAAACAGCAACTTTGCACTGTATTTTCGTATGGTATTTATTGCTGTATTCTAGTTTTCTTGGTCTCATTTTATAGAATGGAAGACATATTACAGAAATTGAGATGATGTTGACTGGTTTTACAATGAAAAGTACTTTGAAATTGAGCTCAAAGTAGCAGAAATGTTCGATTTTTACCAAAGTTCAAAAGTAAACAAATCATGCCAAGCGTCCAATACACATCAACTGGTGAGTCTAATATTCTTTCACAAGTGCGCTGATATTATTTATACCATTTCTACACTAATGCAGTAGTCTGCATAACAGTAAATCTTATTTTTTTTTTGTAAGAATAAAATTTCAAAGTGGAAAGCCAAAGAAATATAAGAGGGGCCTGAGTATGTGACTAAAGAACAGAGAACTTGTTATTTTAGTGCCAGGAATGTCTTTCTTGTTTATTCTGGACCCTATTCGGAAATTGGCATCTTTTGAAATTTTTGTGAAATTGGCAAAATTGCTAAATTCTGACCACTTTATTGGATAGTTGAAATTGGTAAATGGGTGGTTTCTTGTACTCATTCGATAGAAAAAATGGAGTTTTAGCGAAATAGTTATGATTTTTGTCGACTAGTACACTGGAATTGGCCGAAAATAGGGCTCAAAGTGGGCAAAATCGCCGATGCGTAAACATCGTCGAGACCGCTAACTTCGCGAGAGCATAATTCCATAAGTTTTCCATCAAATTTCATACTTTTGGTGTCATTATGATCGGGAAAAGATTCTCTATCTTTTCATAAGAAAAAATCTTTTTTTTAATTTGGCCGACCCTGAGAACATGTCTCTGAGAGGACCCGTCAACCCCCAAAGGGTTAATCAAATACTTCCAGAGATATCAGGATCATAATTTTTTACTGATCCCAACTATATTTACTTGAATAGTGCTTTCCATGTATCTCACTTTAGCACATACTGCTCTGAATATAATTATCTTCATATCTAATATTTTATTTCCCTAAGTGTTGTATGACACTTAAGTTTCTTTCTCCTATATGTGGGTTATTTGTGTACTCTTAACTCTTAAACTGTCCAAGCAGATCTACATTCACATGTGTAATGCTCCAAAAGCAGATCTACGTTTTTTTTACGTATTTTCAAACAAAAAAAAAAAAAGTAGATCAAAGTTTTTTTACACGTTTTCAAATGTAGAAAAAAAAGATCTACTTTTTTTACATACTTTAAAATGTTGAAAAAACGTAGATCTACGTTTGGACAGTTTAAGGTTTAAATCAGGGTTTGTTAAACTGATATTTTACTGTATAATACTTGTTCTATTTCTGTTTTATATTGTAGGGTAATGTTGGTCAGAGAACTATGCACAAATATGAACAAGAAAGCAAGAAAGTTGGCAAACAGTCCTTCATGTATGCTTGGGTGCTAGATGACACTGAAGAAGAGAGGCGAGTGATTTTTTTATGTAAATTGTTTATTCATGGTTCCATATTTAAAATAGCATTGTTGTCACCAACTGCCTGACTCCAATAAAGGTAACCTCTAATATAGTGCCCAGATCTTTTGATGAATTAATATTATGGAAAGCTGTTTTCGCATTAATCTATTGAGTAATATTCATCATAAAGTATTTGTTGGCCTAAACCATGAAATTTTGTAATAATATAGCAATAACATTTGAGATAATTCCTGCCTTCATGGTTTTCTAAGTATTTTTAATTTGCTCATTGGTACAAGAATTTAGTTTCATTATGAAATTTAAATAAATTATTTTGTGTGCAATATCACAAAAGATAACAAGGAAGTTTGATTAGTATTGAACAAGCATTTTAAAGAGGTCTCAGAAGAACTTATGACAGTGGATTCTACAAGAGGGAGAAGAAGCACTGTCCGTACCTCTAGCTAAGACCGACGAGTCATTCATGACACTGGACAGTTACCAGAGATCTAGAGCCTACATTTAAGAGAATGGCAGGAAGAATTGAAATACAGACCAATTTCACTGACAATGTGTGATTTGAATATTATGCAGAGAATTCGTAGTGTCGAAATTAGGAGAAGGTGTGGAGTTAATAAAAGTATTCAGAGGGCTGAGGAGGGATTGTTTAGTGGTTTGATCATTTAACACTAACTGTCCAAACATAGATCTACATTTGTGTGCGTAGCGCTCCAACCTTGATTTTCTCCATAAGCATGTAAAAAAAAGTAGATCTACGTTCGGAACGCTATGCGAGCGAACGTAGATCTACATTTGGACAGTTTAAGGGATAAATAGGATGGAGCAAAATAGGATAACTCAGAAAGTGTATAAATATGTAGTGGAGAAAGGGCGGGGTTAGGGGTCATCCTAGGAAAGGATGGAGGGAATGGGTAAAGGAGGGTTTTGTGTGCAAGGGACTTGGATATGCAGCAGGCATGTGTGACCATGTGTTGGGAGTGAGTGGAGATGAATTGTTTTTGGGACTTGACGAGCTGTTGGAGTGTGAGCAAAGTAACACTTGTGATGGGATTTAGGAAGGTGGGGTAGGGGTCATCCCCGAAATGGTTGGAGGGAGGGATTAAAGGAAGTTTTGTGGGTGAGGGGCTTGGACTTCCAGCAAGCATGTGTGAGCATGTTAGATAGGAGTGGAGATAAATGGTATAAAATACCGACACAATGGAAACATAAACACATGCAGTTTAATGTGATCCTTTATTGACAACGTTTCGCCCACACAGTGGGCTTTTTCAAGTCACAAACAGATCTACCTGGGGTGGAAGATATGGGAGTATTTCTAGTCGGGTTCAGAATGTTGAAGTCAGGTGGAGAATGCTGCATCTGATGATATACCGGGTGGGGTTATAGAGTCTTGGGTAGCTTGGCAGGGGTATTGGACAAGTTGTGAGTAGACCTTCTGCAGTGTTCTATGTTCCTATGTGGGATAGCGATGAAGAAGTTTCTTGGCAAGTGGTTCAGCTATGTTATAGAAGCCATTTTTCTGGTTGAAATTGTTGGTTATAGAGATAAGCGATGATTCCAGGATTCTTCGGTATTGAATGTTGTCTTCTGTGGGTATACATAATCCCTTGTAATGACCGCAACAAATTATACGTGGGCGAAACATCAAGAGACCTCCAAACACGTATTTCAGAACACCAATACGCACGCAGGACTGACGATACAAGGAATGCCTGTGTACAACTTCGCAATTCACACAACCATTTAACTACAGAAACTCAAGACTTATCGCCACAGAAGACAACACTCAATACCGAAGAATCCTGGAATCATCGCTTATCTCTATAACCAACAATTTCAACCAGAACAATGGCTTCTATAACATAGCTGAACCACTTGCCAAGAAACTTCTTCATTGCTATCCCACATAGGAACATAGAACACTGCAGAAGGTCTACTCACAACTTGTCCAATACCCCTGCCAAGCTACCCAAGACTCTATAACCCCACCCGGTAGATCATCAGATGCAGCATTCTCCACCTGACTTCAACATTCTGAACCTGACTAGAAATACTCCCGTATCTTCCACCCCAGGTAGATCTGTTTGTGACTTGAAAAAGCCCACCGTGTGGGCGAAACATTGTCATTAAAGGATCACATTAAACTGCATTTGTGTTTATGTTTAGATAGGAGTGAATGGAGACAAATGATCTTTGGAACCTGACGAGCTGTTGGAGCGTGAACAGATTATATTTTGTGAAGGGATTCAGGGAAACCGGTTAGCCGGACTTGAGTCCTGGAAATGGGAAGTACAGTGCCTGCACTTTAAAGGAGGGGTTTAGGATATTGGCAGTTTGGAGGGAAGTCTAAATTGTCATATCTGAGTGCCTTTGCAAAGACTGATTATATATAAGTGATGGTGAAAGTGTTAAATGATGAAAAATTTTTCTTTCTTTTTGTGTTTCTCTCTCTCTCTTTGGGTCACCCTGCCTTGGTGGGAAACGGCCGACGTGTAAAAAAAAAAAATCTAAATGAACCTCTTAGATTGAAAAAGACTTGCTTATTTTTTCATAAATGTATCGATTCTTTCAATAAATAGAAAGTTCTTGTCTCACCTTGCATTATGGTGATAAATATATAAATCAAAATTATGTTTATACTTAGTATCATCTTCTGTACATGATCTCAGTTGGAGGTGAAAATATACAAATCATCTTTATTTCTTGTTTTTGTCTTCATGTTTTTTTTATTTTTACACACTGGCCATCTCCCACTGAGGTAGTATCTACAGATCAGATGCCCCTCCAAATTGCAATACCCCTGCCCATCCTTTAGAGTGCAGGCACTGTACTTCTCACCTCTAGAACTCAAGTCCAGCTAACCAGTTTCCCCAAATCCCTTCATAAATCTTACCTTCCTCACGTGTCAACAACACATCAAATAGTAAAAACCACTTGCCTCCACTCCTTTCTAACACACTCACTTGCCTGTTGGATGTCCAAGCCCTTTGCATACAAAACTGTCACCCCTCCCTCCCTCCAGCTTTCCTAGAGTGACTCCTACCCCATCTTCCCTCCACTACAGCTTTATACACCCTCTAGGTCATCCTATTGTGCTCCATCTTCTCTAAATGTTCAAACTGCCTCTAGTGAGAAACTAGTTGTGGTAGGTGACCTAAATGCTAGTGGGAGAAATTATTATACAGGGTATAGTAGATAAGTTTTGGGTGCCAGGGGCAAATGATAATGGGGGCCTTTAATTGAACTTTGTATAGAAAGGGTTTGATAATAGATAATACATATTTTAAGAAAAAGAGGTTAAATAAGCACACAAGATATGATATATGGCATAATGACAGTAATTTGTTAAATTGTAATCTAATTCCTATAAATTGAAATAACTTTTTCCAGATCCCGAGGTATAACAGTAGATATAGCCCAGAGAATGTTTGAATCAGACACCAAGATAATAACGCTCCTCGATGCTCCAGGACACGAGATTATTCCTAATATGATACAGGGGCAGCAAGAGCCGACGTTGCCTTTCTAGTCGTGAGCCCCACGGGGAAAATTTTGAAGCGGGGTTTGAAAGGGGTGGCCAGACCGGGAACTGCTCCTCTTGGGTCTTTGGGAAACTTGTGTTCAGTCGTTCTTTAAGAAAATGTTTATTTTCAAGACTTAATGAGTGTTCATGTTTTCATTTTGCTTTTTGGGAACATTTAACCCACCCAGGGATTATTGAGCAATAAAGATAATGGTTTATTTTCTAACAACCTTTTTTTTAGATCAGTATTTTGGCTTTTAATTTGGGTGAAAATTAATTAAAGTTTTAAATAACATAAGACATTGATTAATTTTTTAAAAAATATGAAGAGATTCATTAACACGATTACCTTTTAAATTTTATGAAAGTAGGGTTTTTTTACTTATCCTCAATAAAATAGCAATTCATGGTGGGTCTTTTTAGTTATTTATCATTTTTTTGCCGTAGACATACTTCCCATAAAAGCATTCTTCAAAAGGGCCTTGGTTGGGACTTCATACTTTTAATTAGGAATAGAGGGGCTATATCATTCAATAGCTATGGGGAGGAAAAGGGACTACAAATGTTAAATTTAAGATTAGTGGAGTAAAAAAAAAAAATTTGGTGTGAAAAAAATGGGTTTATAAGTGTGTATCACCTTAGAAGAGAGAAGTGTAGAGGAGAGGAGAATTCTGGGAAAAGTTTAGGAATGATGGGGATTTTTGAATCAAGTGTGAGAGTAATGGTGGTTGGGGATTTCAATGCTAAATTGGGGAAAAAAATTAGGAGGGATTTGTAGGGGAAATTTGGGGTGCCAGGGGTAAATGTAAATGGGGGACCTTTAATTGAGCTATATGTAGAAAGAAATTTTATAATAATAATAATATTTTTGAAAAAGAGGATAAATAAATAACAAGGGGAGAGTAGCACGTAATGAAAGTAGTTTTTTAGATTATGAATTGGTGGGTAAAAGGTTGATGGATAGGCCCAGGATGTACATGTTTATAGAGGGGGAATGATATATCGGATCATTTTTTAGTTGTAGTACAGTTAGGTAAAAAAGAGATGGGAAAAGAGGAAGGTGGCAACAAAAGTAAAGGGGGTGAAGTGTATAAAATAAGGGGGGGGAAGTTCGGGTGAGAATAAGGGCTATTGGGAGGGAAAGGGGGGCTGTCAAAAATGGTATAAAGGGGGGGTTGAAGGGGTTGGAATAGTTTTAAAAATGCAGTAAATTAGAATGTGGGGCAGAAGTTTGTGGTTATAGGAGGGTGGGGGCAGGAGGAAAGAGGAGTGACTGGTGGAATGATGAAGTAAAGGGTGTGATAAAAGAGAAAAAGGTAGCTTATGAGGGGTTCTTACAAAGCAGAAGTGTTATAAGAAGAGCAGAGTATATGGAGAGTAAAAGAAAGGTGAAGAGAGTGGTGAGAGAGTGCAAAAGGAGAGCAGATGATAGAGTGGGAGAGGCACTGTCAAGAAATTTTAATGAAAATAAGAAAAAATTTTGGAGTGAGTTAAACAAGTTAAGAAAACCTAGGGAAAGTATGGATTTGTCAGTTAAAAACAGAGTAGGGGAATTAGTAGATGAGGAAAGGGAGGTATTAGGTAGATGGCGAGAATATTTCGAGGAACTTTTAAATGTTAACGAAGAAAGAGAGGCAGTAATTTCATGCCCTGGTCAGGGAGGTATACCATCTTTTAGGAGTGAAGAAGAGCAGAATGTAAGTGTGGGGGAGGTATGTGAGGCATTACGTAGAATGAAAAGGGTTAAAGCAGCTGGAACTGATGGGATCATGACAGAAATGTTAAAAGCAGGGGGAGATATAGTGTTGGAGTGGTTGGTACTTTTGTTTAATAAATGTATGAAAGAGGGGAAGGTACCTAGGGATTGGCGGAGAGCATGTATAGTCCCTTTATATAAAGGGAAAGGGGACAAAAGAGATTGTAAAAATTATAGAGGAATAAGTTTACTGAGTAATACCAGGAAAAAGTATACGGTAGGTATAATTGAAAGAATTAGAGGTAAGACAGAATGTAGGATTGCGGATGAGCAGGGAGGCTTCAGAGTGGTAGGGGATGTGTAGATCAAGTGTTTACATTGAAGCATATATGTGAACAGTATTTAGATAAAGGTAGGGAAGTTTTTATTGCATTTATGGATTTAGAAAAGGCATATGATAGAGTGGATAGAGGAGCAATGTGGCAGATGTTGCAAGTATATGGAATAGGTGGTAAGTTACTAAATGCTGTTAAGAGTTTTTATGAGGATAGTGAAGCTCAGGTTAGGGTGTGTAGAAGAGAGGGAGAATACTTCCGGGTAAAAGTAGGTCTTAGACAGGGATGTGTAATGTCACCATGGTTGTTTAATATATTATAGATGAGGTTGTAAAAGAAGTAAATGCTAGGGTGTTCGGGAGAGGGGTGGGGTTAAATTATGGGGAATCAAATTCAAAATGGGAATTGACAGTTACTTTTTGCTGATGATACTGTGCTTATGGGAGAAAAATTGCAAAGGTTAGGGGATGAGTTTGAGAATGTGTGTAAAGGTAGAAAGTTGAAAGTGAACATAGAAAAGAGTAAGGTGATGAGGGTATCAAATGATTTAGATAAAGAAAAATTGGACATCAAATTGGGGAGGAGGAGTATGGAAGAAGTGAATGTTTTCAGATACTTGGGAGTTGACGTGTCGGCGGATGGATTTATGAAGGATGAGGTTAATCATAGAATTGATGAGGGAAAAAAGGTGAGTGGTGCGTTGAGGTATATGTGGAGTCAAAAAACGTTATCTATGGAGGCAAGGAAGGGAATGTATGAAAGTATAGTAGTACCAACACTCTTATATGGATGTGAAGCTTGGGTGGTAAATGCAGCAGCGAGAGACTGTTGGAGGCAGTGGAGATGTCCTGTCTAAGGGCAATGTGTGGTGTAAATATTATGCAGAAAATTCGGAGTGTGGAAATTAGGAGAAGGTGTGGAGTTAATAAAAGCATAAGTCAGAGGGCAGAAGAGGGGTTGTTGAGGTGGTTTGGTCATTTAGAGAGAATGGATCAAAGTAGAATGACATGGAAAGCATATAAATCTATAGGGGAAGGAAGGAGGGGTAGGGGTCGTCCTCGAAAGGGTTGGAAAGAGGGGGTAAAGGAGGTTTTGTGGGTGAGGGGCTTGGACTTCCAGCAAGCGTGCATGAGCGTGTTAGATAGGAGTGAATGGAGACGAATGATACTTGGGACCTGACAATCTGTTGGAGTGTGAGCAGGGTAATATTTAGTGAAGGGATTCAGGGAAACCGGTTATTTTCATATAGTCGGACTTGAGTCCTTGAAATGGGAAGTACAATGCCTGCACTTTAAAGGAGGGGTTTTGGGATATTGGCATTTTGGAGGGATATGTTGTGTATCTTTATACGTATATGCTTCTAAACTGTTGTTTTCTGAGCACCTCTGCAAAAACAATGATAATGTGTGAGTGTGTTGAATGATGATGAAAGTATTTTCTTTTTGGGGATTTTCTTTCTTTTTTGGGTCACCCTGCCTCGGTGGGAGACGGCCGACTTGTTGAAAAAAAAAAAATCATTCAGATATTTAGGAGTGGACATGTCAGTAGATGGGTCTATGAAAGATGAGGTGAATCATAGAAATGATGAGGGTAAAAAGGTGAGTTGTGCAGTTAGAAGTCTGTGGAGACAAAGAACTTTGTCCATAGAAGCAAAGAGGGGAATGTATGAGAGTATAGTTGTACCAACACTCATATATGAGTGTGAAACATGGGTGGTGAATGTTGCAACAAGGAGAAGGCTGGAGGCAGTGGAGATGTCTTGTCTGAGAGCAGTGTGTGCTGTGTATATAATGCAGAGAATTCGTAGTTTGGAAAGTAGGAGGAGGTGCAGGATTACCAAAACTATTATCCAGAGGGCTGAGGAGGGGTTGTTGAAATGGTTTGGACATGTAGAGAGGATGGAACGAAATAGAATGACTTTGAGAGAGTATAAATCTGTAGTGGAGGGAAGGTGGGGTAAGGGTCAGCCTAGGAAAGGTTGGAGGGAGGGGTAAAAGAGGTTTTGTGTGTAAAGGGGTTTGACTTCCAGCAAGCATGCGTGAGTGTGTTAGATAGGAGTGAAAGGAGACAAATGGTTTTTAGGACTTGACATACTGTTGGAGTGTGAGCAAGGTGACACTTATGAAGGGATTCAGGGAAAGCAGCAGGCCAGACTTGAGCCCTGGAGATGGGAAGTACAGTGTCTACACTCTGAAGGAGCGGTGTTATTGTTGCAGTTTTATAATTGTAGTGTAAGCATGCCTTTGGTAAGACAGTGATGGAGTGAATGATGATGAAAGTTTTTCTTTTTCAGGCCACCCTACCTTGGTGGGAGACGGCTTATGTGTTAATAAAAAAAATAATTTCCTATTTGTAGTTCTCCTCCTTTCCATTAATTTAGTAAGTTCAGGATTTATAAGTTTCTTTTGACAAGAATGAAATTATGTATTCTCTTTCAGGGGTTTCACAGTTAGTTGTATCTATCAACAAATTAGACTCCGTTGAATGGAGGGAAGACCGGTTCAAGGAGATAAAGCATAGTTTACGACAGTTTCTCAAAACTGTTGGCTTTAAGGACGCCGATGTAGTGTATATTCCATGCTCAGGTCTTACAGGAGAAAACCTTGTGAAGCCTAGCACAGAAGAGAAATTATTATCTTGGTATACAGGCCCAACATTACTTCAGGCCATTGGTAAGTTATTAGCCTATGTTCTAATCATAAGTACAGAATAGTAGTGGCTTTTTCTCCAATTTTCATTATTTTTCTCTGTATAGAGTAAAACATGTCCATTCAGTACAATACTAGGTTCCTTTACCAGCATGCCTTGTATCTGAGGAGTATTTTACCTTGAATGGGAATTTTTAAGCCAGAATGTCCTTTATACCTTTTAAAATACAGTAGAACCCCCGTATTCACTAATTCAGTGTCCGTGATTTCAGCTATCCACAGTTTACTGTGGCCCAAAAATACCTCTTTAATTTTGCACAATAATGGCCCCAAAGCACAAAAGTGAAAAAGTGATAATTCTCCTCTTATTGTGCATAATTTATCAATTAAACTTTATAATAGGTATGTATAGGACTTATATATAGGGTTTGATATTATCTGTGGTTTCGGTATCCATGGCAAGTCCTTGGAAAATGTCCCCCACAGATACGGGGGCCCTACTGTATCTTTTATTCTCTTGAAGGAATATGGAATCTTCTCATAATACTCAGTCTCCAAAACTGGTAGCAGTATATATTTTTTTGTGTTTAAGATAATACTTGTAGGTAGTTTTGATTGACATGAAAAAAAAAAGTTAGGCATTGGTATGTTTATTGAGAGATGCAGATAGAGAAGGTATCACCAGTGCCACCACCGTATGAACACAAGATAAAAATTGAACTCTTCACAGCTTGGTGTTTAGTGAGTGAGTGAAATAGATTTAAGGACCAGGGTACTTAGCTCTAGTTTGACTAGCGCTTTATGACCCTTGTAGATTTAGCGCTTCTTTTTTATGATAATACATAATATAGACTAAGTCTACTAAAGGGCACTGCTATCACGAGATGGCAGTGAGGCATCAGAGATAAAATTCCAATCTAAGTGGGCCTCCATTCACTTAGCCGCATACTGAGAATTGACCCAACTCTTCTCAGTTAACTGGAAAAATTAAAAGTCATGGTTCTGGTGTAGGTTTTTGTCTTCCACATATTGGTGTCCCTCAGTTACACTTTGCTAAGTGTAACTCTTTTAATAACAGGTTTGTACATTTGATTCTCAGATCAGTTGAAAGTACCAGAGCGTAGCATTTCCCGACCAGTGAGGATGTGCGTGAGTGATGTTTATAAAGGCCAAGGATCAAATATGTGCGTCAGTGGACGACTTGACACTGGTTACATTCAGCAAAATGACAGACTGCTTTTACTTCCACAAGGAGATGTACTTAATGTAAAAGGTGAGATTTATCTTGATGTAATTGTGGATGGTGTGCATGCAGCAGCTTATAGTACAGTATATCAAATTATTTATATGGCAAACATAAAAGAAATCTAGTTGATATAGTTCTTGTAGAATTTGTATTAATGGGACTAAAATTGATGGTTCAGATAATTTTTGTATAAATGTTGCAGGTGTGCAGGCAGACAATAGTTCAACTGCTACAGCTTTTGCTGGTGACCATGTAACACTAACAGTTAGTGGTGTTGACCCAAGCGTGCTTCATATTGGAGACTTTTTGTGTGACCCAACCCATCCCATCCCAATTGTGTCCCGAGTACAAGCTCGCATTGTTGTATTCAACATAAAAGTACCTTTGATTAAAGGAGCACAGGTAAGCCATTGGAATGTACAGTATTTCTTGTTAATTTATGTAATATACATTTTGATATCAGTTTTATATTTAAGCCCTGCTTTTGTTTTCAACAGTTTACCTTTACAGGCTTATAGCTGTTATCTTGTATCCTTATTCAACAATGAATTATATATAATCCTTAGACCTTCAAATAATATTTAACACTTCACTGTTAATTTTTTTTTTTTTTTTTTTTTTTTTTTTTTTTTTTTTCCAACAAGTCGGTCGTCTCCCACCGAGGCAGGGTGACCCAAAAAAAGAAAGAAAATCCCCAAAAAGAAAATACTTTCATCATCATTCAACACTTTCACCACACTCACACATTATCACTGCTTTTGCAGAGGTGCTCAGAATATAACAGTTTAGAAGCATATACGTATAGAGATACACAACATATCCCTCCAAACTGCCAATATCCCAAACCCCTCCTTTAAAGTGCAGGCATTGTACTTCCCATTTCCAGGACTCAAGTCCGACTATATGAAAATAACCGGTTTCCCTGAATCCCTTCACTAAATATTACCCTGCTCACACTCCAACAGATCGTCAGGTCTCAAGTATCATTCGTCTCCATTCACTCCTATCTAACACACTCATGCACGCTTGCTGGAAGTCCAAGCCCCTCACCCACAAAACCTCCTTTACCCCCTCTTTCCAACCCTTTCGAGGACGACCCCTACCCCTCTTTCCTTCCCCTATAGATTTATATGCTTTCCATGTCATTCTACTTTGATCCATTCTCTCTAAATGACCAAACCACCTCAACAACCCCTCTTCTGCCCTCTGACTAATGCTTTTATAACTCCACACCTTCTCCTAATTTCCACACTCCGAATTTTCTGCATAATATTTACACCACACATTGCCCTTAGACAGGACATCTCCACTGCCTCCAACCGTCCTCCTCGCTGCTGCATTTACCACCCAAGCTTCACATCCATATAAGAGTGTTGGTACTACTATACTTTCATACATTCCCTTCTTTGCCTCCATAGATAACGTTTTTTGACTCCACATATACCTCAACGCACCACTCACCTTTTTTCCCTCATCAATTCTATGATTAACCTCATCCTTCATAAATCCATCCGCCGACACGTCAACTCCCAAGTATCTGAAAACATTCACTTCTTCCATACTCCTCCTCCCAATTTGATATCCAATTTTTCTTTATCTAAATCATTTGATACCCTCATCACCTTACTCTTTTCTATGTTCACTTTCAACTTTCTACCTTTGCACACATTCCCAAACTCATCCACTAACCTTTGCAATTTTTCTTTAGAATCTCCCGTAATCACAGTATCATCAGCAAAAAGTAACTGTGTCAATTCCCATTTTGAATTTGATTCCCCAAAATTTAATCCCACCCCTCTCCCAAACACCCTAGCATTTACTTCCTTTACAACCCCATCTATAAATATTAAACAACCATGGTGACATTACACATCCCTGTCTAAGACCTACTTTTACCGGGAAGTAGTCTCCCTCTCTTCTACACACCCTAACCTGAGCCTCACTATCCTCATAAAAACTCTTTACAGCATTTAATAACTTATCACCTATTCCATATACTTGCAACATCTGCCACATTGCTCCTCTATCCACTCTGTCATATGCCTTTTCTAAATCCATAAATGCAATAAAAACTTCCCTACCTTTATCTAAATACTGTTCACATATATGCTTCAATGTAAACACTTGATCTACACATCCCCTACCCACTCTGAAACCTCCTTGCTCATCTGCAATCCTACATTCTGTCTTACCTCTAATTCTTTCATTTATAACCCTACCGTACACTTTTCCTGGTATGCTCAGTAAACTTATTCCTCTATAATTTTTACAATCTCTCTTGTCCCCTTTCCCTTTATATAAAGGGACTATACATGCTCTCCGCCAATCCCTAGGTACCTTCCCCTCTTTCATACATTTATTAAACAAAAGTACCAACCACTCCAACACTATATCCCCCCCCCCCTGCTTTTAACATTTCTGTCATGATCCCATCAGTTCCAGCTGCTTTACCCCCTTTCATTCTACGTAATTCCTCACGTACCTCCCCCACACTTACATTCTGCTCTTCTTCACTTCTAAAACATGGTATACCTCCCTGACCAGTGCATGAAATTACCGCCTCTCTTTCTTCCTTAACCCTTTCAGGGTCCGTCCCGTAGATCTACGGCTTTACGTTCAGGGTACAAACCGTAGATCTACGTCATGAGCTCAGCTCACTCTGATAAACTGTGAGTGGTACATTTGGGCCTAGATATGAGAGAATACATCTATGTGGTATGTGTGCACCACATAAAACAGATCCTGCAGCACACTGTGTATAATGAGAGAAAAAAAACTGAAATCATGATTTTTCGATTAAAACAGCGACTTTGCAGTGTTTTTTCGTATGTTTTTTATAGTTGTATTTGTGATTTCGTGGTCTCATTTGATAGAATGGAGGACATATTAGAGAAATAGAGATGATTTTGATTGGTTTTAGCACTGGAAATGGCTTGAAACTGATCTCAAAGTAGCAGAAATGTTAAATTTTTGCCGATATTCAAGAGTAAACATACGACCTCACACGTCTAATACACTCCAGCTGGTGGGTCTAATATGCATTCACAAATATGGTGATGATATTTATACAATTATTACAGTATTGCATAACAGTAAATCTTCTAATTTTTGGTGTGAATAAAAAATCAAAATGGAATTTATTTGTAAAGCCTCAAAATGTAACTAATGAACAGAAGAAATGTTAGTTTAGTTCCAGGAATACCTACATTGTTTATTCTGGACCCTGTTTTGAAATTGGAATATTTTGAACTTTGTGTTAAATTGACCAAATTAACAATTTCCAATCACTTTAATTTGTAGTTGAAACAGTTGACTTGGCGATTTCTTGTGCTCAGTTGATAGAAGAGAAGTAATACTAGTGAAATAGCTAAGAATTTGGTTGACTGGAATAATGTAATTGGCCTAAAATGGGAGTCAAAGTGGCAAAATCGCCGATTCGTAAATATCACTGACACATCAAAATTCGCGAGAGCATAATTTCGTCAATTTTCCATCAAATTTCGTACTTTTTGTTTTATTACCTTCACAAAAAGATTCTCTACCATTTCATAAGAAAAAATAACAAATTTTTTTTTTTTAAATTCTTGGACACTGGGGCACCACTTCAGATTTGGGCCTTGGACCCTGAAGAGGTTAACATTTAAAGGTTCCTCAAAATATTCTCGCCATCTACCTAATACCTCCATCTCCCCATCTACTAACTCCCCTACTCTGTTTTTACCTGACAAATCCATACTTTCCCTAGGCTTTCTTAACTTGTTTAACTCACTCCAAAAAATTTTTTTATTTTCATTAAAATTTCTTGACAGTGCCTCTCCCACTCTATCATCTGCTCTCCTTTTGCACTCTCTCACTCTCTCTCAAGGGAGGCCATGGTATTATTGATGGTTCTTTTCAAATTCCAATACTATTTTTTTTTATTTCTCACATTGCTTGTCAAGGCATGAGAGAGATCCAGACTAGAAAATATAAAAGTCTTGAACTGTCTCAAATAGAATTAGTGAACCCCCAGAACTACTAGTACTGTCTTACATAAAGCTCTTGAACTGAACTCTTTTGGAACAGAAGGCCAAGAGACTTCTTACACTATACATGGAGGATACCTGAAGGCCAGATCTCTGATCTCCATACTAAAACAAAATATTAATTGAGTGAAAGATACAAGACGATGTGTAAACACAGTGAAAAGTAGGGTGTTATAAGCATATTTTGAGAAAGCTGTCAATACTCAGGCATCTGACTCTTCAACCTCCTACAGCAAATGTAACATATTGGCAGAACAACAGTAGAAATCATTAAAAAAAAAAAATTCAGGCTTTCTGATCAGCCAGGTTGTGATATCTATGTGGGCCTATGTTTTTTTTTTTTTCAAGTTTCAGTATCCTGACTGATTAAGTGGTTGCTACACTAGATCCTTAACAAGTCATTTCAGCATTATCAAATTCCTGGGCCATCAGACTCAAAACTGGTCACAAGTATGAGTAGCTGGGTGTGAAGCATGGGTGGTAAATGTTGCAACAAGGAGAAGGCTTGAAGCAGTGGAGATGTCATTTCTGAGTGCAATGTGTGGTGTGAATATTATACAGAGAATCCATAGTTTGGAGTTTAGAAGGAGGTGCAGGGTTACTAAAAGTAATATCCAGAGGGCTAAGGAGGGGTTGTGGAGGTTGTTCAGACATTTAGAGAGGATGGAACAAAATAGAATGACTTAGAGGGTGTATAAATCTGTAGTGAAAGGAAGGTGGGGTAGGGGTCATCCTAGGAAAGGGTAGAGGAGGTTTTATGTGCAAGGAGCTTAGACTTCCAGCAAGCGTGCATGAGTGTGTTAGATAGGAGCGAGTGGAGGCAAATGATTTTTAATGATTGTGCTGTCAGTGTGTAAGCAAAGTAACATTTATGAAGGGATTTAGGAAAACTGATTAGCTGGACTTGAGTCCTGGAGGTGGGAAGTACAGTGCCTGCTCTCTGAAGGAGGGGTGGAGATTTGTTGCACTTTTTGAACTGTGGTATTGGCACACTTCTGGCAAGACAGTGATGGAGTGAATGATGATGAAAGTGCGTCTTCTTTTTCGGGACACCCTGCCTCGGTGGGAAACGGCTGTTGTATTAATAAAAAAATATGTAAGGTATGGGTATAAAGCAGAATTGAATCTTTTGATGCAAATAATATATTCTGTTTACCACCCTTAATTTTTTAATATTTAAACAGTAGAAGGATGCATGGAATTGTGGTGGACAGGAAAGTGGGTGCAGGAGGGAAGAGGAGCGATTGGTGGAATGATGATGTGAAGAGAGTAGTAAGGGAGAAAAAGTTAGCATATGAGAAGTTTTTACAAAGTAGAAGTGATGCAAGGAGGGAAGAGTATATAGAGAAAAAGAGAGAGGTTAAGAGAGTGGTGAAGCAATGTAAAAAGAGAGCAAATGAGAGAGTGGGTGAGATGTTATCAACAAATTTTGTTGAAAATAAGAAAAAGTTTTGGAGTGAGATTAACAAGTTAAGAAAGCCTAGAGAACAAATGGATTTGTCAGTTAAAAATAGGAGAGGAGAGTTAGAGGTATTGGGAAGATGGAGGGAATATTTTGGGAATTGTTAAATGTTGATGAAGATAGGGAAGCTGTGATTTCGTGTATAGGACAAGGAGGAATAACATCTTGTAGGAGTGAGGAAGAGCCAGTTGTGAGTGTGGGGGAAGTTCGTGAGGCAGTAGGTAAAATGAAAAGGGGGTAAGGCAGGCCGGGATTGATGGGATAAAGATAGAAATGTTAAAAGCAGGTGGGGATATAGTTTTGGAGTGGTTGGTGCAATTATTTAATAAATGTATGGAAGAGGGTTAAGGTACCTAGGGATTGGCAGAGAGCATGCATAGTTCCTTTGTATAAAGGCAAAGGGGACAAAAGAGAGTGCAAAAATTATAGGGGATAAGTCTGTTGAGTATACCTGGTTAAGTGTATGGTAGAGTTATTATTGAAAGAATTAAAAGTAAGACTGAAAAATAGGATAGCAGATGAACAAGGAGGCTTTAGGAAAGGTAGGGGGTGTGTGGACCAGGTGTTTACAGTGAAACATATAAGTGAAACAGTATTTAGATAAGGCTAAAGAGGTCTTTGTGGCATTTATGGATTTGGAAAGGCGTATGACAGGGTGGATAGGGGGGCAATGTGGCAGATGTTGCAAGTGTATGGTGTAGGAGGTAGGTTACTGAAAGCAGTAAAGAGTTTTTACGAGGATAGTGAGGCTAAAGTTAGAGTATGTAGGAAAGAGGGAAATTATTTCCCATAAAAGTAGGCCTTAGACAAGGATGTGTGATGTCACCGTGGTTTGTTTAATATATTTATAGATGGGGTTGTAAGAGAAGTAATGCGAGGGTCTTGGCAAAGGCATGGAGTTAAAAGATAAAGAATCACACACAAAGTGGGAGTTGTCACAGCTGCTCTTTGCTGATGACAATGTGCTTTGGGAGATTCTGAAGAGAAGTTGCAGAGATTGGTGGATAAATTTTGGTAGGGTGTGCAAAAGAAGAAAATTAAAGGCGAATACAGAAGAGAAAGGTTATGGGATAACAAAAAGATTAGGTGATGAAAGATTGAATATCAGATTGGAGGGAGAGAGTAGGGGAGGAGGTGAATGTATTCAGATATTGGGAGTGGACGTGTCGCGGATGGGTCTATGAAAGATGAGGTGAATATAGAATTGATGGGGGGGAAAAGAGTGAGTGGTGCACTTAGGAGTCTGTGGAGACAAAGAACTTTGTCCTTGGAGGCAAAGAGGGGAATGTATGAGAGTATAGTTTTACCAACGCTCTTATATGGGTGTGAAGCATGGGTGATGAATGTTGCAGCGAGGAGAAGGCTGGAGGCAGTGGAGATGTCATGTCTGAGGGCAATGTGTGGTGTGAATATAATGCAGAGAATTCGTAGTTTGGAAGTTAGGAGGAGGTGCGGGATTACCAAAACTGTTGTCCAGAGGGCTGAGGAAGGGTTGTTGAGGTGGTTCGGACATGTAGAGAGAATGGAGCGAAACAGAATGACTTCAAGAGTGTATCAGAGTGTAGTGGAAGGAAGGCGGGGTAGGGGTCAGCCTAGGAAAGGTTGGAGAGAGGGGGTAAAGGAGGTTTTGTGTTGAGGGGCTTGGACTTCCAGCAGGCATGCGTGAGTGTGTTTGATAGGAGTGAATGGAGACAAATGGTTTTTAATACTTGACGTGCTGTTGGAGTGTGAGCAAAGTAACATTTATGAAGGGGTTCAGGGAAACCGGCAGGCCGGACTTGAGTCCTGGAGATGGGAAGTACAGTGCCTGCACTCTGAAGGAGGGGTGTTAATGTTGCAGTTTAAAAACTGTAGTGTAAAGCACCCTTCTGGCAAGACAGTGATGGAGTGAATGATGGTGAAAGTTTTTCTTTTTCGGGCCACCCTGCCTTGGTGGGAATCGGCCAGTGTGATAATAAAAAAATAAAATAATATATACTTTAAAGTATAAAATGAAAGTAGAGTATTGTTATATAGAGTGCTGTACATTTACAGATTTATTACAAATTTTCAGGTTGATTTTCATTATCAAGCTGTAACAGAACCTGCAAAAATTAGAAAGCTAGTGTCCCAGCTACATAAGACCAATGGGCAAATTGTGAAAAATAAACCACGAGCACTAGTCAAGAATACTGCTGCTGTAATAGAACTAGCATTCACACGACCTTTGTGTCTAGAGCTTTTCAGAGACTATAAAGAATTGGGACGGTTTATGCTTCGAACTGGAGGCACCACTATAGCAGCAGGACTTGTAACCCAGGTAAGCCTTATCTGTACTTGTTATGTTGCTTCTCATGCCTGTGGTGTTTATTTTCACCATGCATCTTTATCCTTGTACTATCATTATTGACATCACTGTCTCTACTTCCTCCTAACTATAGCATTCAAAGTTGTTACCTCTTACCCATATAAAAGTACATTAGTAGTAGCATCAGCACTTGTATGTGAAACATGAGCTTTAAATGTTGCAGCTGGAGGAAATGTCATGTTTCAGAGCAGTGTGTAGTGTGAATATTATAATGCATAGAATTTGGAGCATATAAATTAGGAGTGGAGTTGAGAAGTTGTTGAGGCAATTTGGGCATTGATAGATTAAGGAGAATAGAATGACCAAGTCACCTGTTCCCTCACATTTTAACCTGATGATGCAGACCATATCCAAACACTGAATTGACTGCTAATCTGTTTATTATTTTTATTATTAGTAGTAGTAGTATTCTAGGTAAGTGCTAAATGCACAGGTCATACAGCACCTGGGGAATGTGAAGAAATCAGGTTCAATCCAAGAAAGGGAAGAATAGGTCCAATTTCTTCGATCAAGATCTCTCACTGGCATCAAGGCACTTTCATTAAGGGGTGGGAAGCAGTTAATTTAGTCTCGTCTGTTAAGACCAGTGGCTCCCGGGGTGATAATTTGTTTTCTAACATTGGTTGTCTCCCACTGAGGTAGGGTGACCTGATACGGAAAAAAGCACTTTCAAGCCACTACATCCCACCCATCCTTAAAAGTGCAGCCACTGTATTTCCTGCCTCCAAGACTCGATCCTGGCTAACCTGTTAAAACTGAATCCTTTCATAAATGTTACCTTGCTCACACTTGAACAGCACATCAAATCATAAAAAAACCACTTGCCTCCATTCCTATCTAACATGCTCACACAAGCTTGTTGGATGTCCAAGCCCTTACCACTCAAAACCTTCTTTATCCCCACCCCCCTCCCTCCAACCTTTCCTAGGATGACCCCTACTCTTTCTTCCTTCCACCTCCACATACCCCTAGTCATCCTATTTTTCTTCATTTTTAATGTCCAAACCACCTCAGCAACCCCTCCTCAGCCCTCTGAATAATACTTTTGGTAACTTCACACCTAATCTCCAAACTGAATTCTCTGTAAAATATTCACTCCACAAACTGCCCTCAAACCAGATTTCTGCTGCCTCCTCACTGCAACATTCAAAATCGTGTTTCTCACCCATACAAAAGTGTTTGTACTACATTCTCTGGTACATTCCCCATTTTCTCTCCATAGATAAGTTCTTTGTCTCCACAGATGCCTCAGTTCACCATATTTCTTTTTTCCCTTTATCAGTTCTGTAGTTTACCTGATATTTCAGAGAACCATCTTCATCACCAGTTTCCTCAAAGGATGTGAAAATACCATGTGTTGACTGCTGAAGCAGAAAAAATGTGATTTACTCCCTGCTCTGAGGACTGAAAGTATACCCCTTAACTTATACCTGGGGTTATGCTGAAATCTGCTTATTGTAATGAAGATAAATACCCTTGCCCTATGATTCAAGTCAACTTATGACTAGTAATATACAGTACTGTACAATTTTTTTTTTTTTTTAACAAGTCGGCCGTCTCCCACCGAGGCAGGGTGACCCAAAAAGAAAGAAAATCCGAAAAAAAAAAAATACTTTCATCATCATTCAACACTTTCACCTCACTCACACATAATCACTGTTTTTCCAGAAGTGCTCAGAATACAGCAGTTTAGAAGTATATACGTATCAAGATACACAACATATCCCTCCAAACTGCCAATATCCCAAACCCCTCCTTTAAAGTGCAGGCATTGTACTTCCCATTTCCAGGACTCAAGTCTGGCTATATAAAATAACCGGTTTCCCTGAATCCCTTCACTAAATATTACCCTGCTCACACTCCAATAGCTCGTCAGGTCCCAAATACTGTTCGTCTCCATTCACTCCTGTCTAACATGCTCATGCACGCTTGCTGGAAGTCCAAGCCCTTTGCCCACAAAACCTCCTTTACCCCCTCCCTCCAACCCTTTCGAGGACGACCCCTACCCCGCCTTCCTATCTCTACGGATTTATAAGCTCTCCATGTCATTCTACTTAGATCCATTCTCTATAAATGACCAAACCACCTCAACAACCCCTCTTCAGCCCTCTAATACTTTTATTAACTCTACACCTTCTCCTAATTTCCACACTCCGAATTTTCTGCATAATATTTACTCCACACATTGCCCTTAGACAGGACATCTCCACTGCCTCCAATCACCTCCTCTCTGCAGCATTTACAACCCAAGCTTTACACCCATATAAGAGTGTTGGTACCACTATACTTTCATACATTCCCTTCTTTGCCTCCATAGATAACGTTCTTTGTCTCCACATATACCTCAATGCACCACTCGCCTTTTTTCCCTCATCAATTCTATGATTAACCTCATCCTTCATAAATCCATCCATTGATATGTCAACTCCCAAATATCTGAAAACATTCACTTCTTCCATACTTCTCCTCCCCAGTTTGATATCCAATTTTTCTTTATCTAAATCATTTGATACCCTCATCACCTTACTCTTTTCTATGTTCACTTTCAACTTTCTACCTTTACACACACTCCCAAATTCGTCCACTAACCTCTGCAATTTTTCTTTAGAATCACCCATAAGTACAGTATCATCAGCAAAAAGTAACTGTGTCACTTCCCATTTTGTATTTGATTCCCCATAATGGAATCCCACCTCTCTCCCCAACACCCTAGCATTTACTTCTTTTACAACCCCATCTATAAATATATTAAACAACCATGGTGACATTACACATCCCTGTCTAAGACCTCCTTTTACCAGGAAGTAGTCTCCCTCTCTTCTACACACCCTAACCTGAGCCTCACTGTCCTCATAAAAACTCTTTACAGCATTTAGTAACTTATCACCTATTTCATATATTGCAACATCTGCCATTTTGCTCCCCTATCTTTAACTAAATACTGTTTCTTTTTTGGGCCACCCTGCCTTGGTGGGAATCGGCCAGTGTGATAATAAAAAATAAAATAATATATGCTTTAATGTAAACACCTGATCTACACATCCACTACCCACTCTAAAACCTCCTTGCTCATCCGCAATCCTACATTCCATCTTGCCTCTAATTCTTTCAATAATAACCCTACCGTACACTTTTCCTTGTATACTCAGTAAACTAATTATTCTATAATTTTTACAATCTCTTTTGTCTCCCTTCCCTTTATATGAAGGGACTATACATGCTCTCTGCCAATCCCTAGGTACCTTCCCCTCTTTCATGCATGTATTAAACAAAAATACCAACCACTCCAACACTATATCCCACCCTGCTTTTAACATTTCTGTCATGATCCCGTCAGTTCCAGCTGCTTTACCCCCTTTCATTCTGCGTATGCCTCACGCACCTCCCCCACACTTACATCCTGCTCTTCTTCACTCCTAAAAAATGGTATACCTCCCTGGCCAGTGCATGAAATTACTGCCTCCCTTTCTTCGACATTTAAAAGTTCCTCAAAGTATTCTTGGCATCTACCCAATACCTCCATCTCCCCCTCTACTAACTCCCCTACTCTGTTTTTAACTGACAAATCCATTTGTTCCGTAGGTTTTCTTAACTTGTTTAACTCACTCCAAAATTTATTCTTATTTTCATTAAAATTTTTTGACAGTGCCTCTCCCACTCTATCATCTGCTCTCCTTTTGCACTCTCTCACCAATATCTTCACCATTCTTTTACTCTCCATATACTCTACTCTTCTTATAACACTACTGCTTTGTAAAAATCTCTCATAAGCTACCTTTTTCTCTTTTATCACACCCTTTACTTCATCATTCTACCAATCACTCCTCTTTCCTCCAGCACCCACCCTCCTATAACCACAAACTTCTGCCCCACATTCTAATACTGCATTTTTTAAACTATTCCAACCCTCTTCAACCTCCCCACTACTCATACTTGCACCAGCCCACCTTTCTGCCAATAGTTGCTTATATCTCACCCGAACTTCCTCCTCCCTTAGTTTATACACTTTCACCTCCCTCTTACTTGTTGTTGCCATTTTCCTCTTGTCCCATCTACCTCCTACTCTAACTGTAGCTACAACTAGATAATGATCCGATATATCAGTTGCCCCTCTATAAACGTGTGCATCCTGGAGCCTACCCATCAACCTTTTATCCACCAATACATAATCTAACAAACTACTTTCATTACGTGGTATATCATACCTTGTATATTTATTTATCCTCTTTTTCATAAAATATGTATTACTTATTACCAAACCTCTTTCTACACATAGCTCAGTTAAAGGCTCCCCATTTTCATTTACCCCTGGCACCCCAAATTTACCTACTACTCCCTCCACAACATTTTTACCCACTTTAGCATTGAAATCCCCAGCCACAAGTACTCTTACACTTGGTTCAGAAGTCCCTACGCATTCACTCAACATTTCCCAAAATCTCTCTCTCTCTCTCTCTCTTCACTTCTCTCTTCTCCAGTGCATATATGCTTACTATAACCCACTTTTCACATACAACCTTTATTTTACTCAATACATTTATACTCCCTCTTTTCCTGCCATAGCTTATCTTTGAACATTATTGCTACTCCTTCTTTAGCTCTAACTCTGTTTGAAACCCCTGACCTAATCCCATTTATTCCTCTCTACTGAAACTCTACCACCCCCTTCAGCTTGTTTTACTTAAAGCCTCTTCTCATTCAAGGGGCTAGTAACCCCTTCTCCTGTATCCCACCCTGCCTTGGTGGGATACAGCCAGTTTGTTGAAAAAAAAAAAAAAATTATGCAAAATATACAGTGTGATTATCATTTTTCAAAATGGGAAGAATTACATGTGAAAGATTTTGAAAATATTGCTTGACAACCTAATATTTAGAAAGCACAACAAAGCAAGTGTATCTTAAGTATAGAAAGTAATTAGGACACTTAATTATTGAGAGCTTTCATACCAAGGAATGCCATACCAATACTATTATTAAGGCACTTGAAATATTGTTTTGTGTTCACATCCCTCTTCAAGGGGGGCTCCTTGGCATGGTGAAGAGGCTCTTGGTCTGAGGAATTAGACCTGTTGGTCTCCTTCCTCAGACCAAACCTAATTACCCCCTAATCTCCCCTTCCCTATCCCATCCTCCCTTTTTCCTTTCCTCCTCCTCCCCCCCATCCCTCCCTTATTCCCTTCCTCTTTTTGGCCTTTGGGATTCTTCCCACAGACCTACTGGTTCCTAGGTAGGGGGAAGGGTACCGGGGTCAGTCCCATTCTGTTGAGGTTCTTGGCGTTGGTGTAGTTTGCTGTGGAATCTGGATTGCCTGGGGATATGCCATTCCCTCTCCGGTCTTCCAGGGGGTGGCTTTGGGTGTCTTTTGGGCAACGGGTGTATCTCTGGAGGCCGCCTTTCGGATTCCGGGAGTGGTGGCCAAAGGAGGTATGCTTTGTGGTGGATATCTGGCCGCCCTCTCTTTTGTCCACCGAGGTAGCTCGGCAGATGTGAGGTTGCTATCCTGGATTGCTGGTTTACTGGCATGAAGGGTAAGGTATGGCACAGGTTCCATGCCGCATCTGCACTCCTTGCGGTGTTGAGGTCCTCTTGGGTGCGGAGGGTGATTTCCAGCCCTTTCATTCCTCCTAGGAACTATTCCTCTCCATCCCCTCCCCCCCCCTTTTTTTTTTTTTTTTTTCTTAAAAACAAAAAGAAAGAAGTAACCTAACCATGGAAGCCCTAGTCCATGAACCTGCTACCCCCGAGCCCCTTACTGGTACCACACCCCATTCTGACCCTACCTCATTTTTTGACCACTCTTTGGACACTCCTGATGCCCCTGTACCTCTTGCTGGTGCTGTTTCATCACCAGCTTCAGGTACCGGGGTCTCAACTGAGTCCTCAGATTTGTCTGACCTCCGCCCTCCTTTGACTATGCTTCCGGCCTCTCCCTCTACGGTGCGGCAATTTTCGAATCACCAGCCCGTCCCACGTCGGACCAACTCTGGTCCCACTTCTAAACGCCAGCGAAAATCTCCTGATGATGTTACTCCGTTACCTTCCCATTCTACTCGGAAAAGACCGACATGTCATGCACTCCCTCTCCACGCTCAGTTTCGGACCGCACAGTGGACTAAATTCTTTACTTTACAACCGACTTCTTCTATTGCTTATCTTTCTGACCATAGTAGATCTTTCTCACCTTTCACATATTGATACTATTCCTATCGCTATTGAAAAACATCATTCCCTCAATTCTTGTAGTGGTACTGTCATTCTGCCCCATACCATAGTCCAACAGAATTTCCAGACATGTGGCAATGACATTCTTGAACAGCTGGATATCCAGGATCTCCCAATCCTCAAAGTAGACACTTATGTCCTTCCTGCCCGCGGGTGGAGACGATACCCTTGCAATATGGCTCGATTAACTTTCGACAGCCGTGAACTCCCATCCTCTGTTTATGTAGCTGGACATAGGTTGCAAGTTCGAAAGGTGATCCCTACACTGCAACAATGTAGAAATTGCTGGCGATTTGGTCACCCAGCAGAATATTGCAGATCTATAGCCGAATGCCCAGTCTGTGGTGCCGATAACCATACTAATGCGTCTTGCAGTCAACCACCCTCTTGCCTTAATTGCCATGAGGCTTACCCTTCTTACTCTCGCCGTTGCCAGGTCTACTTAAATGAGTGTGAAATCCGTTGTCTCAGAGAGGCAAAAGGTCTCCCTTATGCTATGGCAGTTTCTCATCTCCGCCTCCAAGGGAGACTGCCCCGTGTTTCCAAACGTCAACCCATTCCTGGGGTCCCATCTTCTGCAGCCTCCTCTGTGGTTACCCCTCCCATAACCACTCCTGTATCTAATTCTTTTGCTGCCCTGGGCTCAGACGTCCCTACTACAACACCTCAGTCTGTTCTTACACCTTGGTGTCCTTCCTCACAAGCCCCGGTATCGACAAGACCTTGTACGACACCTACCAATCGCCCCTTTACTTCTCAGAAGTCCAAAAAATCCCCATTGCTCAAATCATCTTTGCCCCTCCTTCCTTTCTTCCACCTTCGCATTTTACCTTTCCAGTCTCTGTGCCTAGTTCTTTCCCTCTCACTGGCTCTATTACAAGTGTGTAGGTTCACCCTCCTCCTCGTACTGTGCCTTCCACCCCTGTCCCCTCCCAAGTTTCTCCCTCTTCTGCCACCTCCCAGGTTTCTGCCTCTTCTGTCCCCTCCCACACTTCTTCTCCAGTCCCCTACACTCTTTTGTGACCCCCTACTTTGGTACAGTCCATTACTGTCCCAGTCTTTATTCACCCTCCTCCTCCTACCTCCAATCTTGTCTCCCATACGTCTTCGAATTCAGAAACACTTGAAGCCATTTCAGAATATATTGCAGAGACTAAACCTTCAATGGACACTGATCCGCCTCCTGTTCCTTCTCCCTCCCCTCCATCTCCACAACTTTCTACTACTCATCCCTCTCCATTTTGCCACCTGATACCCTTGCTTCCTTCCTGCCTTGCAGTGCTGTATAGCCCTTGTGGTTTAGCACTTCTTTTTTATTATAATAATAATGTGTTCACATCTTTAAGAGTAGGTGTGATATCCAAGCTAGGAAATATTTTTATACATATTTTTTATTGCATATAGATCTGGTTAAGTACATGAACTATTGAGACATTTCCTAAATCATTCAGGCTATTTTCTGGAACATGATAAAAATTTAATCATCTAAAGTACATGGAAAATACTGTGATATTTGTCCCTAATCATCACATTAAATAACTTCAGTGAAAGACACTATGAGAGAGAGAAGATAAACCCACTGAAATGAAGAGCGGTGTATATTGGTGGAACAATGATAGATGCCTTTAATTAGTTTGGGGATACTTTTTCATTACTGTACTGTTTACTTATGAGCAAGACAATACAGTGGACCCCCGCATACCGATTTTAATCCGTGCAAGAGGGCTCATTGGTATGCGAAATAATCGGTATGCGAATGAATTTTCCCCATAAGAAATAATGGAAATCAAATTAATCCGTGCAAGACACCCAAAAGTATGAAAAAAAAATTTTTACCACGTGAAATATACATTTTCCTACACACAAAGAGAAGGATACATGCACAATAGTAGAGTAGTACATGCACAGTATATATTGTGCATGTACTAGTCTACTAAATGAAGAATAAATGACACTTACCTTTATTGAAGATGCAGCAATGACTGATGAGACACTGTGTCCTGCGAGTGCCTTTTCCTCCTGAGTACTGTAGGTCCTGTTTGGTATTTTCTTCCAGAACATGCCTTATCACACTGTGTATGTCACTACGATTCTTAAATCTCTCAAACCAACCTTTGCTGGCTTTAAATTCGCCAATATGAGCACTAGTTCCAGGCATTTTTCCCTGTTCACCTGGGTGTTAGTTGACTGGTGTGGGTTGCATCCTGGGAGACAAGATTAAGGACCCCAATGGAAATAAGTTAGACAGTCTTCGATGACACTGAATTTTTTGGGTTATCCTGGGTGGCAAATCCTCTGGGGTTAATTGTTTCTTGGTATATTCTCAATAAGCCACACCAACAACAGTGCTACAGCAGCAGCAGACGATGCTGCAGCAGCAGCAGACGATGCTACAGCAGCAGCAGACGATGCTACAGCAGCAGCAGCAGCAGACGATGCTACAGCAGCACCAGCAGCAGACGATGCTACAGCAGCAGCAGACAATGCTACAGCAGCAGCAGACGATGCTACAGCAGAAGCAGCAGCTGACAGTGCTACAGCAGCAGCAGACGATGCTACAGCAGCAGCAGATGATGCTACAGCAGCAGCAGCAGCTGACAGTGCAGCAGCAGCTGTACCACCAATAGTAGCGATGGTTGATTGGGGTTTATTATACAACCTGTGTACGAATGGTGTATAATACCGACAAGATGAGATTAAGACACTATGGTGCTCTTCGCACCTACTCCTAGGTTGAGGGACTGATTACCTCATCTTCTGTACATAGTTCTACTGTCTTCAAGTTATTTATTTTATTTTTTTATTATCACACCGGCCGATTCCCACCAAGGCAGGGTGGCCCGAAAAAGAAAAACTTTCACCATCATTCACTCCATCACTGTCTTGCCAGAAGGGTGCTTTACACTTCAAGTTATGTCCTAGAATTTGTATTGATAAAGCCACTGGATGGCGAAACGTCTACAATAAAGATACCCAGATGTTGCACATGTGTCTTAATCTCATTATACAACCTGGCCAGCTCGGAGACACACACTCCACTTTCATACTTATCAATGATCTTTTTCTTCATCTCTATAGTAATTCTCACCCTTATTGCTGTAGGGTTGGCACTAGAAGCTTTCTTGAGGCCCATGGTCACTTATTTTCCAGATAAAATCATCAAAAACACTGTAATAATACGAAATGTTACGATTGTATGCTTGGATGCTACCGTGGAGGCTGGCTGGTAAACAATGCCACCGGCGGAACATGTGAGGCTGGCTAAGGCGCACATTAGATGCTTCTCGGACGAACAGCGGTGAGCGGGTTTTTGAGCGGTATGCGAGGCAAAATTTTTGCGATTAAAGTGAGCGGTATGCGGAATAAACGGTATGTGATGCCAACGGTATGCGGGGGTCCACTGTACATTCATTGTGTCCCATGTCAAGAAATGACTTTTGCTTGTTTAGCAGTTTTCATTGGACCCTTTGTACAGGACAGCAACATATGTTGTCTAGTTAATCAATATTTTCTCTCCCTGTGTTATCATATTTTTTCAATACCTTCTGGAAATTTGATTTTACAAGTAGTACTGAGTTCATGTTTAGATAATTATTCATTTATACCATTTTGTTACAAATGAGATTGCAGTTAATTTTTATTTACTTTTCAGATTTTGGAATAGACTATTAAGTAGTTTTATTGACTCAACCATGGATTCAGTGACCTGTAAAGATGCTAGATGTTTGAAGCTCAAGATATAGGCTTGAAAAAATTCTTGCCTCCTGAGGAATCCTACCCATAACTCAGTTTGTAGGATGAGAAACTACACCATTATCTGGAGTAATGTTATCCTGTACTCACAGCACGTGAGCTTTAAACTACGTCTCAAGTCTAGAAGAAACTATTATTGGTGTTAACGGATTCAGTGTGTTTAGAATTGCTCATGGCCACCACAGACAAGGCATAAGATTTTAACCCACTGACAAAAATTTAATAATAAATTATGATTATTGCAAATAAAGTTAGGATCAGAAACAGTAATACATTCAAGGTGTTATCCTTGCATGGCATGCTTCTTTTAGACTGTTATAAAATTGGATTTGTGTGTAGCTTAGGAGATTGAAACAAATGTGCTCCTTTTACTTGTATGCAGCCTTTATTTATTGTTGTACATTGTTAGGGAAATTGCATACCTATTATAGTAGTAGTAGTATATATTGAACAGCTATTTAGTAAACAAGTATTATTATTATTATTATTATTTATTTATTTTTTTTTTTTTTTTTTTTTTTTTTTTTTTTTTTTTTTTTAGGTCAAATGTTTACATTTATTTACATATTGTATAACACTAGTGACCTGTATTGGGATATTGTAATTTAATATTTTAAAAATGGAGATTAAGAAACAGGCTTACTTTCTGATTCTTAATAATCTCTATCCATTAGTGTGCCTACTAAAATTTTATATATTTAATTATATAATAAGATATTAAAGGTCAAGGAAGGAAAACTGGATACTTGTTTTCTTCAAAATTTAATTGTTTCCATGTGGAACCATCTTTATTATGAAAGGTGGTTATTATCTTTTATTTAACGAATTTGTTATTGTGATAAACAGGAACTATGTATTGTTATTGCTGAGCAACAGAATATTAAATTATGAGTGGTGCATATGTTTCTTTCCTTTGAACAGTCCTTATTAGTACATTGGTATTTACTAGTCCTGGAGAATTGACTAATATTTTTGCTAGCTGCATTCAAGTACTATTGGATATGTACTGAGTTGTTTGGTTGCATATTAATTTTATTCATCTATAAAGGGAAGTTGAAAGTGGGGTGTGGAAGATATTTAATTTTGTATGCCTCATTTGTGAGAATTTTGAAGTTTTAATCACTTTGCCATCTGTGCCGTAATTTCACGGGTTTGAAATCGGTGTCCATGCCATAAAATTACACATGAGCTCACTTCACTGATCAGTTGTGAGCAGTAAATTTGGGCTTAGATATGAAAGAATGGGTGGGTCTATGCAGTAAGTGTGCACCATATAAAAAAGTCCTGCAGTTCGAGGTTCGTTAACCAGAGGATTGCTAGGATTGGAGGAGGAGGAAGGATAGGTAAGGATGGAATGTGAAAAAAGGGTGGGTCAGAGGGTGATAAAGGTAAGTGGCCCAACCACTTTGGCACATATTGATAAAGGTGTGTGTGTGTTAAGTTATTCATGATAATCATTATATAGGGTATACCACACCACCTGTCAGTGGCATACATGTATAGAAATTGCATACATGCATGGCGGTGAATTGGTAGTAGGTAAGTTTTTGCCAGTGCATGCTGTGCATAATTAGAAAAGAATTGCGACTGTGTTCTTGGTTTACAACAGCGACTACAGTGTATTTTTGTATGGTTTTCATGAGTGTATTCACAGTTTAGTGGTCTCATTTGATAGAATGGAAGATATATTACAGAAATAGAGATGATTTTGATTGGTTTCAGGACTGAAAATAGCTTGAAATTGAGCTCAAAGTAGTGGAAATTTTGATTTTTGCTGATATTCCAGAGTACACAAATTATGTCATTCATCCAAATATACATCTAAATGGTCAGTCTAATATGTGTTCATGAATGCAATGACATTATTTATAAAATTATTATAATGCTTGGCTGTCATCTTGGTCACATCCAGTGCCGCGTGCCTCGTTGTGCTCCGGGTTTTCTCGTGTTTACACGGTCGCTCTTACGTGCTAGAACTTAAATTTGTGCCATCAATCCTATACGATACATCCCTCTAGCGCCTGGAACCAATCTTGGGCGGAAAACATTATATACTGAGTCAAAAAAGGAGAATTAGTGTGCACTACCTAGCAGAGTTTACTGCCAGAGGGGAATCATAGGCCTGTGTTCCGTGTGCAAAATAATAATAATAGAACTTTTCTTTGTCAGAGGAAAGAAAGTCTCCCTGATAACATTGTGTATACATAGTGTTATAGTGTATACTACAGTGGCTCCCTAGTATATAGATGATAAAGGCTAAAGTGTCATTTGAAAACAGTGAATTTGTAAATGAAGTGATAAGCCTATAGAGGCAGGTGCCAGAAGTCGCCAGAATCTTACCACAGTGGTCAGCTGTTTTAATAATCTTTCTGGCCTGCTAGTGTACTTGCATATAATCTAGTGATACCAGTGAATAGCAGAATACAGTGTTGTAGTAGCAACTAACCAGTATTATAATGGTACTTAGTGGAGTGGAGTGACTTTCATTAGTTTCTTTTTCTTGAAATACCAGACGTATACTGTGAATTTCATATAACCTGTAGTTACCAGCGGTCGCAATATACACAACGAGAAGCAATTATTACTACAGAAAAAGCGTCCTTCCTCCAAAATTTCCACCAGTCAACTATAGTGATAATATAGCATTTATTGTGGTGGAGACGAAAAAAAACTAGAAAAGCTAGATACAGCGATTGATAAACAAGGGATGAGGCTCGACCGTTCGTCACTGTAGGAGCTGCCAGAAATCACCGGCTCTTCAACACGCAAGTTATACTTTTGTATCAATCAAATCACATATTACTTGGGTAGATAATTTCAAGTAGATCCTTCATGTGTTAGCCTAAATCACCGACTAGTATGTTTTAAATAAGTGACCCACTGATCAGATCAGATCGACTGGTCCGAACCCTCGACTGGTCCGAACCCTTGATGGTCCGAACCCTTGACTGGTTTCAAACGGATTCGTTGGACAATAAAGCAGACTGTAAACGGATGGAGTTGTAGGTGCCCTTATCAAACACAAACAATAAATATAAATCAGGAACGTACACGGTAAGCTGTCCAATTAGTTAAAATAGAAATACAAATAGCTAGAGCTTCATTTAAGGAGGTTATTAATAGAGTATTCAAGAGGTTGCTAGTAGAATTACAGTAAATCAACCACTCAAATCATTATGAAGCTGTATAGTCTGCAGTCAATCAAACAAACGGGCTTCCACATGGATAAATTGTCATTTTTGTGGAAATTGGTGTCATGCCCCTTGTGCAGATATCCAAGAACTAGCTACAAGCAGTATTAAAACAGGGAAGTGTTTTTGGGTATGCCCAAATGAGGAAAATCTGTGGACTAAAATCACAAGGGATAACATCAAAGCTGCTTTCATAGACAACCTGGAAGCTTTCTACAACAGATGGGAACATAAAAAGTCTGGGCTGAATGGTACTGCCCTTGATACTGGCCATGTAGTCAGAAACTGTAAGGCTGGAGGTGATGTCATGGTAGTCAGTAAATGTGGGGCTGATAGTGCTCACGTCCTTGGAGACAGTAATAGTGAAGCGGGAGGTGCTGTCCTGGGAGACAGTAATGGTGAAGCTGAAGGTGCTGTCCTGGGAGACAGTAATGGTGAAGCTGGAGGTGCTGTCCTGGGAGACAGTAATGGTGAAGCTGGAGGTGCTGTCCTGGGAGACAGTAATGGTGAAGCTGGAGGTGCTCTCCTGGGAGACAGTAATGGTGAAGTTGGAGATTTTGTCCAGGTAGTCGGGAATTATACGCAGGAAGGAATACATATAAATGACCTCATAGGGGACAGGAGCCGTAGTGGGGAAACAAGTGTAGTCAAAGATAAGATAAAACCAATATTGCAAACTAGAAATACCACAGGAAATAGCAAACAAGAGGATTCCACTAGCTATAGTGAGGATATATTACCAAAAACAACTGGTGGGAGCTACATTGTTGGTGCTAGGGAGGATAGAATAAGACAGGGAAACATGCACCAACAGGGAATACAGTCACAGAAACCCAAGGCAAACGGAAACCAAGCCTGTGCACATACTATGCACTTGGTATCTAGGTAAGACACATATGCAACAGTTAGGTATCTTTATTTCGAAACGTTTCGCCTACACAGTAGGCTTCTTCAGTCGAGTACAGAAAAGTTGATAGAAGCAGAAGAGACTTGAAGACGATATAATCAGTCCATCACCCTTAAAGTTTTGAGGTGGTCAGTCCCTCAGTCTGGAGAAGAGCATTGTTCCAAAGTCTGAAACAATATTGTAGGGGCCCAATACTGGACGTTGTTCTCGACTTTGATTTGGCATAGGAGAAGAAATACTTTGGGTTTCTTTCGATTTCATTTATGGCTTTTAGTTCTTCCCGCGATTCCTGACTCCTATAAGATTCCTTTAGCTTGAGTTCGATGCTTGCTATTTCTCTGACCAGTGTCTCCCTACGCATTTCAGATATATTGACCTCTTTTAGCCACTCTGTTATTCTTTTCCGTCGCCTGTAAAAGGAGCGCCTGTCTCTTTCTATTTTACATCTACTACACTTTTTCTTAGAGGAATAAGCCTTGTGCATACATCGAGTGCCACCAAGTTAATCTGTTCTAGGCATAAGTTGGGGTCTGTGTTCCCGGCATTTTAGTTGACTTTTACAACACGCATGGCTTACGGAGGAAAGATTCTTATTCCACTTCCCCATGGATATAAAAGGAAAAGTAATAAGACCAAGAACTATTAAGATAAAATCAAAGAAAACTCGGATGAGTGTGTATAAATAAATGTGTACATGTATGTGTAGTGTGACCTAAGTGTAAGTAGAAGTAGCAAGACATACCTGTAATCTTGCATATTTATGAGACAGACAAAAGACATCAGCAATCCTACCATCATGTAAAACAATTACAGGCTTTCGTTTTACACTCACTTGGCAGGACGGTAGTACCTCCCTGGGTGGTTGCTGTCTACCAACCTACTACACATTTTATTATATAAACTATATTTTGCAAACTAAAGAAATAAATTTGTTTCGCTCGTGCCCCCTCCCTCAAGGGAGGTTCCTTGATGCTGGTGAGGGGCTCTTGATCTAGGGAATCGGATCTATGTTAAAATGGTATAAAATACCGACAGATTGTTAGGTAAGACACATATGCAACAGTTAGGTATCTTTATTTCGAAACGTTTCGCCTACACAGTAGGCTTCTTCAGTCGAGTACAGAAAAGTTGATAGAAGCAGAAGAGACTTGAAGACGATGTAATCAGTCCATCACCCTTAAAGTTTTGAGGTGGTCAGTCCCTCAGTCTGGAGAAGAGCATTGTTCCAAAGTTTGAAACAATATTGTTTCAAACTTTGGAACAATGCTCTTCTCCAGACTGAGGGACTGACCACCTCAAAACTTTAAGGGTGATGGACTGATTACATCGTCTTCAAGTCTCTTCTGCTTCTATCAACTTTTCTGTACTCGACTGAAGAAGCCTACTGTGTAGGCGAAACGTTTTGAAATATAGATACCTAACTGTTGCATATGTGTCTTACCTAACAATCGGATCTATGCCTAGGCGTGATAGAGGCTCTTTGCATTGCAACCCATTATTGTAAATACATAATCTCAATGTACTATTTGCAAAGACATAAATAAATAAATAAAGACTGAATACCTTCTATCACCCCCCACATGTGCTGTGTGATCCTACGGGTTTAGAGCTCCCCATGATTAAAAGAAAAATTCACTCGTGCCAAGGATCGATCCCGGACCCTGTGTGTGGATTGGGGACGCTACCAACAAAGCCACGAGCACCCCTGAGTATTTTTTTTTTTATAAAAGGAAACTTTGCTTCATATCTAACCCGGTCTCTCGGGAAGCAGTGATCAATAGGGCGTAATTTTCAGCAGCCTTTACCATTACCAACAACGTAGCTTGTGGTGTCGGCTTCTCAACCAAGAACTGGGACTTCTGCGCCAGCCTTCGTCGGGTGTGGACGTTTCTCTCTCGCCTGAGTATCAGTGACAAATTTCCCCCGTTCTCACTAGGACGCTTGTCCTCATCTATTTTGCCCGCCGGGCACTCTACAGGAGGGGCGCCTGTACATTGGCTTACTTTAGCCAGCTCCATTTTTTCCGCTCTGCGGAAAATTCTTTAACGGTCTTTGGTGGGAAGCCGGTTGCTGAACTCAGGTGGGGGTAAGTAAGTTTATTCAGGTATATACCCCTCATGGAAGGTTCCTTGATGTTGGTGAGGGGCTCTTGATTTAGGGAATTGGATCTGTGCTCCAGTTCCCCTAATTAAGCCTGAATGCCTTCCACATCCCCCCTCCCCTTGGGTGCTGTATAATCCTACGGGTTTAGCGCTTCCCCCTTGATTATAATAATATTCAGGTATACACAAATACAGTTACATAGAATTATCATACATAGCAGCATATGTGTAGAGAACCTAGGATAACCCAAAAGTCAGACAGAGTGACTTATTTCCATTGGGGTCCTTTTACCTTATTATAATATAAAGGTTATAATATTTTCTTATTATTCTATAATGAAGATAACATCTTATTATCATACTAAAAAGACTATCTACTACACGAGGGTCATTAACACTACAATACGAGGGTCATTACTCCCTTTCTGCAGCTACATTCATCAGACACCTTTTGGCACTCTTCTTGAACTGGTTCATGCTAAGACTGGCTTTGACATGTGCGGGTAGTCTGTTCCATTCCTTTATTGCTGTACAATAAAAGGTGTTTGAAGCCTGGCCAATGACTGTGGGTACTACAAAGCTGTGCTCTCTCCCCCTAGTACTATGATTGCTTTGGTTCCCAACCTTGACAAAATTGACAGCAAGATATTCTGGACACTGTTTGTGAGCAATTTTATAAACATGATTTAGCTTCAGTTGTTTTACTCTGTCTTCAACATTCAGCATATCTAACTGCTGTGTTAAAGGTATTTGATGCAGCTGGTAGTTTACTTATTAGTGTTGATGCAACAGATGTGTAGTAGGTGTGGGTGTCCCTCTCTGCTGGGGCTTGGCAAGGGGGTCCACTGGATCTAATTGGAAACTTCAAGTTTCTATCTCTATTTACAAAGGAACTTTTGTTCCTTTTCTCTCATCGCCCAGCCTTGGGCAACAATTTTTTCTCGTACCATCAAGAAACCGGACTCGATACGGCTTATGCTCTCAGTGGCCCTGATAAACCCAACAAAGAAAGAAAAAAAAAACAAGAACTGAGCCAGACTTCGTTGATTGTGGACATCTCGCTCTCGCCTGAGCATCAGTGGTAAATTTTCTCTGTTCTATTAGGGACTTTTATCCTCGTCTACTTTGTCCACAGAGCACATTACAGGATGGGCACCTGTAATCAGCTTAATTTTAGCCAGTGCCATTTTTTTCCCCTCAGCTGATAATTCTCTAAGTTTTGGTGAGAAGGCGGTTACTGAACTCGCTTCAATTCAAGTTTATTCTCTATAAGGGTTACAATGTGGGGTTTACAGGTTTTGGGTATTGTGTGGCTTACATGTTATAAAATACTAATTACAGAGGGGGCCACTAGGACACCTAGCATTGCTAGGCATTTCGGGCAGACTTAGATTAATTCTTAACATTAAATCCTTACAGATTATAGTATTAAGGCTAAGTGACTGCATCATAATTTGTAAGTTTAGCAATGTGAATGCTTTTGTTTTGGCACAATACAAAGTGTCTATATTGGAGTATCATAGGCAAACTTATGACTAGTTAGGATTTATTATTTTTAGATTAAGATTAGTATTTCTGGGTTTATAGTCAGTGGGTGAGTGAGTGTAATTGTGAACCACCAGTTGGTTATCATGTAGTTAGTTGTTGGGGTGTATCAGGGAGATAAGATGTTTTCTAACTGTAGTTTTGAAAGTGATGAATGTGTCTGCAGTTCTAGTTTTCAGGTAGGGTGTTCCAGATTTTAGGTTCTTTGAAATACATTGAATTTTTGTAAAGGTTTAGTCGAACACGGGGAATGTCATAGAGATGTTTGTGTCTGGTGTTATGCCTGTGGATCCTGTCACAACTATCAAGAAAGCATTTTAGGTAAAGGTTAATATTGGAATTTAAGGTCCTGTAGATATAGATTGCACAGTAGTAAGTGTGGATGTTCTGAACAGGGAGTAAGTTTAGATCTATGAAGAGTGGGGGGGGGGGTTGCCAGGGATGGGATTTAGTGATTATTCTTACTGCGACTTTTTGTTGGGTTATTATTGGCTTTAGGTGTGTTGCTGCAGTTGAACCCCAAGCACAGATAGCATAGGTGAGGTATGGGTATATAAGTGAATGGTATAGTGTGAGAAGAGCAGTTCGTAGCACGTAGTATCGCATCTTGGAGAGGATCCCCACCGTTTTGGATACTTTTTTTTGTTATGTGTTGGATATGGGTGCTGCAATTTAGGTTGTTGTCGAGGTATAGGCCAAGGAATTTGCCCTCATTATGTCTGGCAATTAGAGTGTTGTCGATCTTACTGTTAAGTTGCGCAACACCTGCTCTGCTACCAAACATAATATAGTAGGTTTTGCCAGTGTTAAGTGTAAGTTTATTGGCTGTCATCCAAGTCGATATTTTGAGCAGCTCCTCGTTAACAATGGTGTTGAGGGTGGCAAGATTAGGGTGGGAGATGACATAAGTCGTGTCGTCAGCAAAGAGAATGGGTTTCAGGTGTTGGGATACGTTTGGAAGATCATTGATGTAAATGAGGAAGAGCAGGGGACCAAGGACACTTCCCTGCGGAACTCCAGTATCAAGTGGCCGTATTGATGAGGCTGTGTCTTTAATGGTGACATACTGATACCTATTAGAAAGGTAGGATTTAAATTATGCAAGCGCATGGCCTCTTATACCATAGTGGTCAAGTTTGTGGAGTAGGATGCCGTGGTCTAGCGGATATTCCTTATTTTCCAATGCTGTGTAAAGCAGATCTAGCATTTTTATAATTGCATCATTAGTGCTTTTATTTTTCCTGAATCCAAATTAGCAGGGGTTGAGTATGTTTTGTGACGTTATAAATAAAATGAATATAGTCCAAACCATACCCCGGCCGGGATTGAACCCGCGGTCAGAGAGTCTCAAAACTCCTGTGCACGAGTTTCTCGAAGATTTTGGATGGCAATGGTAAGTTTGATATCGGCCTATAGTTGTTTACATCTGTAGGGTCACCACCTTTATGTATTGGTGTAACCCTTGCTGTCTTGAGTAGTGTCGGGAAGGTGCTAGTTTCTAGTGACTTGTTAAAAAGTAATGTAATAGCATGCGAAAGGACATGGGCTGCTCGCTTGTACAATAATGGTGGGACGTGAGACAGATTCCCCGAGTTATTTTTAAGTGACTTTATGATCGTGGTGACTTCCGTGGGCTCAGTTGGTTCAAGATAGAAGGAATTTGGGAAATTCCCATCTAGGTAGTCCCCAGCACGGGCATTGGTACCTGGGATTTTACTGGCGAGATTAGATTCTATGTTTGAGAAGAAGTCATTTATCTTGTTAGCTGTATCAGTGGGATGCAGTGGTGTTTCATGACGTTTAGTTAGAACAATATTCTTGTTTTTTTTCAGTTTGTGGGTTTTATATCTCCTGTTGTGTCACTGAATCTGTTGGAGTAGTACAGTTGTTTGGCTTTCTTTATTAATTTGGTGAGAACTGTTGAATATTGTTTAAGAATATCGTTTGTGTATTAAGCCCTGTCTGTATTGCTTTTCATATTGGTGTTTCTTATCAATGGATTTCACAATGCTGCTGGTTAGCCATGGGCAACTGAGCCGTTTATTTGTGATCTGTTTCGTTTTAATAGGACAATGTTTGTTGTATAGTCTAAGTATATTGTTAAGAAAAATGTCTGTCCAATCGTCAATAAGTCACTTTGTCTGCCTTTTTCGGATTATCCTAGGTTATCTATACATATGCTGCTATGTATGATAATCTGTGTAACTGCATTTGTGTATATCTGAATAAACTTACTGTAACGTATCTTCGTACACCGGTGAGCAGCGGTAGATACAGCTGTCAGTGACCCTTATAAACTCCAGAACAAGAAGACGAGGCAGCTGGAGCAACACTCAGACACATCCCAGCAAGTAAGTGCTGTGACAACAGGTATCAGTGAATCAACACAATAAGGTAATCTGCACATATGCTCTCGCTTCACACACACGCTGTCCGTGGTTCAATCCCCGGCAAGGGTAGAAACATTGGGCGTGTTTCCTTACGCCTGGTAGGATGAATAATGAGAACATTCAAAACAAGAGATGCCAAGCCAGTGATGATATTTTTCAAATCACTTGTTCTCTCTAGGCTGGAATATTGCTGTACATTAACATCTCAGTTCAAAGCAGGTGAAATTGCAGATCTAGAGAGTGTACAGATAATCTACTGCACATATAAGTTCCATCAAACACCTCAACTACTGGGAACGCTTGGAAACACGACTTCTACTCGCTGGAGCAAAGGTGAGAGAGATATAATCTACACTTGGAAAATCCTAGAAGGAATGGTCCCAAATCTGCACACAGAAATCACTCCCTACGAAAGTAAAAGACTGGGCAGTCGGTGCAAAATACCCCCAATGAAAGGTAGGGGCGCCATTGGTACACTTAAGAAAATACCTTAAGTGTCCAGGGTCCAAGACTGTTCAACAGCCTCCAACCATGCATAAGGGAAATTACCAATAGGCCCCTGACTGCCTTCAAAAGGGAGCTGGACAGATACTTTAAGTTGGTGCCGAATCAGCTGGGCTGTGGTTTATACATTGTACTATGCTTGGCCAGCAGTAACAGCTTGGTTGACCAGGCCCTGATCCACCAGGAGGCCTGGTTGTGGACTGGGCCACAGGGGCATTGATCCCCAGAATACCCTCCAGGTAGGCAGACTCCTATTCACCAAGCAAGCAAGTAGGTACCAGGTGTGGGTCGCATCCTGGGGGACAAGATTGAGAACCCCAGTGGAAATAAGACTCTCTGGGTGGCTAACCCACTGGGGTTAAAAATCCGAGCAGAATCTTATCCTGTGTGTACCAGTACCTGAATAAACTTACTCTACATCACAACTTGTACAGTCACCTGAAGGAGAAACCCCTAAGCAAGTTGCACATATTCTGAACAAGAAAAAAAAAATATTCAAATTCAATTTTTTTTCATTCTGTACAAGGATAATGTAGTTTATGTGTAGTAAAACATTGCTCAGCCCCCCAAAAAAGCCATTAGTATGCAAATGCATTTTGGGCAAACTAATCATAATGCTTAAAGACTGTTTAAGAATTAGACAGACTATTAAGTAGGATTTTTATATGCAGTTAACTACTAGTACAGTACAGTGTATATACATTTTTTTTTAAGTGTCATCCTCCCACCTAAGATTGTTAACACAGAGGGTTAATAACTCAAGAAAGCAGGGTAATAATGGAGAGCTGGTCTTTGTGGAGTTTGGCAGTTCTCTGTGAACCCTGTGGGTTTAGAACTTAATTTTTCATTGTAATATGTGGAGTTTAGCAATTATTTATTTCCAAAAAGTTGGGTAGTTTTGTTATTTACATTGTTTTAAATGTGCAGATATGAGAAACGTAACCAAACGAAACTTGTCTAATCCAACCTAAAATAATCTAATCAACCTTAACCTTAATCTGCCAGTGGTAGATATGGGATGTGCCCATTTGTTTAAATTTGACTTGTCTTTATTTACATTTACTGTGATTAGCAAAATATTTGTATTATTTTTCGTAGTATCTTCCTAAATAACAATTTGTGTTGGGGTATATATAGATAGCTTACTTGTATGCCTTTAAAATGAAAATAATGCACGATGACTCACGAAATCGTAATGACCTGATTGCAAGCAAACCATACCCCGGCCGCGGGTTCAATCCCGGCCGGGGTATGGTTTTAATGCAAGATTTCTGAAAAGGACTGCATGTATATTCGCCAAAAAGCTGTGTTGCTTATTTCTGTTGTGGTCTTTCAGACCTTTTTCCCCTAGGTTGAATCCTGGAGGAGGAAAGACTAGTCTAGATCCCAGCACAGAAATTGAATAGTAATTTTAATAGACATTTCATCTATTTATTTTATATGTAAGTGTAGTATTTATGATTAAAATGACGAGTTAGGATTTTAATAAGCAAGTGGTAAAAGATAATGTTAGACATAATAAACATTTATTATCATTACTGTTCCTACTGTGCCATACAATACAATTTTTATTTCTTTATGAAGTACAGTCATTATTTTGTAATTAACTATTTGTTCATTAGCAGTCTTTCTAACTGTGCATATGATTGTAGGTAAATGCATACGAAATCCTGCTTAATTTGTCTGTCTAAATCCTAAGTAACATTAAGGGGAGGGGAGATTATTCATATTGTATGCTTAGTGTTATTATGCAAGGTGTAATAATTGAAGTATTTTGTATGATGAACTTTCATAATGATTTTTAAATAGAAAATAAAAATCCTTCAGCCAGTTAATGAAGGGAAACACACACTAGTAAGATGCTATATCTACAACAAAGTGTCAAGGGAATTTCTCGTAATTTTTCTCTCTCTTTCTCTCCAGATTAATAATAATGGATGGAGAATTGCTAACGGAAGTACCACAGAATTTGCAGACACTTGTTCGTCTGGTGGTACGTGGGTTCTACACTACTGAAGATGTACTCATTATTGACATGCTTGTCAGAAATTGTTGTAAGTTATGCATGTTAAAATTTGTGAAAGTTTCTATCAGGTGTTATGTACAGATAATGGTAGGTTTAGCTGGTAGTGAATATGAGTGGTTGAGGCAAGCTCACTTGGCATTTTAGTATTGTTAGGGTTCTTAATGGCAGGCAGGTGACTGTAAGGTACTAGGCCAAGTAACTGTAGTGAGAGAAACTGGGGGGAGATGCTGTTCCCATGTTGACTGCAGCAAGAATGAGAGCAGTGACTCTGGGGACATTTGACCCATCACAGATCTGGCTTATGAAAGAGGCCAATTCCACCTACAGCCCAAGCCCAAGTGGCAGGTCTATCACTGGGGCAGAGTGAAGTGAAAAATGTGTGACATGTAACAGCTACCAAGGGATGGACTTTCAGTAAATTCTCAATATAATGGACTTGTGGGATGAATTGTCCAAGTATCAATTAAATTCAAATAAGGTTAAGAAATTTCAGAAAAAGCACTGTGGTACTTGACTGTATACCTAATATAGTATTGTACATAAAATTTGGAGATACATATACAGTACTGCAATAAACACTGAAAATAAAAAACTTAAAAAAAATGTTTACCCATTGGGTTCTGTCCACAATTTCAGAGATCCTTTATATTGAGGGTTTACAGATTATTCTAAAATTGTGTACAGAATAAATAACAAAAATGACAATCTTTGCAAGATGGTTTGGGTAAATCTAGCAAATGCAGTTAGCTAGATGATGGAATTGAATGTTGATAATTTTTTTTTTTTCAACAAGTCGGCCGTCTCCCACCGAGGCAGGGTGACCCAAAGAGAACGAAAATCCCCAAAAAGAAAATACTATCATCATCATTCAACACTTTCACCTCACTCACACATAATCACTGTTTTTGCAGAGGTGCCCAAAATACAACAGTTTAGAAGTACTACAGTGGACCCCCGCATAACGATTACCTCCGAATGCGACCAATTATATAAGTGTAATTATGTAAGTGCGTTTGTACGTGTATGTTTGGGGGTCTGAAATGGACTAATCTACTTCACAATATTCCTTATGGGAACAAATTCGGTCAGTACTGGCACCTGAACATACTTCTGGAGTGAAAAAATATCGTTAACCAGGGGTCCACTGTATATACGTATAAAAATACACAATATATCTCTCCAAACTGCCAGTATCCCAAACCCCTCCTTTAGAGTGCAGGCATTGTACTTCCCATTTCCAGGACTCAAGTCCGGTTATATAAAATAACCGGTTTCCCTGAATCCCTTCACTAAATATTACCCTGCTCACACTCCAACAGATCGTCAGGTCTCAAATACCATTTGTCTCCATTCACTCTATCTAACACGCTCACGCACGCTTGCTGAAAGTCCAAACCCCTCGCCCACAACAACACCTTTACCCCCTCCCTCCAACCTTTTCGAGGATGACCCCTACCCCGCCTTCCTTCCCCTACAGATTTATACGCTCTCCATGTCATTCTACTTTGATCCATTCTCTCTAAATGACCAAACCACCTCAACCCCTCTTCAGCCCTCTGACTAATACTTTTATTAACTACACACCTTCTCCTAATTTCCACACTCCGAATTTTCTGCATAATATTTACACCACACATTGCCCTTAGACAGGACATCTCCACTGCCTCCAACCGCCTCCTCGCTGCTGCATTCACAACCCAAGCTTCACACCCATATAAGAGTGTTGGTACTACTATACTTTCATACATTCCCTTCTTTGCCTCCATAGATAACATTTTTTATCTCCACATATACCTCAACGCACCACTCACCTTTTTTCCCCTCATCAGTTCTATGATTAACCTCATCCTTCATAAATCCATCCGCCGACATGTCAACTCCCAAGTATCTGAAAACATTCACTTCTTTCATACTCCTCCTCCCCAATTGATATCCAATTTTTCTTTATCTAAATCATTTGATACCCTCATCACCTTACTCTTTTCTATGTTCACTTTCAACTTTCTACCTTTACACACACTCCCAAACTCATCCACTAACCTTTGCAATTTTTCTTTAGAATCTCCTATGAGCACAGTATCATCAGCAAAAAGCAACTGCGTCAATTCCCATTTTATATTCGATTCCCCATAATTTAGTCCCACCCCTCTCCCAAACACCCTAGCATTTACTTCTTTTACAACCCCATCTATAAATATACTGTATTAAACAACCATGGTGACATTACACATCCCTGTCTAAGACCTACTTTTACTGGGAAGTAGTCTCCCTCTCCTACACACCCTAACCTGAGCCTCACTATCCTCATAAAAACTCTTTACAGCATGTAGTAACTTACCACCTATTCCATATATTGCAACATCTGCCACATTGCTCCCCTATCCACTCTATCATATGCCTTTTCTAAATCCATAAATGCAATAAAAACTTCCCTACCTTTATCTAAATACTGTTCACTTATATGCCTCAATGTAAACACTTGATCTACACATCCCCTACCCACTCTGAAACCTCCTTGCTCATCCGCAATCCTACTCTCTGTCTTACCTCTAATTTTTTCAATTATAACCCTACCGTACACTTTTCCTGGTATACTCAGTAAACTTATTCCTCTATAATTTTTACAATCTCTCTTGTCCCCCTTCCCTTTATATAAAGGGACTATACATGCTCTCTGCCAATCCCTAGGTACCTTCCCCTCTTTCATACATTTGTTAAACAAAAATACCAACCACTCCAACACTATATCCCCCCTGCTTTTAACATTTCTGTCATGATCCCATCAGTTCCAGCTGCTTTACCCCCTTTCATTCTACGTAATGCCTCACGCACCTCCTCCACACTCACATCCTGTTCTTCTTCACTCCTAAAAGATGGTATACTTCCCTGGCCAGTGCATGAAATTACGCTTCCCTTTCTTCGTTGACATTTAAAAGTTCCTCAAAATATTCTCACCATCTACCCAAAACCTCCATCTCCCCATCTACTAACTCCCCTACTCTGTTTTTAACTGACAAATCCATTCGTTCTCTAGGCTTTCTTAACTTGTTTAACCCACTCCAAAATTTTTTCTTATTTTCATTAAAATTTCTTGACAGTGCCTCTCCCACTCTATCATCTGCTCTCCTTTTGCACTCTCTCACCACTCTCTTCACCTTTCTTTTACTCTTCATATACTCTACTCTTCTTATAACACTTCTGCTTTGTAAAAACCTCTCATAAGCTAACTTTTTATCTTTTATCACACCCTTTACTTCATCATTCCACCAATCACTCCTCATTCCTCCTGCACCCACTCTCCTGTAACCATAAACTTCTGCCCCACATTCTAATAATGCATTTTTAAAACTATTCCAGCCCTCTTCAACCTCCCCCCTCTTCCACTACTCATACATGCACCAGCCCACCTTTCTGCCAATAGTTGCTTATATCTCGCCCGAACTTCCTCCTCCCTTAGTTTATACACTTTCACCTCCCTCTTGCTTGTTGTTGCCATTTTCCTCTTTTCCCATCTACCTCTTACTCTAACTGTAGCTACAACTAAATAATGATCCGATATATCAGTTGCCCCTCTATAAACGTGTACATCCTGGAGCCTACCCATCAACCTTTTATCCACCAATACATAATCTAACAAACTACTTTCATTACGTGCTATATCATACCTTGTATATTTATTTATCCTCTTCATAAAATATGTATTACTTATTACCAAACCTCTTTCTACACATAGCTCAATTAAAGGCTCCCCATTTTCACTTACCCCTGGCACCCCAAATTTACCTACTACTCCCTCCACAACATTTTTGCTCACTTTAGCATTGAAATCCCCGACCACCATTACTCTCACACTTGGTTCAAAATGTGGGGTTCGGTAGGAGACTGATGGATAAGGTAAATTCACTTGTTGGATGGTAACTCTGTATTGTCAGACTGTGGTAATGGGAGATGGAGGGAGCCCAGCCTGCCGTGTTCTGCCTTCTTCTATGCTTATGCGTCGACTGAGAGGAAGGCAGCTTGTCTCACTGACTCATGCTATATCCCGTGACGTCATACAGTTACTCGGCCTAGGGATCTTCTATATAAAGCACATGGATGGTACTATGATACACTATACAACACATATAAGGGGATCAGCAACTATGCTGACAGCTCGGTCATGTTACGTATGTCGTCCCGATATACACTACTATGCTATAGGCTGAACAGGCAGGTGGTTCTGGGCTGATTCTATACAATAACAAATTCATATATAACTTAGAACTAATGGATGGTATCATAATGGATGTTAACAAAATGAGTTTTACGTAATGGGTGTTAACGTAATCACTTAACATAATGAGTTTCAATGTAATGCATTACGACTTACAAGAACAAATCATTGTACATTATGGATGGAATTGATCGATCGATCTGTATTCATGCACTCTACGGATTCTGAGGAAGAATAAATATTTATATATACAAGGTGAAATTAACAGCAAAGGCATCTGGTGCGCACTCAGATCATTACTGTCAAATTCTCAGAATTCGGAGGGAACGTGAACACGAAAAAAAAAAAATTCTGAAAAACTAATCAGTTAATAACAAACAGTTGACAATTTCCTTCATCTTGGACATCTAGTTATACAGACTATGTACATTTAAACCCAATTCTGCGAGGGTGAGGTTTACATATGCAGAATGGTTATCATCTCTGGGAGGATGGAATTCCTCTGCAATGGCTAACACATGCCTTGACTGGTGACAGTCAAGGCATGTGTGAACGAGTATCTACAAAAGATTCAGCTACATGGACCATCTGAACGAGTATCTACAAAAGATACAGCTACATTCACTAGTGACTGTGGAATTACTAACTCTTCTGCTAGGAGTACTCAACTCGACTATTCGATACAGTAATTCTTGGCTCATTACAAAGTCACTAATGGGTGCTGGTGGCTTCACAGTCAGAATAAGATCTTCCTGGAGCAGGAATCGAATCACCAGAACACAAGGGATCGGCTCTTACTTACTGGAGGAATGAAATGGAAGCTGGAGGAAGCCCAGCCTGCCGTGTTCTGCCTTCTTCTATGCCTATGCGTCGACTGAGAGGGAGGCAGCTTGTCTCACTGACTCATGCTGTATCCCGTGACGTCATACAGTCACTCGGCCTAGGGATCTTCTATATAAAGCACATGGATGGTACTATGATATGCTATACAACACATATAAGGGGATCAGCAACTATGCTGACACAAAACTCCCCATGCATTCACTCAACATTTCCCAAAATCTCTCTCTCTCCTCTACACTTCTCTCTTCTCCAGGTGCATATACTCTTATTATAACCCACTTTTCACATCCAACCTTTATTTTTCTCCACATAATCCTTGAATTAATACATTTATACATTAATACATTGTTATTATTATTATTCTTTCTTTCAACACACCGGCCGTATCCCACCGAGGCGGGGTGGCCCAAAAGAAAAAATGAAAGTTTCTCCTTTTACATCTAGTAATATATACAGGAGAAGGGGTTACTAGCCCCTTGCTCCCGGCATTTTAGTCGCCTCTTATGACACTCATGGCTTACAGTGGAAGAATTCTGTTCCACTTCCCCATGGAAAACCATGTACATATACTTGTAGTAAATAAAGATGTTATTATTGTTATTATTATTGTTGTTGTTATTATTATTATTATTATTATTATTATTATTATTATGTGTAGTGTGACCTAAGTGTAAGTAGAGGTAGTAGGATATACCTGGTATCCCACATGTTTTTGAGACAGAAAAGACACCAGCAATCCTACCATGACGTGAAACAATTATGGGTTTCTGTTTCACACTAGCTTGGCAGAATGGTAGTACCTCCTTGGGTGGTTACTCTCTACCAACCTGCTACCTAGAAATTGTAAATTTAATGTTAAAGGAATATGTTTAGAGTGGTTAATAATCAAATGGTTCCAGTTTTTTTGCAAATGATGAATTCTGCAATCTTTGGAAATACAGTAATAAAAAAAATTATATTAGTGATGACATCATGAGTGTAGACCTGCTCCTATTGCTACAAATAGGTAATTAGTACAAGAAAAATCTCACTGTTAAAACTTAGACAAAAAGGAATTTAATGGAATAAAACCATCACTAGATTGTCTCACAAGGAAGAAGCAAGTTTCAGTATCAGACTTCAAGGTTACACTTTTCAGAAGGTTTTTGCGTTTGCATCATAGGTTTCATTTTACTGAAATATTATACAGTACAATATAGATATTTGTAATTTATACTGTATATGCTAAGCCTCAGAAAATATTGACCTGAAAATATTTATTTTGCAGGTATGAGTGAAGAGGATCTGTGTGATCTATTGAAGTTTGACCGCAAGATGCTGCGGCAGCGCATCAATACTCTGCGGGCTGATAAGTTTATCCAGGCTAGAATGAAAATGGTTACGTTGGAGGATAACAAGACACAGAAAGAGCAGTACTACTTCATTGACTACAAGGTAAAATATATAGCTGTTGGGCTTAAAAATTCACTAGGGTTAGGTTCCTAGAAGTTTACACGAATCCAATACCTAACCCAAGTTATGTTTCAGATTTGGGCTTTTTTCTTTCAAAGGTCATATCTTTTTAAATAGTTTTTATATTCTTTAACATTAATATTCATAATAATGAGAAATGGGTGTGGAAAATCGAATGAACCCATTTTGAATGAAATCTTTTGGTTAGCTTTTAATTTAACCCTTTGACTGTTTCAGGCCCCTTTCTGAAACTGTTATTCTATGTCGCTCAATTTTTAAAAAAAAAAAAAATTATTTTTTCTTATGAAATGATAGAGAATCTTTTCCCGATGGTAATGACACCAAAAGTTCGAAATTTGGTCGAAAACTCATGGAATTATGCTCCCACGAAGTTAGCGGTCTCGGCGACATATGCGTTTCGGCGATTTCGCCGACTGAGCCCTATTTTCAGCCAATTCCATTGTTCCAGTTGACCAAACTCATAGCTATTTCTTTAGAACTCAATTTTATCTATCAGCTGAGTACAAGAAACCTCCCATTTACTAATTTGGACTACCCAATATGGTGGTCAGAAATTGGTAATTTGGCCAATTTCACGCAAACTAAAAAAGATGCTAATTTCAAAATAGGGTCCAGAATAAACAAGGTAGACATTCGTGGCACTAAAATAACATATGCTCTGTTCATTAGTCACATCTCTAGGCCCCTCTTATATTATTATTGCTTTCTATTTTGATTTTTTATTCATACAAAAAAATACAAAATTTACTGTTATGCAGACTACTGCATTATTGTAAAAATGGTATAAATAATATCACTGCACTAGTGAAAGAATATTAGACTCCCCAGTTGACGTGTATTGGACGTGTGGTGTGATTTATTTACTCCTGAACATTGGTAAAAATCGAACATTTCCGCTACTTTGAGCTTAGTTTCAAGGTCGTTTTCATCGTCAAAGTAATGAAAATCATCTCTATTTCTGTAAAATGTTTTCCATTTTATCACCTAAGACCATGAAAACGCGAATACAACGATAAATACTATACGAAAATACACCTCAAAGTCGGCGTTTTATTCCAAAAAAACGATCAGTTTTTTTTTTCTCATTACTCAATGTGTGCTGCAGGATTTTTTTTATGTGGTGCACACTGACCACACAGACCCATTCTCTCACATGTAGGCTACTAGCTTTCTCCCGCTTGATTTGAAGCATAGAATTATTTTTTTTTTTTTTTATTATCACACGGCCGTTTCCACAAGGCGGGGTTTGGCCCGAAAAAGAAAACTTTTCAACACATCATTCACTCACATCACTGTCTTGCCAGTAAGGGTGCTTTACACTAACAGTTTTTAAACTGCAACATTAACCCCTCTTCAGAGTGCAGGCACTTACTTCCCATTCAGGACTCAAGACCGGCCTGTCGTTTCCCTGAATCCCTCAAAATGTTACTTTGACTCACACTCCAACTGTCAGCAAGTATTAAAACCTTGTCTCCATTCACTCCTATAAAAACACGCTCACGCATGCTGCTGGAAGTCCAAGCCCCGCACACAAACACCTCCTTTACCACCTCCCTCCAACCCTTCCTAGGCCGACCCTGACCCGCCTTCCTTCCACTAGACTGATCACTCTTGAAGTCATTCTGTTTCGCTCCTCTCTCTACATGTCCAAACCACCTCAACACCCTTCCTCAGCCCTGGACAACAGTTTTGGTAATCCCACCTCCTCCTAACTTCCAAACTACGAATTCTCTGCTTAATTCACACACACATTGCACTCAGACTGGACATCTCCACTGCTCCACCTTCTCCTCGGCTCAACATTCATCACCCACGCTTCACACCCATAAAGAGCGTTGGTAAACTATACTCTCATACATTCCCCTCTTTGCCTCCATGACAAAGTCTTTGTCTCCAGAAACTTAAGGGCACCACTCACTCTTTTTCCTAATCAATTCTATGATTCACCTACTCTTTCATGCACCCATCCGCGACATGTCCACTCCCATATATCTGTATCGATTAAAGTCCTCCTCCATACTTCTCACTCCATTCTGATGATTCAACTTTATCACCTAACTTCCTTGTTATCTCCATAACCATTCTTTCTTCTGTATTCCCTTTAATTTTCTTCTTTTGCACACCCTTACCAAATTCTCCAATTCGCAACTTCTCTTCAGAATCTTCAAGTACAGTGTCATCAGCAAAAGCACTGCTGACAACTCCCACTTTGGGTGTGATTCTATATCTTTTACTCACGCTCTTGCCAACGACGATTTACTCTCTTACACCCCATCTATAAATATTAAACAACCACTGGTGACATACACATCCTTGTCTAAGCCTACTTTTACTTTGGAAAAAAATTTTCCTCTATTCCTATACTCTAACTTATGTTTCATTATCCTAGTTAAAAACTCTTCACTGCTTTAGTAACCTACTCCTACTACCTTAACAGTTCAAACTCTACCACATTGGCCCCCGTTTCCACCTGCTTGCTTTTGCATATCCTTGAATTGCCTCAAAGCACTATACTTTAATTTTTATGTTACTTATTGTTTCACTGTAAAAACTGGTTCAACACACTCCCCATACTTTCCTAATCCTCTTGTTACTCAATCTATTCGTGTCTTATATTTATAATTATAACCTACATACAACTTTACCAGGTACTCACAGACTTTCCCACATGAATTTTTTGCACCTTCACTTATCCCTTTGCCATTTTCAAAGAACTTAGCATGCCTTTCAAGCCCCTTTTCAGTACCTTACACTCTCATACATTTATTAAATTAATTTCACTAACCACTCAAAAATTCCATGCTTTAACATTTTTTTATCCATCAACCGGCTGCCTTACCCTTATTTACCCAATGCCCACGAACTTCCCCCCACTCCAAAACCTTCCCCCCCTACCAGATTCCTTCCCTTACACAACACACTTCCCACTCATCAACATTAACAATTCCAAAATACCTTCATTTCCTCTCTAATCTCCTTTTAACTCTCCTCCTAATTTAACTGAACTACCCATTTTCTCTAGGCTTTCTTCTTTTCTCACTCAAACTTTTTCTTATTTTTACATAATTTGTTGATAACATTCACCACTCTCTCATTTGCTCTCTTTTTACATTGCTTCACCACTCTCTTAACTTCTCTCTTTTTTCTCCATATACTTTTTCCCTCCTTGCACCTTTCTACTTTGTAAAAACTTCTCATTGCTAACTTTTTCCCATACTACTCTCTTTACTATCATTCCACCAATCGCTCCTCTTCCCTCCTGCACCCATTTTCCCTGTAACCACAAACTTCTGTGAACACTCTACACTACTTTTTAAACCTACCCAATACCTCTTCGACCCCATTGCCTATGCTCTCATTGCCATCTATCCTAATGCGTTTATATCTTACCTAACTGCCTCCTCTTTTAGTTTATAAACCTTCATCTCTCTCCTGATGCTTCTATTCTCCTTGTATCCCATCTACCTTTTCTCTCATGTAGCTACAACTAGAAAGTGATCTGATATATCTGTGCCCCTCTATAAACATGTACATCTGAAGTCTACTCAACATTCTTTTCACAATAAATAATCCAAAAATTACTGTCATTTGGGCCCTACATCATATCGTCTATTCTTATTTCCTCTTTTTCTACTAAAATATGTATTACCTAAACTAAACCTTTATACAAAGTTCATCAAAGAGCTACCATATCATTTACACCTGGCACCCCAAACTTACCTACCACTCACCCTCTAAAAGTTTCTCACTTTAGCATTCAAATCCCCTACCACAATTACTTCTGCACTGGTTCAAAGGCTCCTATACATTCATAAAAACAATCTCCAAAATTCTCTCTCTCCTCTGCTTCCTCTTTCCAGGTGCATCGCTTATTATACCCACTTCTCAATCCAACCTTTACTTTAATCCCTAATTCTTGAATTAACATTCTATTCTCTTTTTCCTCCTAAGATCATTTTAATTACTGCTACCCCTTCTGCTCTAACTCTCTCAGATACTCCTGAAAGTCGCATTTTATTCCCCCATAAAATCTCCAGTTTGTTTTTTCCTTACCAGACTCAACTTCTGCATGTATTTTTTTTTTTGGGGTCACCTGACCTACACAGCCCATTCTCAACCAGTAGTTTTATAGTTTTCTCCTTTTTTGATTTTGAAGCCGCTAGAATTATTGAGTATATATACGTCAGAAACATTGGCTCGTAAGACGTATTTATACGTCGAAAGCAGTCAAAGGGTTAAGGGTCATGTGTCAAAATAAAATGGTCACCATGGAATACCCACACATAATTCTCCAGCTCCAAGTAGTCATAAATTCTTCATCCAACACATACTTCCTCTGTCTTCTTGTATGTCCTCAGTCCTCACTGCAGTCTCCTTCACCTAACTTTCAAGTGTGGTAAAACCTTGAAAATTTACCACATGCCTTAATTTTTCCCATCCAGTATTTATAGTCACTTGGTGACTTATCAAATGACAGCTTTTATGTTATAAATTGCTTCAACAATCTTGACTCTGCACTGTAAGTCTTTGGATTTCACTCTTGAGATTCCTATCCTTTATAAGCTTCTAAAGTTTTGTTGGTGTAATGGTGCCTGGTCTTCTGTAACTCCAGTGTACAGATTGGATTAAGGTTGTGATCCTGGACTACCACAAGATGACTTGGGACATTGCCAAGACCAAGAAAACCTTGAAGGCAAGGTTCATTTTTTCTAGACAGTCATTAAAATTGGTTTCATTTATTCTGTAAAGCTTACATGTATCGAAGGTTTTAATTCTGTGTACCATATGGTATCGTTTCCTGTATAATGTGGCCATAACTATAGTGTAAGTTTAATTTTGGGTTACTTGATATATTGAACTACAGTAAGACCTCATAACGTGTACCTACATAGCATGTTTTTAAATTGCAATGTATTCATATTTATCTTAAAAAGTATTAATCTGCAATTTTACCTGAGTTTAAGCTCCAAAAATGTTCAGAAACAGTGGCTCAGGCATAAGAACTTTTCTGCTGAAGAGATTTATATGGCCTGGGAAAAGCTAGTTGCTGACTCTTGCACAATTTGGCATATGATGTAGTGGCTCTCATAACAATAGATGACTGACCCACAGTCATCAACTGATAAAACATAAACAGTGACTCGCACCTGTTTACTGCTCAATTGTCACATAACCATCTTCTAAGACTTTATCAATTAGCAAGAGAACAAGGAATTTAAAGTAGGATGAATTTCTTCCTTGTCACTATTATAAATAAGAAAATTGTATAGTGAAATGCATGAGTGGTCATCTAATTAAACAGATGACCTACATAACTATGTATCTCCAAACACTTCTACATCATTAACCCTTAAACTGTCCAAACGTAGATCTACGTTTGCGCGCGTAGCGCTCTGACCTTGATTTTTTCCATAAGAAACAATGTAAAAAATACGTGGATCTATATTTGGAGCGCTACACGAGCAAACGTAGACCTACGTTTGGACAGTTTAAGGGTTAACTAAGAGACTAAGTAGGGTGAATTTTTTTCATTACTTTTTTAACATATTTTCTTCAATTTATAATAGTCACTGGCAACATATTAACTGTGTTTTCTGTAATGGAATATGCCAATTTTCTTAGGAAGGAATGGGTGGAACGATGCAGTATACTGCATCAAACAACAGCTTCCCTGACATCTTAAGTAAATTTGTTTAGTAATATTTATTTAGGATTTAGGTACATAACATTCATTTCTAGATTATTGGGCAATGATATCTGTGTCAGTTCCACAACAGTGGTTTCCCTTCATAGGAATGTAAAGGCTATATTATTATGACAGTACAGTGTTGCTTAAATATTGTTTTTCACTACCCAAAATAAATAAATTTTGTATCAGCAAATTATGTTTACATGTCTTTTATTTCTTTATTTACTTTACTTTCAGAGTTTTGTCAATGTTGTCAAATACAAATTAGACCACATTAGAAAAAAATTAGAAATGAAAGAGCGTGACCAGACTAGCCGAGCATCCTTCATATGCCATTACTGCCAGCGATCCTACACAGATCTTGAGGTATGTTTATATTAAGTAAACGTTTGTGGTTCATATGGATTATATTCTATAGAAATCCATCAAACAACCAACTATGTAATGAATACAGTGTAATGAAATGAAAAAATAGTAAATGTATGTAAAAGACAGTGCTCCCAAGCAGAATGTTAAATAATCCAACTACACATTTAACATGCATAGATAAATGTTTCTTTAGGATAATAAAAGCAACTGAAGTATCTAGAAAGGTACAAAGCCTGCTGTAAGTTCCCAGAACTTCCTCAGCCTATGATTAGCACACAAATTCATCAACTTGACCTATCACTTCCTTCCTAGCCCTAGATTTTTGGCCTTTTCCAGATACTGCCACATTCAAGTAAGTGCGGTAATGCTGGCCTCCCCAAACACTCAAGATTGCTTCCAACTCTTGACACACTGAACATGTGTTTTTGTGTCCTACCCTAGATCAGCGATTTTCTTCTAGCATGTATATGGCCTTGTGTACCTGCAGGATTTTCAATCCCCCATACTTCATTGTACCTCACATCGTTTGTCCAACCTATTCCACACCTGGCAAATCATGGCATATGTAATTCTCTAAAAAAGCACAGGTGCTGTATATACTTGCTAACATCCAAAACTTGGTACCAATTTAATTTTTTTTCCAGGGTGCAGACACTGCTCTTCCCACCTCTCTTTTATGAAAGGATTCAGTTTCCTTAAATCCCTTTATGAAAGTTACCTTGCTTATACTCCAACAGCACATCCATTAAAAAACCACTTGTCTTTTCATGTCTATCAAACACTCACACAAGCCTACTGGATGCTCAAGCCCCCAACACTCAAAGCCTCCTTTAACACTTCCATCCCCTTCCCTTCTCCACCTTTATTTTTTCTTTAACACACTGGCCCCCTCCCACCAAGGAAGGGTGACCCAAAAAAGAAGTAACACTTTCTTCTTTTTACATTTAGTAATTTATACATGAGAAGAGGTTCCCAACCAATTGCTCTCAGCAAGGGGCTAGTAATTTTTTTACCACCAGTACAAGAGGTGTGTGAGCTGAGTTTGGGTTCCCAGCCTAGCAACACTCATGACCTGGGCACTGTTTCCATTAGAAACAATCCAGGGGTTATCTCCTATTTCATTTAGTAAGCCAGGTCTCCACCCTTATATAAACATAAAAATTTTTTCAATAAAATAGGCTGACCAGCTGTTAGACATCACAACAGGTCAACTTTTATGCATCATCTGCAAGCAAGAAGTGCAAGAGGATATGTCGGGAATGCCACGGCACGACACTCGCATGCTCCTCTCAAAATTCAACGAGCAGATGGAACCTCTCTTCAATCTTTTGCGTGAGGTACAGCGTTGATACCCATTTCTTCAGTTTGAATGTGTTGTTTTTTTTTTCTTCTTTTTTTCATTGTTTTGAGCCTTTCTCTTAATATTGTACCTTCTAACCTTCCCGAAAACCAACTTGAGTACAGTGTCTCATTTGGCCTTATTTATTAATTTTAAGATATCATGCAAATACAAGCTGTTTTGTAACCATGTCATTATGTGAAAGGGGTTATTGTATAAATATAGTACATCTGTCATCTATCTTATGAGCACACAACTTTTCCCTCACAGGACTTAGTTCAGAAATTAATACTAAGAACTTTTCCAGAGCAAGTAGTTTCAGATAAAGGTTTTCCCCTCACTTTACACGAGTTCACTTGCCTTGAGTCTTGGATTTGCAACTTCCTCTTACATCTTGCCTACTGTACATATCTTTTACGTAACCCATTATATTACAACTGATCTAAAAAATACAGAATAGTCTGTTAATACTGTGTCTGAAGATGCAAGTTGCAGGGGTTTGAAACACATCCCCTATTTTGTTTCCACTGAAATATTTTTCATGGTATGCATCCCTTGGAGGTACTAGGAGTAGACTATTCATTGTAGTTGGCTAGAAGAAATTATAAGTGTGACTATCTTTGTTAAATTCTTCTTTTTTATGGGTTCCAAAAGATACATCTTCCTAATTATACCATAAGGCTAATGATGCTTTTGCTTTCAGGTGGAAAACATAAAATTGGCTGCAAAATTCTCCGAACCACAACCTAAAGACTTCAGTGACTTTAAGAAACCAGGGTAAGTATTTATCATCACAGCCACAAACCTGAACACGGAAAATAGCACGGTTGCACTTACACTTAACCCTTGCCCCAAATGACCTTGATGTAAATATAGCCAGTTGTTGTGGGTCACTTCTAGGAATAAAGTTCTGCTTTCAGAAAACTTCATTCCTGCTGGAAGTAATATCCAGTGAAAGAAAACTCCAGTACCTGCTGGAAGTATTATTGTTTGGTAAAAGATTTTTGTATCTAATGTTAATACCCTTCAGCATTCCAAGGTCCTGTTAGGGGCCCTTATTTGGAAAGGTTCCAGAGCCCAATCTCAAAACACACAATTATGGAAATTGCTATAGTAACAAATTGAAGGGTTGTAGCTCCTTCTCAAAGGAAGAGAAAAGGGATGAGATGAGATGTGAAGCTGTGTAGTTCCAGACCTTGGAGTGGCTCCCAGTCACTGAAAACTGGAATAATTACTTTACTCATTTTGAAAAATTCATAAACTATGAGAGATATGGCAAAAGATGAGTAAAAATGAACTTAGAATGAGCCAGTGTATAACATAATAGAAGCACATCCAAATCTTTCCAGTATTTCTTGTCGAGCACTTTAATAACTAAGAACATTTTAAGTCTGACTTGCACTCCTTGGAATGCAGGTGAAAAAGATACATCATAATTTACACCTGGAAAGTCCTAGAGGGATTGGTTCCAGATCTGCTTTCATAGGGAGTATACCGAGAGACAACACAATAATTGTGAGGGGGTTCCCATCACACATAAGGGAAATTATCAGGAAACCTGTAGCTGTCTTGAATTCAAGAGGGAACTGGATAGGTTTGCAAAGTCAGTTCCTGACCAGCTGGACTGTGATTCATAGGATGGACTGCATGCAACCAGCAGTAACATCTTGGGTCTGCCAACCAAATCCTGATTATTTATTGTACCAGCAGTGACAAAAATGATTTACACATTTTACGGGATGGCAGTACTGTAGATTGAGATGCTGAAGAAGCAGACTCATAATGTGTGACTGACTGTAGGCTAGCTAGGTGAAGTCATATTATCACTCGTTACCATTATTTGTGTAGCTGTAACCTAGCATGACAAGGCTGTGTTAAAGTTAGCCAAGCCAATGGTTAAAAGAAAATGAAAATTATAATTCAGTGTATTATTAGAATAAATCAAGAATAAAGAAGAAGAATGCTTTACTTGTCATATAAACTTATGCCTGCCAAAAGTATTCCTTAGTGTTAAACTAATAATAAAACAAATGAATTCTAATATTATCCAGAGGGGTGAGGAGGGGTTGTTGATATGATTTGAACACTTAAGGGTGAAGCAAAATAGGATGACTTGAAGGACGTATAAATCTGTAATGGAGGGAAGGCTGGAGGGAGGGAGTGAAAATTGTGTCCAAGAGGCTTGGACATCCAGCAGGCATGTGATGGTTTTGGGACTTGAAAAGCTGTTGGAGTGTGAACAAGGTAACATTTTGTGAAGGGATTCAGGGAAACTGGTTAGCTGGACTTGAGTCCTAGAGGTGGGAAGTACAGTGTCTGCACTCTGAAAGAGGGGTGGAGATATTGCAATTTGGAGAGGAATCTGAACTGTAGTATCAGCACGCCTCGGGTAAGACAATATTGGAGTGAATGATGGTGAAAGTATTTCTGTTTTGGGTCACCCTACCTTGGTGGGAGATGGCCAGTATGTTAAAAAAAAAAATGAACATTGTCTATTCCCATTGATTTTCAGTTTGTACTGTACTGTTCATAAATGAATAGGTAATGCAAATTTTACTCATGATTTTGTTTTACTTTTCAGGCAAGCACGAACCACAAAGGCCCCACTCCCAGGGAGTGATTCTAGTCGTGCCTGGTCTGGAGATGCAACCAAAAAGTCAGGATTTCAGGTGTGTTTCCAACTGTGCTTGTGCATTTACTATGATTAGCTTCTTAAGATTTTGAAAGACCTTCAGCGGCCCTTAGCTTGCCAAAACCACATGTGTGTCTGCATCAAGAGTGATGCCCACTGCTACTGGGCACCTGATGTATGTTACACTGATGGTTAAGTGGTTTAGGGCATCTCGAATTTTGACAGGCTATGAGGATGGTGTGTTAAAGCATCGAGGTATCTTCCTACATTGAAGATTTTTCTATTTGAGGTAGTTTTGTATTCCTTGAGAAAAATGAAGCTCCTGATACAGTTCTTAGTCATATGATGATCCAGTTAGTGATGCTGCTATAATGAAGGTAATCTGACAGTGACAATGAGGCACCCATTGAACTTATGAAGGGTTATGGCAGTACCAACAACTGGCTTTCTGGAACTGGAGTGGACTTGGTGGTAAATCAATATTTAAATGAGCTTTAAAGTTCTTCTTGTGAGGTATTACTGTTTTGATTTCAGAAATGTGGCCAATTTTGAGACTTTTTAGTATGCACATGTTTTGAAAATGATATAAATACCGACAAGATTAAGACACACGTGCAACACAGTAGACTCCTTCAGTCAATTACAGAAGGAGCAGGTGTAGTAGTGAAATGATGTAATCAGTACATCAACTTTGGAGAAAGTTTTTGAGGTGGTCAGTCCCTCAGCCTGGAGAAGGGTTTGGCATTGTGATCTGGAACAATATGAAGCCAAAGCATGAGAACAGTCTTAAATACTGTCGAAGGTGAGGTGGAAGATCTCAGACATTGCAGGGGATGGGATTCGCTAGTAGAAGTAAGAAGGCAGGTCCCTCTGGAATCCAGCCCTTCTTACTCATAACTAGATGTGCAATGAAGAGTGGAAGATATCCTCTGTACCAAGAAACCTGTTGTGCTGCAGTGTCTGACACTTATATTGAAAATAATATCAAATACCGACAAGTTCAAGAATAAGACACGTTCAACAGTTGGGTATGCTTTTCCTATAAAGTGAGCATTCATACCACTAAAGTCTTTTTCTTCAGCGAAATTACATTACGGAGTGTTTATTAGTAAATGAAGGATATGAAAGTGGGTTTTGCTTAATTGTGAACAATAAAAACAAGGATTATCAAGAAGAGTAACAAAGCAGAGTAAGCTGTTGTTGAAGAATACAGTGATAGTGGTAATGTAATTATCAGGATTATTTGCTGTTTCAAGAATACAACACAGGTTTGTGTTTAATAAAAATGCAGTGATGTGTGTTTAATATTGCAGGTTGAAGGTTCTATTGATGTCAATATTAATGCAGATGGTGTTGGAGAAGAAACTGTATTGGCAAAAGAGAAGCCTATATGGCTTTCAGATGCCACCTCCCTTATCACAACGAACATTACAACATCAGAAACGTCTAACCCTCAGATGGTATGTCTAGAAATTGATAAGCAATATACTGTATAATTACAGAAAGTATTTAAATTTTATGAATTTTAGTTTAATGCTTTAAAGCTTAATATTGTGTATCATAATAAATTATACATTTCTCAAACTTTCTTCACTGATCAACTAACCTGTTATTTTCACTTCATAGAATGAGGCTAAAACAGCACCATCAGTTAGCAGTAACCAGCAGCAAGCTGCTGCTGGAGCAGACGATGTGATGATGTTGTTGCAGGCACATGAGCGCAAGTCTAAGAAAGGTGCCGGTCACAATTCTGACAGTGAGTCTGAGGACAGTGCTGATGAGAGTGCCAATAAAAGAGCAATAAATACCACTTCAACGACTGCATTTGGTCCTGAGCCTAGAGGTAATTTCTTCTTAAGCTCTGTTTATCTAAATATTTTTTTCTAGATTTACAGTGGAATAACCAATATAAATGGTTTTACAGTAGTTGTGGTAAAAGCAAATGTATAATTATTTTTAGTGAATTGTAGATTTGCTCATCTTGTATTTCATTATTAGTGAGAAATTAATTTATTTGTTTATATTAGACATGCATGTTCGATAGGAGTGAGTAGAGACGAATGGTTTTTGGTACTTGACGAGCTGCTGGAGTGTGAGCAGAGTAATATTTTGTGAAGTGATTCAGGAAAACTGGTTAGTTGGACTTGAGTCCTGGAGGTGGAAGTACAGTGCCTGCACTCTAAAATAAAAGAGGGTTTGAGATATTTGCTATTTAGAGTGACATCTAAACTGTCATATCTGCATGCACCTCTGGCAAGGCAATGATGGTGAAAGTGTTTTTCGGGTCATCCTACCTCGCTGGGAGATAGCCAGTGTGTTAAAAAAAAATTAAATTGCATAAATATACAGAGGATATTCAAGCTCACATCAGGGATAACATCTGATTCTTGCAGCCAAAGTAGGTGGAGTTATGTTAAAGCTGTTTATCAAGTGCATTGATTCCTGTATGTTTATATATACATAGTGGACTCGTATTTATTTGTTGCATATTGGTCTAGAAATGTATACAGCCTTTTTATTTTTAAGCTTAGTTTCCCTTTATTCTCAGTTTATCAACTCTGTAATATTTCTCTCTCAACCCAAGAGGCCTGATCTGAGGCCAGGCCCTAGGAAAGATACTCCACAGAACCATTAACCAATAACAGACAGTTATATCATTTTTTTTTTTTGTACAGGGTTTATGCATGTGTGGTAGAGTTGTATTGGGTTGGTATAAATGTTTTATGCAGATTATTTAATTTTTTTGTTTTCAGATCACATGCATATACTAATAACAGTTATCGGTTCTGTCGACCTTGCTAAAAAAAAAAAATTACATACTCGACCATAAGTTTGATTATCCAAAACACCCCTTGCCACCTTAGATTGGATAAGAGACCCATCACTGTTACATTTGTTACATTTATATTTTAGTGTTTGATTTAAAACCTTAAATACTGATAAAGTGTGTACATTATAAAATATTCAGCAAATTATTATGCAGTACTTAAAGTACACTACTTTGAAGTCAAATAATCATTTTCAGGTACAGATGAGATTGAACTGATAGATTCTGATGATGATGATGATGACTCCATTCCACAAGTGAGTGTTGCTGGAGAGAAGGTGGCAATCACAGAAGTTGATAATCACCTGATTGCCAAGATGACATTAGAAGAGAAGAATTCATACATGCTCATTTACCAGGATTATATTGGCTCATTAGACGATTAAATATATTTTGTGCCATGTTTATATTTAGGCATAATTTATTTTTTGCTAATGATATTGAGATTGTATTTAGCTCAGTCTACATATAAAAGAACAATTTGGGTGCAGATTAAGAGGTATTGGTATTTCATTGCTCTTTGATATGTAGAAGGTTATTGTCAGTATCTGACAAAATTATAATGAAACAATACCATTGAAGCACAGAGACTCTATAATTTTTTTATATTAACAAATTCCATGTACACAAGATAAATTGCCAAGATGACACTAAAAGAGAAGAATTCATGTATGCTTATTTACCAGGAATACATTTGCTCGTTAGATTATTAAATATATTTTGTGCCATGTTTATATATAGGCATAGTTGAATTTTTGCTAATGATATTAAAATTGTAATAGTTCAGTCTATATACAAAAAAATAATTTGGGTTTAAGTTGATTATTGCCTTGTTAACCAGTTAAGAGGTATTGGTTTTTCATTTTTCTTATATATGTGGAAGGTTGTTCTCAGTTTCTGACAAAATTGTAATGAAACTAGACATAAACCTGCTTATATTTGCAGCATATATTCTTTGTAAAATATAAAATAAATTTACAGTAACTGATATTTATTTCTTTATACAATGTATTTGATCTTTCTTGACCTGCTCTTTATTACTAAGGCTCCCTTCCTTCTCAATCCACAGCTTAGGCTGGTTTCAGGACTGTTAACTAGTTTGAAATTGGGCTCAAAGTAGCAGAAATATTCGAATTTTACCAATTTTTTCTGAGGACGGGTAAAGCCCCTTACACCCCTGGTTGGTTTGTTCACTGGTTTCTTAATAGGTTTGATTCAATTATTGAGATGCTTAAACCATGACCAATCATTACTAGTTACACTTTATCTGAGAAATAAGGTAAACCTATCTTTTGTGTGATTATCAATTCAAAATGGAATAGAGGCCTGGAGACATGATTAATGAAGAGTAAATGTTTTAGTGCCTGGAATGTCTATATTGTTTTTTGTACTTTATTTTTAAGCTGGATTATTTTGTGTAAAATCGGTCAGTTTACCCAACGTCTGTGTACTTTATGGGGTAGTTCTAATAACTGAATGAGCAATTTCTTGTGCTTAATCAAAAGAACACAAGGCATACTAGTGAAATAGCTAAGAATTTAGTTGAATGGGCAAAATCATCAATGTGTAAACTGCATTCAGACCACTAACTTTGCATTTGTGTAATTTAGTAGGTTTTCCATCAAATTTTGTACTTTTGGCATCAAGATCTTCAGAAAAATATTGTCTACCACCTCAGTTTGCTTTTTGATTAAATGTGGACACAGATCAAAATTAATTTCTGGGGTCTGGACTGTGAGAGGGTTGGATGCAGTGGTGGTGGTTTACAATATGGGGAAACATGAAAGTAATCAGTTTTACTAATATCTGCAAGTCTCAAGTTGACTCTCATTAATGATTTAATAAAAGCATTGGGTACTGCAGCAGCATAAAAAATTAGTGCCCCATTATGGCATATAAGGTAATCCTACATTGGTGGAAGATAGCTGGTATTAATGAAAAAAAAAGTCTTCTTTACACAGTTCCAACTCATTTCAGCTGTTGGCATAACATTTATACCTCTTCAAGGGGGAGCTCCTTGGCACAGTGAAGAGGCTCTTGGTCTGAGGAATTAGACCTTTTGGTCTCCTTCCTCAGACCAAACCTAATTACCCCCCAGTCCCTCCCTCTCTTATCCCATCCTCCCCATTCCCCCTTTTTCCCTTTCCTCCTCCTTCCCCTCCCCATCCCTCCCCTATTCCCTTCCTGTTTTCAGCCTTTGGGATTCTTCCCACAGGCACTCTAGTTCCTAGGTAGGGGAAAGGGTACCAGGGTTCATCCCATTCTGTTGAAGTCCTTGGCGGTGATGTAGTTTGCCGTGGAATCTGGATCGCCTGGAGGTGTCCCGATCCCTCTCCAGTCTCCCGGGGGATGGCTTTGGGTGTCTTTCGGGTGATGAGTGTATCTCTGGAGGCTGCATGGTGGTTGCCGAAGGAAGTATGCTTTGTGGTGGGTATCTGGATTGCTGGTTTACTGGCATGAAGGGTAGGGTATGGCATGGGTTCCATGCTGCATCTGCACTACTTGTGGTGCTAGGGTCCCCTTGGGCACGGTGGGGGATTTATGGCCCTGTTTTGCCTCCTAAGAGCTCTCCCCCCACCCCTGCCCCCTTTTTTTTCTTTTCTTTTTCTACAAAGAAAAAAAAAGAAAAGTGACATAACCATGGAGCCCCAAATCCATGAACCTGCTCCCCCTGGGCCCCTTACTGATACTGCACCAACTCTGATCCCACACCTAAATGCCCAAGACTATTACCTAATGATACTTCTTCACTTCCTTCTCATTCTACTCAGTAAAGACCGGCACATCATGCACTCCCTTTACACGCTATCTTTCAAAATACACAATGGACTAAGTTTTTTACTCTATGACCAACTTCCTCTACTGCCTATCTTTTTGACCATGGTATTGGCAAGGCGCTCCTACGCCATGTTGGTAGAGATATATCCTTTCATGCTTTCAAGAGCGGTACACTATCCAGAATGCTAACCAAGCTCACTATCTTTCTCTCCTTACAACTATTGATATTATTCCTGTAACTATTGAAAAACATCATTCCCTTAATTCTTGTAGTGGTACTGTCATTCTGCCCCATACCATTTTTTTTTTTTTCAACAAAACGGCCGCATACCACCAAGGCAGGGTGGCCCAAAAAGAAAAACTAAAGTTTCTCTTTTTAAATTTAGTAATTTATACAAGAGAAGGGGTTACTAGCCCCTTGCTCTCGGCATTTTAGTCGCCTCTTACAACACGCATGGCTCACAGAGGAAGAATTCTATTCCACTTCCCTATGGAGATAAGAGGAAATAAACAAGAACAAGAACTAGAAAGAAAATAGAAGAAAACCCAGAGGGGTGTGTGTATATATATATGCTTGTACATGTATGTGTAGTGTGACCTAAGTGTAAGTAGAAGTAGCAAGACACACCTGAAATCTTGCATGTTTATGAGACAGGAAAAAGACACCAGCAATCCTACCATCACGTAAAACAATTACAGGTTTCCATTTTACACTCATTTGGCAGGACGGTAGTACCTCCCTGGGCGGTTGCTGTCTACCAACCTACTACTTACCCCCATACCATTGTCCAACAGAATTTCCAGACATGTGGCAATGACATTCTGGAACAGCTTGAACTCCAAGACCTCCCAATCCTTAAAGTAGATACTTATCTCCTCCCTGCCTGCAGGCGGAGACGATACCCTTGCAATGTAGCTCGTGTAACTTTTAACTGTTGTGTGCTTCTGTCCTCTGTATATATTGCGGGACACTGTTTACAAGTTCAAAGGTGATTCCCTACACCGCAACAGTATAGAAATTGCTGGCGTTTTAATCATCCAGAAAAATATTGCAGGTCCATGGCCGAGTATGGTGCCAACGACCATACCAATGCATCTTGTAGTCTACCTCCCTCTTGCCTTAATTGCCATGAGGCTCATCCATCTTACTCTTGCCGTTTTCAAGTCTACTTAAATGAGCATGAAATCCATTGTCTCAAAGAGGCAGAAGGCATCCCATATGCTATGGCACTCATCTATGCCTCCAAGGGAGACTTTCCCTTATTTCTTATTCTCGAGTTACTAAATGTCCCCCCTCCTTTGGGGTCCCAACTCCTGCAGCCTCCTCTGTGGTCATCCTTTTCACAGTCACACCTGTCTCTAATTCTTTTGCTGTCCTAGACTTAGAGGTCCCTACCTCGGCACTTCATTCTGTTCTCACCTCCGATCTCATTCTCATGCCATCGCAGTGTATACTGATGGTTCCAAGTCTTCTGACGGTGTCGGATTTGCAGCAGTGCTTCCAGACAGCATTGTGCGAGGGCATTTATTATCCTCGGCTAGCATTTTTACGGCTGAATTGTATGCTATTCTTGTAGCACTTACCCGTATTGCATCTATGCCTGTGTTGCCATTTGTGGTCACTGCAGACTCCCTAATTAGTGTTTTACAAGCTATACAAAAATTTGATACACCTCATCCCCTGGCTCTTCGTATCCAACTTTGGTTACGCCATATCTCTAGCAAGGATAAACATATTGTTTTTTTTTGTTGGGTTCCTGGTAATGGTGACATACAGGGCAATGAACAGGCAGACACTGCTGTGCGGTCAGCAGTACATGACCTGCCAGTTTCATGTAGAGGTGTTCCATTCACAGACTATTTTGCTGTAATTGCTACCCACCTTCGCATCTGTTGGCAACAACATTGGTCTGATCTGCTCTATAATAAACTACATTCTATTAAACTGAGTAGAGGTTTGGGCCGTCTTCGTATCGGTGTCAAGGTTGGGAGACTACTCTCTCCCGTCTTCGCATCGGCCACACTCGTCTTACTCATGGGTATCTCATGGATTATTATTATTATAATCAAGGGGAAAGCGCTAAACCCGGAGGATTATACAGCGCCTGGGGGGGGATGTGGAAGGCATTCAGGCTTAATTCGGGGAACTGGAGCACAGATCCAATTCCCTAAATCAAGAGCCCCTCACCAACATCAAGGAACCTTCCTTGAGGGGCGTATCTCATGGAGAGGTGCCCTATTCCACTCTGTGAGAATTGTCAGGTTCCAGTTTCTGTTAGCCACCTTCTGTTGGACTGCCCACTCTATCAATGAGCACGCAGAATTTACCTCCAACGCCGTCACCGCTCAACTTCCCTTACTCTAAATTCCCTTCTTGCTGATGGACCCTATTTTAACCCAGACTCTCTCACTGACTTTGACAGCAGCTAATTTACTGCACAAACTCTGAAGATGATGCCTCTAGTACTCCTCATGGCCCTTTCTGCCTCAGTCTCCGCTGTATAGTCCTTGTGGCTTAGCGCTTCTTTTTGATTATAATAATTATAATTTGCCTCAGTCTCTTGCTACCCTCCACCCCTACACTATCCACTGCCCCACTGCACTCCATGACCTAATAATCATCCCTCTCCCTCTTGCTACCCATTACCTGCATCCTTCCCAGCCTGGCAGCTCTGTATGACCCTTGTAGGTTTAGCGCTTCTTTTTTATTATAATAATATATGCTGTTGACTTTTATCCTACATACAGTCTTAGTATTACTATTATTATTATAATCAAAACCAAGCGCTAAACCTACAAGGTTCATGCAGCACTGTACATACAATCTTAACCCTTTCACTGTCGGTCCCGTTGTATCACGGCTTTGAAGCTGTGATACAACGGGACCGTAGTGTGACGCCATGAGCTCAGCTCACTCAGCTAAGCTGTGAACAATAATTTGGGCCTAGATATGAGGGAATGGGTCTGTACAGTAAGTGTGCCCCATATAAAAATATCTTGCAGTACGCAGTGCATAATGAGAAAAAAAAGTGACGGTGTTTTTAGTTTAAAACAGTGACTTTGAGGTGTATTTTTGTATGGTTGTATCCTGGGTTTCTTGGTCACATTTGATAGAATGGAAGATATATTACAGAAATAAAGATGATTTTTGATTAATTTCAGGACTGAAAGTAGCTTGAAATTGAGCTCAAATTAGCAGAAACATTCAATTTTTACCAATACTATTCTAGATTACACAAATGACGTCACTTTTCCAATACACATCCAACTGGCCAGACTTATGCACATTTAGAAATGCACTGACATTATTTATACAATTATTACAATCATGCAGTAGTCTGCATAACATTAAATCTTCTATTTTTTTGTGTGAATTCAAAATGAAAGCAAGCGTAATATAAGAGGGGCCTGGAAACATGACTAAAGAACAGAGGAAATGTTTATTAAGTGTCAGGAATGTCTACATTGTTTATTCTGGACCCAATTTTCAAATTGACAATTGCTGAATTTTGTATGAGATTGGCCAAATTGCCAATTTCTGATCACTTTATTGGGTAGTTGAAATAGGTAAATGGGCAGTTTCTTGTACTTGATCAATAGAATAGAAGTAATACTAGTGAAATAGCTATAAGTTTGGTGGACTGGAACAATGGAATTTGTCATAATTAGAGCACAATGTGGGAGAAATCGCCTATGCATAAATGTTGCCAAGACTGCTAACTTTATGAAAGCGTAATTCCATAAGTTTTTCATCAAATTTCGTACTTTTGGTTTCATTACCTTCGGAAAAAGATTCTATCATTTCACGAGATATTTTTTTTTAAATTCTTCGATACTGAGAGTAAGTTTGAGAGCAGGAGTTTTGACAGTGAAAGTGGTTAAATGCAGCCTCTCCTCACTTAGCGACGTACTCGTTTACCAATGACTCAGACTTACGACGGGCTTTCTGACCAGTATGCATACCTAAATAATGTATATTAGAGATGATTTCTTCTGTTTATTACAATATACAGAACACTACTGTATAAACATTTAAAAATATACCAGAAATGTTATAAATGGTGCAAAGCTGACATTAAAACAATATCAAAGATGGTTGACACAAACCCACTACCATTATAGTATGCTCCTCACTTTGCGACGAATTCGTTTACCTGTCTTAGGAACGTAACTCCGTCGTTAAGTGAGGAGAGGCTGTATATCAGTCAAAACATATTTAAAACTTTTAAAACATATCCAACAATGTGAACTCTAATGATGAACAGTAGTATCTAGTCTGGAGAGGAAAGCAATAGAGAAAGAGGTACACTGGGTCCCCATAATGAGTTTAACCAAGGCCTAGGCTAAATGGAGGTCTTATCTGCCAGCTCATCAGAAAAAATTTAACAAAATCTTGTGAAGATTTAACTTGCTAAGGCACTTAGCATTGAGAGAGGCTTTGACATTTCTGTAAGAGATAATAATCTGAGTAGACCTAGGATTTCTGAAGATCTGATAAATCAGAAAATTTTTATAATAAAAAAAAAGAAGTGCTAAACCTACAAGGGTCATACAGCACAGATGAATCAGAATAGAAGATCCATACAGTAACAGCAGGCAATGCAAAATGACAGAATGTTCTGAAAATTATAAAATGCAGTGTAGACAGAGAACATAAGTCAGGGTCCAGTGGGAAGTATACCAATGCATCAGATGGACAACGTGGCCACCAGCTGTGTTCAAACAGGCATTATTATTATTATTATGATTATAATCCAAACTAAGTGTTAAACCCACCAGGGTCATACAGTGCTGTCAAAAGGGCATAAGCCATAACAGTTGCATACCAAGATAACCAGAAACCAAGGGGAGAAATTTCAGAAAGCCCATAGGAAACAAGGAGGAACTTGTTGGGTTTAAAATAATAGTTGTCAGTGAAACAAACCGTGGTACAAGTGGAGCTTGAACTCCCGTCAAGCAAGTTGTAAAACTCCAGGCCACTGTGTTATTACAGTTATGTGAGTCATGATGATGGCTTTGAGAGAACTTGAGCTAGTTTGTCACAGCCACCCTGGTGGGAGATTCACTTGTAAAAGCTTGCATTTGTGGTCACAGTGGGACCCATACTAACCTCATTATGGCGTGTAAATATACCTAATCAGATGAATCTTACTGTAGCAAGGTGGCCCAGTGACATATGCACTGGGCTGGAGTTTTATGACTCTCTTGCCATGAGTTCGAGCCCCACCCATACTGTGGTTTGTTTTGTCGTATTATTACGAGTTCGTGAGTCAGTTGTCAGTGACTTACACAGACAAAAAAAAAGATGTATATTGGTCAATATAATATAGAAGCATAGGAAGAACTCCCTGTTGGCCACAAGACCAGGCCTGAGATAGGATGTGATACTGCCATATAGTGTCATAAGGGAAGGGGGAGGTAATCAAGATTCAGTTCAAGGAATTGGAGAGTAATTACAATTCTTCAGTGCAGTATTGTATGACCCTCATGGGTTTAGCACTTCTTTTTTATTATAAGATAATCCAATTCTTCAGATCAAGAGCCCTTCACCAGCATCAAGGCACCTCTCTTCAAGGGATGTTTTTTTTTTTTACCATGTTGGCCATCTCTCATCAAGGCAGGGTGACCCAGAAAAGAAACACTTTCACCATCATTCGCACAATATCATCGTCTTTGCAGAGGCACCCAGATATGACAGTTGAGATGTCACTCCAATCAGCCAATATTCCAAACCCCTCCTTAAAAGTGCAGACAATGTACTTCCCACTTCCAGGACTCAAGTCCGGCAAAATGGTTTCCCTGAATCCCTTCACATAATATTAACCTGCTTGCATAAGTATTTAAAAAAAATACTATATAAGGATATAAAAAAAAATGTAAAAGACCATACTTTACTCCATAAAAATAAATGAGCAATAATTTTCTCCATTCTGTACTTCCATTTTTCTTGAGATCATGAATAAAATGGAATGATGCAGAGTGCTTTGGAAGCCTCACCAAGTTCTTAATATATTTCATTTTTTATAATTCTAGTTTTCTAAAATACAGAACAGTGTATATGTATGTATGATTAAGCCAAATGGCTTCTGAAATGTAGTGGAAGGTTACATGCATAAATCTATAAATTTAGTAAAATGTGTTTATAATATTTCTAATATAGACAGCAAATACTTTAGTCTTTTTTTAAAATTAATTAAGAATAAAATGTCTAGAACTTGGATAGTTACCCTGCACCCAAACACATACTTAAGACTTCCTGACTAAATCTATCTGACACATACAAACACATTTTTATCATTTCTTTCATTTAAAATTTTATATAATTTTTATAACATTTCCATGGTAATATTTCTTCAGTATATAAAGCTTGTATGTTTGTTAGAAGAGTTGAACAAACACATTAAGTAATCAACAGTTTTCAATTTCTTAAGTGACTGCTCTGGAAAATTAAAAATAAATAATATATACATCAATGTTCTAGTTCTACAGAAGAGTTCTGAAACAATCATTCAAGAAATAAAGTGAGATACTAACATGGAAACTAATCAATGAATTCAATAAAATATTAATATGAAAAAATGTCTGCCCCGAGAAACAGCATCATGCAAGTGTTTTTGACTATCAGCTCACCATCACACTTGCCTATACAGTGGACCCCCGCATACCGTACGCATCGCATACCGTACAATCCGCATACCGGACGCTTTGATCGCAAAAATTTTGCCTCGCATACCACCCAAAAACCCGCTCACTGCCCTTCGTCCGAGACGCGTCCAATGTGCGGCCTGAGCCACGCTCACATGTTCCGCCGGTGGCATTGTTTACCAGCCAGCCTCCGCGGTAACATCCAAGCATACAGTCGGAACATTTCGTATTATTACAGTGTTTTTGGTGATTTTTTCTGGAAAATAAGTGACCATGGGCCCCAAGAAAGCTTCTAGTGCCAACCCTACAGCAATAAGGGTGAGAATTACTATAGAGATGAAGAAAAAGATCATTGATAAGTATGAAAGTGGAGTGCGTGTCTCCGAGCTGGCCAGGTTGTATAATAAACCCCAATCAACCATCGCTACTATTGGTGGTACAGCTGCTGCTGTACCACCATCAGCTGCTGCTGCACTGTCAGCTGCTGCTGCACTGTCAGCTGCTGCTGCTGTTGTACCACCGTCAGCTGCTGCTGCTGTTGTACCACCGTCAGCTGCTGCTGCTGCTGTAGTACCGTCTGCTGCTGCTGTAGCATCGTCTGCTGCTGCTGTAGCATCGTCTGCTGCTGCTGTAGCATCGTCTGCTGCTGCTGTAGCATCGTCTGTTGCTGCTGTAGCATCGTCTGCTGCTGCTGTAGCATCGTCTGCTGCTGTTGTAGCATCGTCTGCTGCTGCTGTAGCATCGTCTGTTGCTGCTGTAGCATCGTCTGCTGCTGCTGTAGCATCGTCTGTTGCTGCTGTAGCATCGTCTGCTGCTGCTGTAGCATCGTCTGTTGCTGCTGTAGCATCGTCTGCTGCTGCTGTAGCATCGTCTGTTGCTGCTGTAGCATCGTCTGCTGCTGCTGTAGCATCGTCTGTTGCTGCTGTAGCATCGTCTGTTGCTGCTGTACCACTGTCAGCTGCTGCTGCTGCTGTAGCACCGTTGTTGGTGTGGCTTATTGAGAATACCAAGAAACAATTAACCCCAGAGGATTTGCCACCCAGGATAACCCAAAAAAGTCAGTGTCATCGAAGACTGTCTAACTTATTTCCATTGGGGTCCTTAATCTTGTCTCCCAGGATGCAACCCACACCAGTCGACTAACACCCAGGTGAACAGGGAAAAATGCCTGGAACTAGTGCTCATATTGGTGAATTTAAAGCCAGCAAAGGTTGGTTTGAGAGATTTAAGAATCGTAGTGGCATACACAGTGTGATAAGGCCTGTTCTGGAAGAAAATGCCAAACAGGACCTACAGTACTCAGGAGGAAAAGGCACTCCCAGGACACAGTGTCTCATCAGTCATTGCTGCATCTTCAATAAAGGTAAGTGTCATTTATTCTTCATTTAGTAGAGTAGTACATGCACAATATATATTGTGCATGTACTACTCTACTATTGTGCATGTATCCTTCTCTTTGTGTGTAGGAAAATGTATATTTCATGTGGTAAAAATTTTTTTTTCATACTTTTGGGTGTCTTGCACGGATTAATTTGATTTCCATTATTTCTTATGGGGAAAATTCATTCGCATACCGAACATTTCGCATAACAACCAGCCCTCTTGCACGGATTAAGGTCGCTATGCGGGGGTCCACTGTATATGTAAACATGCTGTACAAAAGGAATAGAATAGTAAAAAAAAAAAAAAATTTCATGAGATACTTTCAGCACATTATAATAAAAAAAAAGTCTATTCTAACAAAATTTTTGTATTTTGTTCATAATTCATATATAATCCTCACCAGCTATATACCTATGTAACAAATAACATTAATCAAATATTCTCTGAAAAAATAGAACATCATACAAATAATATATATAATATTACTTCTTCTTTCTTTCTGTTGAGCACTTTGGACAGTACCACTTTCCCTTTGGTTTTGTAGTCAAGCCCACACAGGCAAAATGGAACCACTCGATGGGACACTGAAACAGAAACATTCAATATTAGTTATAAGAGAAAGATTTAATAAGACATGACTTACATCAGGTTTCTTTCTTTGAGTCACCCCTATTTTAGTGAGAAACTGCTGAAGTTTGGGTCACCCTGCCTCGGCAGGAAATGGCCGACGTGTTAAAAAAAAAAAGTACAGTGGAACCTCGGTGTACGACCAGCACCCTCCTCGACCAAAGCTCAGCACTCAACCAAGCAAATACGACCTGCCAGAAGTTCGCTGTAAACTATTTCGTGTTTCTTTGCATTTTTTTTTTTTTTGTATCATTTGTATAAACAAGTCACCATGGGGCCTACGACAATTAGTGATAACAGCCAACCAAACAGAAAATTGGTTGGGAAGAACTTGTTTGATACTCAAACGGAGTAGCACTTGAACAGCCTTCTGGAATGAATTAAGGTTGCATACAAAGGTTCCAGTGTATTAGTATATTCACAAAAAATTGCTAAACTCATATGGGTCATTCAGCATTATGAATATAAGAGTAATGTGAAATTTAAAAAATAGGAATATAGCATTTCATTCTAGGTTTAGCAATACATGCTCCGAGAAAGGAAGAGAAACAACAGAAGGGGCTTGTAAATTTGCAACAGTAGACTAGTTTTCATCTGAAGTGCTTCACTAAAATAAAAATTTATGAATCAGCACACTGTATTTTCCAAAGTCACATTTAATTAAACAAATCACTTAACTTTTCATGAATTGTCGTTGGTTTAGAAAGACACGTAAGCAATGAATTCTCGTAAACCGAAACATCAGTGCCATGAACGTAATGATTTAAAATTCAAGGAGTACAATATCAAACTTGGGATTCCACTTAGGAGACTCACAAGCAACCAAACATATCACTAGGATATTTGCTATTAAAAAATTTACTTAAGAAATGCACTATTAAGATATGGCTTCCTATCACTTATTATTGTATTGTTTAGCTGTAATAAGCAAAAACCTGTTGGTGTTATAAAGTAATGAGATTGATGAAAAAGGAAATAACCTGAAGATGTTTAAAAATCAAACATGGCATCTTTGTCTATGGGTTGTGCTTGGGAGACAGTTGCCTCCCAGGCACAATCACAAAATTCCTCAACCACATGAAGTGGCCAAGCTTCAGAGGAACCTCACTAAGTAGTGACCCAGCATAGAGAAGCCCCTGCTAGGCAGTGACCCTACTACATAAAATAACCTGGTCTCATGGGTACTCCACCACAAAACAATCCAGCTTTGCAGATACCCCATCATGTAGTGACTTGGCTTCAGATGGACCCCATCATATATTGACCTAGCTTCAAAGAGACCCCACCACAAAATAACCAAGCTTCAGAGGGACCCCCCACCACAAAATGACTTGGCTTCAGAGGCCCCCATCACATAAACTGATCCAGTTTCAGGAGGGGTCCCCACCACATAAAAGACCCAACTTCAGAGAGACCCCACCACACAATACCTCAGCTTCAGACGGGATCCTTCTGAAGCTAGGTCATGTAAAGTAGCCTAGCTTCAGAGGGACCCTCACCACCTAGTGACCCAGCTTAGGCAAACAGTTTTTCAACATCTAAGGCAAAATAGTTTCTCAACATCTAAACAAACTAAACTGCCCCACTGAATACCAGGGCTGTTATCAAAATTTTTATCTGCATAAATCAGTTTATTCTCCATGGGGAAGTGGAACAGAATTCTTCCTCCATAAGCCATGCGTGTCCTAAGAGGCGACTAAAAAGCCAGGAGCAAGGGTAAAGTAACCCCTTCTCCTGTATAAATTACTGAATTTAAAAAGAGAAACTTTCGTCTTTCTTTTTGGGCCACCCTGCCTTGGTGGGATACGGCCAGTTTGTTGAAAAAAACAAAATCAGTTTATAGATTTTGGATAACTTTAAAATAGGTTGTAACTTTGTTAGAAAAAATTCAGGAAATTATAGACAAAACATCAATATCATCCTAGCAGTTAAGATGAAAAAGTTCTTCAACATGTAAACCTGACATGAGTGAATTTTGGAGAAGATTCATGTTCAAGCATGACAGCAAATCTGGGCCACTTGCTTTGGCCAGTGAATCCTAAGAACTATTACAATATTGGCTGATGCCTGGCTATTACATACATTAGGTACGAAACAATGTCAGAAGAATTAATCACACCCACTTCTCTACCATGTGCTCAACGGTTTTGAACAATTAAAAAAAGTACCCATAAGTTTCTGTTATTTTACTATGTATCAAACAACTAGTTACAGAAAACATTATCCAAACATCATGGGCACTAATGCTCATACATCAAACAATTTCGTTTAAATGATCCTAGTGAAGATTAACATTTATAAATCAAACATATGCCACAGAAATCATCCATCAGCTCATATGAGATAACCAAAAGGATAAAAGGCTGATTATACATGATAAATATCACTGACAATATACTTACATCCATTTTATCACAGGCAATCATCTCCCCATAGGATACCTGATGGCATAAGCAGTATGTAGGTTCATTAGGATCTACTGGCATATCCAAAACATCAGAAGGATGTGCAATTGACAAGCCAGGAAGAACAGATGCAATTGCAGAATCTGTTTCAAGTTTTTTCTTTTGTTTCTTGCGTCCTGTTTTTGGCGCTTGTTCTTCTTCATCAGACAGGTTCCCGCCTTTCCTCTTATTTTTACCCTTTTCTTCTTTTTTCTTTCTTCCCTCTGTAAACAAATTAACCATTTAAGTTTTCTGTATCACAAGAGCAACAGTAAATAATAGTGAAAGTGCAATAATAATAACTAATAATAATAATGATAATAAAATAAAATTAATGAAGTGGAAACTATATTTTTAAGCAAATAAATTTAAACACAAATACAAGTACATACTGCATAATACTTAAAGTCAATACTATGACCTAAAAAATTACCAACTACCTCACAATTTCCAGAGAAAATTTAAACAAGGGACTTTATAATGACCTGAAACAGACTGAAATATATTTAAAAGTTCTCAAACACTGACTTTTGTTATTGATTACTTATTTATCTACTTCAGGCTCAGAAAATCTACCAATAGAATTGCAGCAGAAATTTTTATTTAATGAGACTTAGATCAGTGTTCACAAGGTGTCATGCGAAATACTGATCAACCAAGTACTAGTATGCTAGTATATACAGTTTATTCTCCCAGTTCTGTGATACCTTATGTAGTATTGTAAAATACTAATATTTATTTATTTTAAGTATGTATTTAGTATTGGAATAAAATTGAAGTACTAGTATGTTGTTAATCAAGACATTTGCATTTTCTAATGACAACTCCTGCTCAGTACTGGTGTAACGTTAGGTTAAATTTTGTATGGTTAACATAAAATTTATTCAGGTTCATTATGTAGTTTTACATTTATATACTGTAATATAATAATACATTAATTATTAACTATAAACTATCCTCATTTCTTCTTCCTTAACATACAAAATAAAACTGTTAATGTATCTTTCAATGACATGCATGTAGTCTATATTACAAATTCTGATCCATCTTCATAATATGGAAAGGGTTGCTTTTATTTTTATTAGTGTTTTGGCCATTTATTTAACTAAGAATTACTGCATTTATTACTGTGCTCTGTTTACTGTAAAGATTTTGTCTTACAAACATTAAGTGACTTCTATTTCTTTACTGTGGCACTAATCTGCAATAATGTTATAGCTGTCAGAGCAACATGCAACTTACTTTTCTTACTGTTTGTTTCCTCTTCTTTTTTATTATTATTGAGAGCTTTCTCCTTAATTTCCGCTTCAAACTTTGCAAGGTCCGAGTCTAATCTACGTATGTGTTTGTCGACCTGTAAAAAATAAGGTGAGATTACTCAGATTCTCTGAGAATAATTTGTTAATAGTGTATGATTCTTTTGGTCACCTTACCTTACCTTGGAGGAAAAAAGTTGTAAAAATAAAATAATGAAGTCAAGCAGGTCTTGATATGGGACACATACACCTAGGAAATTGACACAGTTATTTTTTGCTGATGATACTGTGCTTATGGGAGATTCTAAAGAAAAATTGCGAAGGTTAGTAGATGAGTCTGGGAATGTGTGTAAAGGTAGAAAGTTGAAAGTGAACATAGAAAAGAGTAAGGTGATGAGGGTATCAAATGATTTAGATAAAGAAAAATTGGATATCAAATTGGGGAGGAGGAGTATGGAAGAAGTGAATGTTTTCAGATACTTGGGAGTTGACGTGTCGGCAGATGGATTTATGAAGGATGAGGTTAATCATAGAATTGATGAGGAAGAATTGATGAGGAAAAAAAGGTGAGTGGTGCGTTGAGGTATATGTGGAGTCAAAAAACGTTATCTATGGAGGCAAAGAAGGGAATGTATGAAAGTATAGTAGTACCAGCACTCTTATATGGGTGTGAAGCTTGGGTGGTAAATGCAGCAGCGAGGAAACAGTTGGAGGCAGTGGAGATGTCCTGTCTAAGGGCAATGTGTGGTGTAAATATTATGCAGAAAATTCAGAGTGTGGAAATTAGGAAAAGGTGTGGAGTTAATAAAAGTATTAGTCAGAGGGCAGAAGAAGGGTTGTTGAGGTGGTTTGGTCATTTAGAGAGAATGGATCAAAGTAGAATGACATGGAAAGCATATAAATCTATAGGGGAAGGAAGGCGGGGTAGGGGTCGTCCTCGAAGGAGTTGGAGAGAGGGGGTAAAGGAGGTTTTGTGGGCGAGGGGCTTGGACTTCCAGCAGGCGTACGTGAGTGTGTTAGATAGGAGTGAATGGAGACGAATGGTACTTGGGACCTGACGATCTGTTGGAGTGTGAGCAGGGTAATATTTAGTGAAGGGATTCAGGGAAACCGGTTATTTTCATATAGTCGGGCTTGAGTCCTGGAAATGGGAAGTGCAATGCCTGCACTTTAAAGGAGGGGTTTGGGATATTGGCAGTTTAGAGGGATATGTTGTGTATCTTTATACGTATATGCTTATTAACTGTTGTATTCTGAGCACCTCTGGAAAAACAGTGATAATGTGTGAGTGTGGTGAAAGTGTTGAATGATGATGAAAGTATTTTCGTTTTGGGGATTTTCTTTCTTTTTTTGGGTCACCCTGCCTCGGTGGGAGACAGCCGACTTGTTGAAAAAAAAAAAAAAACCTAGGAAACAAAATGGGCACTTTATGCTTATTACAGTAACTCACGGCATATTATGCAAAATTGATCAAATGTTTTAAACTGTTAAAAGGAACTTACTAATTCATACGTCTGAATAGCTAGCTGAACTTTATCATCACTGTATTCCTTCGCTCGATTAAACATTTTCTGGATCTTGCTCATCTGCTCTGACCGCTTCTCAGGACTCAGGCCTTTTACTGTACTCAGGTATTCATCAGAGATCTGGAGGTATAAGATTATATGTATAATATAATGAAAATCTTTAACTGAAGTATAAATTAGATATTCAATTTATGCATGTGTATGATTTTTTTTTTCAGTTTCATATATGTATCTGTACTGTGTATCCAGGGCCGGATTACCGCATAGGCAAACGAGGCATTTGCCTAGAGCCCCGCGCATTTGGGGGCCCCGCGGTCCAAGGGGTTCAGGGGCTCATCCAAGACTGCGCACATGGTGCAAGTGCAAAGGGGTCCCTACCTAAAAAGTTCAAGTGTTTGGAGAGTAAAATTGATTTTTAAAAATTAATCAAAACAAAAATAAATAATGAAATAAAATATAATAAAAATAAATAAACCTAACCATAGATGGCAACACTCAACACGCCTTAGTTGACATCAGAACACTGTTTTTCCCCGCTAATGGGCGAGTATGATATTCTCTCCAATTTCTGTAGTAATTAACATGTGTATCTAGACTTGTAATGTGACAAATTAACTGAAGTGTTGTTGAAAGACATTGATTTGTATGGATAAATGTTGTTTTTCGCCTTTAAAGTTAAGGGAGGTACCTGATAGGGTTACTTCGACCCGTAAAGACGCATGTGACCCAGTAAGATGCATTTTTTGGTAAAAAAAACAATAAAGAAAAACCTATAAAATTTTGCAAACCTGACTTCCGTTTGTAGGTTTTTTAAAAGCACTTGTCCGTCTTTAAGTCTTTATCATTTCAGTAACAGATCTCAATTGATTGATGTTCTACCTCAATTCCGTCGCAAATGCTTAGTTTTCAAGTTGCAACGGAAGTGATGTAGAAATCAATTAATTTACTACATATTTCACCCAGAAACACCAAAGCCCATCAGAAAATTGTTGGTTGGGTGAAACGAAAAATTGTCCCTGCATTCTTTAATTCTCTGTCCTTATCTATGGTGGTAGGCCATATATCATGCAAAACATAATGATTAGTTTTAGTTATGAAAATGGTAATAGAAATACCATGTGCATTGTTCTGGACCAGTATGATTTCTGTTAAGTAAATAGGAGATCATGAGGCTGATTTAGTAAAATATTCGTAGCCCAAATCACAAACCTATCTATGGTAAAAGTTCTGTATATATGACACCATTCTATCTGGTAACGTTTTGATTTTTAAGAAGAGCCGCCAGAGAAAAGGGGCTACAAGGCCATATCCCCCAATTGACAGAAAATTATTTTTAATAATAAAATAAGAAATTATAATAATTGAAAATGAATAATTTTTGTATTTGGCATGATACAGACAGTGATACATCCTCATATGGCATCCTCGTGAACGTGATGTTGGAACGTTCTTATGCGAGTGGGTCCACCGAAAAGAAAGAAGAAAATTCAAGAAAACAGAAAAAGAAAGATGTAGAAGCTGCAGAAAGATCACAGACATGCCACAAAACAGTTTCTGACGTTACCAGTACAGGTGAATCTGCAGATAATGTCAATCATACAGGAAGCCCTCCCCCATTATTTCTCTCAGCACGTCATCTACTTCTTTGTGTCTCCTCTCAATGTCCTCACGGACCATTCATCCACAGGATTTTGTCTTAAAAGATCCTGCCTTCAATGGCCAAATGTAATCCAGATTCTCTACGTAATGCTTCATTGCAGAAAACTTCAGTCGGAAAAACTCTGAACATTGAACTTTAAGGAAATCCAAGCAAGGATTTATGAGGATGGAAGTCGTCGTTGTTTAAAAGTCATCTATGTTTTATAGGACCTTGCAAATTCATAACTGTGAAAGATCATGGATGGTATACTCTGAAAGCCTCAGGAAATGTGTACTGTTCAGCATGCAAGCTATTATCTTTTTCTACCAAGAAAATACCTTCACGCAGGGGTTCAATGACTGAAAAATTCCAAGCGTTTCGAGGAACATGAAAACAGTAACCACTCACAGGAGCTACATTTTAGCCGTGTATTTCGTGCACAGAAAAAAGCTAATTGGATTCTCATTTGGAAAATCAAACTGAAAAAGAGCGCAACTTATTGGAGAAAAGTTCTAGAAAGAGTGTTGCTGTTGTAAAATTCTTAGCTCTAAGAGGGACTTGCTATCCGTTGAGAAAATGAGGTTATGATTCGGAACACAATGGCAATTTTCCTAGGATCATAGAACTTTTTAGCACAATTCGATCCATTCTTCTTAGCAAATCATGTGTTCCACGACCTTGGGAATGCAGGAAGAGGCACTGTATTCTTACATGTCATTTACTATATGCAATGAATTTATAGAACTAAAGACTAAGCAAGGTCCTCAATAACAATCATAGCATCTGTGAAAACTGCAAAAAACTTTGCAATAAGTTGTAGATTTCAACACAGGATATTCACATACAGACAATTGACATTCATTGTTCGCTTTGTCGACTCCATTGAGCCTGTAGGCCGCTTATAAAATTCATTCCTCTTCAGCCATGATGGGAGAAACCAATGATGAATCGTACTGGAACTCTGCTTGAACATGATCTCTCTATTATGGATTGCCGTGGGCCAGAGCTACGACAATGCATAAAGTAACATGTCGGGAAAATATAATGGATTGCAAGCCCGTATCAAGCAAATCAACAACCCACTTGCTGAATAGGTGCCCTGCTCACACATTCTCTTAATCTGTTGGTCATGTCTGGCCGATGTTGTTCCCTGTGCAGTTTTCATTTTTTGGACTTTTACAAGCACTCTTTTAATTTTTCTCTTGCTTTCAACGACATCGGTGGAGTATACATCAAGTCCAACGCATTCATGAGATTCTCAAATCATTACAACAACAAGGTGTTCAGCGCCAGCATGATTCAACACATGCTTTGAAAGACACTTTGCCTGAAATAGACTAGGTTCTGCTTTGATCCAAATAGCAAGGATGAAGACCAACAGCAAACTACAAGAAGCAAGCAGCCAGCTTAGGCTCAAAATTGAAGATTTTGAATTGCCTTACTCTTTGTGCTTTTGGACTGTATACTGGAACGGTTAAATGCAACGAACAAGACACTTCAGAAAATTTAAATTGAAAATTGCTACTTTGGGTGCTAACATCTATGCAGGCTTATGGAATTTGTAAAACTCACTACTTCGCATGATGAAAGCTTTTGAAATGTTTTGAAGAGAAAGCTAAACTGCTGGTGAAAGCCTACAGTTACCGGGCGATCATCAGCGGTCAAGGAAGAGGAAACACAATTTTGAAATAGCCAGACAAGAAATTGTGTTGCTACCATGGCAGAAATGTAAGGACAGCTACATACTTCGTCATTCTGGATTCACTGATTAACAGCATGGGAAAAGAAAATAAATCTAGCAGAATCTCAATGACAAGTTTTGGATTCTGTTCAAATTACTACTATGCCATATGCAGAATTGAGATAAGCTGCATTAAAGTTGCCAACAACACCTTCAGCAAGATGTTCAGGATGCATTTGTTGAAAAATAGTTCATTTTACTGGGTATAATGAATCAGATTAAAGCTCCACCTGATAAATGTGCGCCCGCAGCTTCTTTGAAACATTTAAGAAATGCAGGTCCTCTCAGAAACCTTCCTAATGTTGACATAGTGTATCCGCCTTTACCTAACTTTCAGCTACTAACTGTGAAATAGGAACGTTCATATTCTGTTTAGAAAAAGAGTGAAAAACCAGCACCGTTCCAACAATGAGACAAGACAAATTGTGTAACCTAGCCTTGTTGACCAATGATCTGATCTAACAAGAAATAATTGATTTCAGAATTAATTGATGATTTTTGCCCAAGAGAAATCCAGAAAAAAAAAAGTTTATTAAAGAATGCCTGTGAATATAAACAATTCTTTACTTTCTGAGTTTATATGATTTGATAGTCTTATGCATGATGCACTGATAACAATAATGGTCAGTGATTTATAAAGGGAATAATAGTGCTGTAAGTGGTTATGCTGAATATAATAGGTTACATGGTCACTACTTTAATAGCCTAATCTAGTAAGTCTATCTGTCCTTGAGTTATTCTCTTTAGAATGCGTGATTTTAACGAAACAAGATAGTTATAATGGGCTGTTGGTTAAATGGTTAGGATGTCTTGATGTACTTTTCCCTATTAAATTTTAATATCTAAAATAAGCCAGAATGTATTCAATAGACCTTAAACCCAGAGCCACAACCGACCCCCCCCCCCCCCGAAGCTGGCAGGGTCACTGCGTCCGCTTACCTGTAACTCAAAGGGACCCCACCAATCTGAATAGCCTAGGGCCCGGAGATTATTAATCCAGCCCTGTGTGTTATCACACAAATCAAAATACAATTTATCTCTTTGGAATTAGAAAATGACAATGTTTGGATTAACATCATACTAGTGCATTAAAATTTTATTCCAATACTAAATACAGTGGAAAACCTCATTTTTCGTATGATTTGGTTTTCCGAAACGACTTTTTTCTGTCAAAATTTGTCCCATGTTTTGTATCCTCACCTCAGTTTTTTTTGGAAGAGTTTGACGAGTCCCATACTGAACGCATCCACTTGCCCACCGCATCACTCGGCCACTCAAGCGCCGAGAGACGCATCTGCTGCCTTTGTTATCAATGATGAGCATCACCCGCGCATTCAGCCGAAACATTTCATAATAATCTATTATATTTTTGTGCTTGTTCATTGAGTGCAACTGCTAAATAAGCCACCAAGGGGCCAAAGAAGTTGAGAGTGCCAGCCTTTGATAAGGTGAGAAACATGATGGTTGGATGTGTGCCAGGATTGGCAAGAGTTGGTGGACAACACACAGGAAGAGCTTAACCACTCCCACTTATTGGAAGAGCTGCAAACACCTTCAACTGGAACAGCAACAGATCACAGCTGAGGAATTGCTTCAGAGCACATGTGCAAAGTGGAGTGAGTTGCAAAGTTTTGTGGAGAAATATCACCCTAATAAAGCTGTTGCAAGCCATGTCTGCAAAATGTTCATTGACTATGCTTGTCAAGCTGGTCCTAGTGCCAGTAAAGACAAAGAAGGGAAGTAACCCCGGCTAGGGCCTTGATACCTAAGCCCCTTATGGAAGGGGATTTCCCTCCAAAACCTATAGTTATTCTCTATAAAATGTATTTTTTTGTTAATATTTTTGGGTGTCTGGAACAGATTAATTTGATTTACATTATTTCTTATGGAAAATATTGCTTCAGTTTTCATTACATTTGGTTTCGTCAGACTTTCTGGAATGAATTAATCACGAAAACCGAGGTTCCACTGTATTTGTAATAAATAAATATTAATATTCTACAATGCTACATAAGGTATTAGAGAACTAGGAGAATAAACTGTTATACTAGCATACTACTCACCTGATCAATATTTCGCATGACATCTTGTGAACGCTGATCTAAATCTCTCATTAAATTAAAATTCCGCTGCAATTCTGTTGGTAGTATTTCTAAGCCTGAAGTAGATAAATATGTAATCAATAACAAAATTCAGTATTTACAGCTACTCAATATTTTATTACAAATTACTGATAATGATTATATACTGCACCCTTTCTTACAGCTAAATTATCATTGAACAATGTGTAAAGGAGTCATATCCGAAAAACAGATCCTCATAATTAAAATTGTACCATACAAATTAAATATGATTAAAGTACTGACATGTAGAAACATAAGTACAGAAGCTCAGAACATTGGGTGAAATATTAATTGACAAGGGTATCCATGGAGAAGTGGAGAAGAATTCTTCCTCCATAAGCCATGCATGTCGTAAGAGGTGACAAATACACAGGGAGCAAGTGGCTAGTAACCCCTTCTCCTAAATAAATTATTAAATTTAATAAGAAACACTTTTGCTTTTCTTTTCAGGTCACCCTACCTCAGTAGGATATGGCCGGTTTGCTAAAAAAAAAAAAAGATATGCAAAACCAGAACAAGCCTAGATAACCTTTCTACCTGAAACTGACATGTAAGGTATGAAAGATATATGTAAATGAATCCTGGTGAAACTATTTCTACTGGTTATGTAATCTCAGAATTTACCTTTTATTAGGCTATAATTTACAGTATAGTATGAGAGAGATGCCATTAGTAACTGGCTAATAATAATTACTTCATATATGTGAAGAATCAAATTCATGGGTCAATTAACACAGGCAAGTTGATAGCATGATCTTTCATCTGCTTACCAACTGGATACTTGCTGAATATATAAATAGTACATCATTCATGTTACACTTATCTCCAGTGACATTATCAGGAAAGAGACTATATAAAGATAGCTAATCTACTAAGATAATCAAGAGAAAGAATTTCTACTGTTCAGTACTGGTGTAGTATTAGGCTAGGTTTCGTATGGCTAAGATAAAATTCATTCAGGTTTGTTACATATAGTGTTACAAATTATTATGGATTTATATGCTCTAAAATAAATATATTCTGAATGTGAAAAATGTTTACCACATCTGAGCTTTACATAACCTTCTGCTGTGTTAGAATGTCATGCCTTGGTCTAATATTACAGCACAAACTGGAGTTTAGATGGTGATATGGGAGGAATTATTATTATTATAATCACAAAGAAGTGCTGAACCCATTGAGATCATACAGCTCATGGGGAATGGCAGATAAAATTTTGTTCAGATTTTTAACCCCTTAGGGATAGCCACCAGGATAACCCAAGCAAGTCAGTGTATCTTATTTTCACTGGGGTCCTTAAATCTTGTCCCCCAGGATGCTACCCACACCAGTCGACTAACACCCAGGTAAACTTTCCCAGCAGTCACAACACTACTGTGACTACCATCACATTAACATCTTAACAGTAAATAATGTTTTGCTAGGAATTGCTCAGAACGAATTTTCATTTTTCTTTGCTGAAGATATACTGTGTAGATGTCACTGCAAATTATTATTATAATCAAGGGGAAGCGCTAAACCCGGAGGATTATACAGCGCCTGGGGGGGATGTGGAAGGCATTCAGGCTTAATTCGGGGAACTGGAGCACAGATCCAATTCCCTAAATTTAAGAGCCCCTCACCAACATCAAGGAACCTTCCTTGAGGGGTTTTTCACTACAAAGATCATGAGAAAAGTGAAATATTTTTGCAAGAATGACTCAAACTGAAAATGAGTTATATTTAGTGTGTTACTTAGGTGCCGTTACAATAAAGAATATTTCAGTGAAACATTTGGAGCAAGAACAAGCTACATATGAAAGCACTTTGCGGCAGATTTTTAGCAGTCAGCTGGCAACTTTTGGCAGAGAGCCACATATAATTACCATCATACTGTGACATGACCATACCAGCCCCAGCTTCCCCTAAGCTTAGCTTAAAAATACAGCTTACACAGCGAATGATAGGACTGGAGTATGCATTTCCGCGAAAACACTTAATATTAGTTATGTTTAGTCCGGACGACAAAAAAAAAAACCTAAACAGCACCAAGTGATAAATGTCCATTGACATTAAATGAGGGAGTCGGGGAGAGAGGCGGGAAAATGCCCTCTTACTCTCCGGGACTGCTCCGGGAGGCCCGCCCCATTTTGAACCTTGGGAAATTTTTTTGGGTCGGTGAGAGTCATAAGCGGGCCCCGTCTCGTTGCCATGTTACTATTGGTGACGTCATGAATCTCGTTGCTTGCTGCTCACTAATTTTGGTTTCTGTTGTCACGGGACCTTTGATGCGTCAGCCCTAGCACTCGTTACCATGGTGATTAGGTAGTGACTCACTAGATCGGCGTTTGTTGTCATGGTGCCATTGGGACGCCAGACCGGGCGTCTCGTTGTCATGGAATCATCGGTGACGCACAGAGGGGCGTCTCTTGTAGGGTAACCACCCACCACTCTTTCGGCGCCCCGATTCTAAAAAAGGCAGTGCTCGTTTTTTTGGTTTGGTCTGTTTTTTTCTTCGTCTTTCACGCAATGGAATACCATTTTTCCGCTCATTTTCTAGAAAATTGCGTCGCTGAGAGTTTAAAAAATCACACACTTTTGGTGAGCTTCAGTAAGACACGTAATTATGCGGGTAGAGAGGACGTCCAACACAAATGAGCGTCCCCCCTCAAAACTAAACCTCAGCTATTAATACTGAGGTCAAAAAGTACAAAGACGTCAAAGTTTCTGACTTATTTTCCCTGGTCGAAAAGGGACGTCGTGGCACCCGTCCCCAGATAAAGGCAAAAGTTGATGGGTTGTTTTCGGAGGAAGATAGGGAGGGTCCCGGAGTCACTTCCTCCACGGGAGGGAAAAAAGGGTATAGGGGCGCCCCCTAGCAACGTTGCCCCGGCTGGGTTTGGGCGACAGCTGCCGGTGCGGTTTCCCACCCCTACACACCCCGCCCATGCACGTCTTCTCGCTATTTTTTAGGCCCCTTCCCTCACCCCCCCCCCCACCACCGCCCCCCCAAAACTTGGCGTAGGTATTGCTAAAGGGCGAACCTTACTACTGTTTTAAAACAAACCAAGACTAATGCAGTACATGGACCGTTTACTGTACCCCACAACCCCCATTGTTCACAGCTTTATAATAGCACCCGGTGGATTTCCTTTCATTTAACTTACCTATATCCCCTAAAGTTATTGGGGTACAATTTTCGGTATTTTTTTAAACATTTTTAATTTTAAAATTGTTATTAAATATCCTAAATGTTATTTATAGAACCTTTTTTCCCAATTCAATGAGGCATTTGTGATTTATTTAGGGAAAAACATAATAGGTACGGGAAAAGGCTTATATGTAAATACAAACAATATTACACCAGTAAAGCTTAACAAAATTGTTATGATTTCCTCCCCAAACTCCTTCGGGGATGATTGATTATGCCGCTACCCCTCGCCAAAAATTTTTAAAATAGTGTTCAGCATTTGATTTTTACCCCCACCCCCACCACCACCCCACCACCTCGCCCCCACCACCCCCCACCCCACCACCTCCGCCACCCCCACCCCACCCACACCACCCGCCCCACCCCCCTACGCCGCCACCACCCCACCCCCCCGCCCCCACCCCCACCTACGCCCCACCACCCCACCTACGCCCCACCTCGTCACCCCACCACCACCACCTCGCCAAAACCCACCTACGCCACCACCCCACCACTCGCCCCACCTACGTAAACCACCCCCCAACCCCCTACGCCCACCCCCATACCCCACCACCACCACCCCCACCATCCACTGGTGGCATAGATGGTCGGTGGTTGTTATGTCCTTACAATTTTGAAAGTTACAAATCCAACCTTCAATAAGCCGCTAAGACCATTTTTTTTCTTTTCTTTAAATGCCTGTCCGTGCAGTAGTGCAGTTAATTTTCTTTTTGAAATTAAAAATATCATTTCGTTCCTCCTCAAAAATTCCCAAAAACCATTTCCGACCCCTTCCCTCACCCCTTGAAATATATTTTGTAACCCCCCAACTTTTTTAATTTTCCTTGTCGAACTCTCTGTAAATATTAACACCACAATCGCTTCAAAAAGGGGACGTTTCCACTGTCTCTATCCAGCTTTTTGCTGGTCACACCCTTAAAAGTTTTTGCCCACTTATCTAATACAATTACCTCTTTTGCCACCAGAATAATTCCCCGCAGATGCTTAAATGTCCCACCCATCTTTTTCTCCCCCATGGTTCACATATGTTTCATAGAGTCATCTCCCACAAGTCCACACCGAATATAGAATTTGAGACTCCCTCCCCCCGTCCTTTTTCCAGTCTTTCTTTTGCTATAATGTTTGTTACCTCATCACTTTGCTCTTTTCTATGTTCTTTTTTATTTTTCTTTTTTTCCCCTTTCCCCCCAAAAATTCCTCCACAACCTTTACGCCTCTCAAAAATCTCTCTGTTTTTCTTCTTCAGTTTAACGAAAAGCAACTTTTAAAAATCCCTTTTATGATAAAATCCGTTATCACTAATACCACACCTCCCCCGGGCTCCTAACGTTCATTTCTTTTAAACCCCCGTCTATCAGTATGTTAAACAGTCTTTGTGCATCCCCAAATCCTTCCTGCCCTTTTTAACTTTTTTATCAGAAAAAAACCCCCCTGCACATACCCTATTTGACCTCTTTATCTTACGCTTGGGGTAACTTCATTTCTTCCATACTTTTGCAACATTTTAGTCAAATACTGGGGGGTTTAAATTTGAGGCAGCGGCTAGCAGGGAAGAAAAGACGATGTAATCATCCCCCAACCCTTGGATAAATGTTTTTCAGGGGGGGGGGAAATCCCGCAACGGAGAGAGTTTTTTTTAGTCTGGAAAATTGTAAAGCTGAAGCATAAAAAAGGAATCTTTAAATATGCTGAAGGTGAGGCGTGAAGGTCTCGAAGACCCTAGCGGGAGGCAGGGACCACTAATAGAAGTTTGGAAACCTTGGGAATAAATACCCACAAGTTGGTTAGAAAACACGTAAACAAAAACTATAACTATTTTTAAAAACGTTTTGGTCCCGGGGCCTTGAATATTTTAACATAAAAAGGGAGAAAGACTTATATTTAGGGGAGAGTG